GTAAGCAAGAGATTCACTGTTGTGTCTGAGTGCATGCCTGTACCCGTCGGTTTCTTGACGAGTCTTAGTTCATTGCCTGTATCCGTCGGTTTCCTAAAGGGTCTTAGTTCGTTGCCTGTATCCGTCGGTTTCTTGCCGAGTCTTAGTTCATCGCCTTTTCCCGTCAGTCTCTTGACCTGTCTTAGTTCATTGCCTGTACCCGTCGGTTTCTTGACGAGTCTTAGTTCATTGCCAGTACCCGTCGGTTTCTTGCCGAGTCTTAGTTCATTGCCTGTACCCGTCGGTTTCTTGACGAGCCTTACTTCATTACCTGTACCCGTCAGTCTCTTGACGAGCCTTAGTTCATTGCCTGTACCCGTCAGTCTCTTGACGAGCCTTAGTACATTGCCTGTACCCGTCAGTCTCTTGAGGTGCCTTAGTTCATTGCCCGTGTCCGTCGGTTTCTTGACAAGTCTTTGTTCATTTCCTGTATCCGTCGGTTTCTTAACGAGCCTTAGTTCATTGCCTGTACCCGTCGGTTTCTTGACGAGCCTTAGTTCATTGTCTGTACCCGTCGGTTTCTTGACGTGCGTTAGTTTATTGCCTGTACGCGTCAGTAACTTGTTATGTCTCCGTCTTTTGCTGTGTAAGCCAGTAACTCCCAGACAGTTATGGTCCATTGCTTGTATGCGTCAGAAACTCGTCTCAATCCATGGCCTGTACAAGTGAGAAACTTGCCGTATCAATTGACACCTATAGCGTTTAAAATCTTCTATCCATGTCAATTGTCGTGTCCTGTCTCGTCATCCGTTCGAAGTGGTTTTATGTTGTTTTGTAATGTTTTGTTGTGTCGAGTTGAGTTCCAACTGTGTCCTTTGGTGAAGCAAAGCATTTCATTCAAAATATGGTCTTCATAAGCAACATTCTGAACTTTCTATAACTATAAACTATGGTATTCTACGCCTTTCCATCGACACGATCATGTTATTTCTGACATATTTCATCAAACGATTATCTGACTAGAATCCATTGTTTATAAAATTGAATCAAAACGTTAATACCAGTCGCACAACGGAGGACATCTTTATCTCCGCCTCTGGTCCCAGGTTCGAGGCCTACATGGGGTAGTCGCCAGGTAATAACCGCAGGTCGCCGGTTTTTCGCTTTCCTCGACTAACCGAACCTGGCACGTGCTTGGATGGCCCTGGCTGTTAACAAGACGTTCCGCAACAATAAACTAAACGAAACTCACTGAGGCATGTATCTTAACCAGCTGTTTCTTAACAAACAAGAAAGCTCAGCCCTATTCAGTTACCATTAGAACGCCAGTATCATCAAGGACTATGACGTACATATTAAACTATCACACGTGCTTTGATTGGTCGGGAATCGACATCTTGTACACGATCTTTATCCTAATTTTGAAACTTTTAACCCCTAACATTACTAACAACGGAATCTTGAAGAAAGTTCATCGCTCACCTATTTGAGTCTGAAGTTGATCAACAAACTGGCGTTGTAGTGTGCATATGAGTACATTTTCAATAGTAGTTGATTTCCTTTCACTCCAGCAATATAAAAGAGGAATTCGGAAACAAGCAATATGTTTTAGCAAATCCACAAGAGAATGATATTATATGCATCAGCCAATAGAAAAATAGGATGTTAAAGGCTTCTTTGTGAAGGAAAATAATGACAAGCTCCAGTGTAATTGTGACACGTTCTCTACCACGGACAAAGAAAGAAATAAACGACAAAGACAAGGTCTGGGGTTATAGCCTACCTAGTCTTTCCGCTGTGATGGGGTTAAACATGACATTATTTACCAATCAAAATATCTATTCGGATAAAACAAGGATTTTTCAGACTCAAGCCAAGCAATTTGTCAAACTTCGGGGACAAAAGCTGTATGATAATTTCCAACGACCCCCGTTTAGTAATATTTCCTTTTGGGCCGAGGTTCCGTGTCTCGCCAATATATTCTATGTACTTTTACTTGACGCACCCTGCTACGCTCGATCACGACCAGTGTCTACTTATGGAAAGATCACTGTAGAGTCTTTGTTCATGTAAATAACGTTCTGTTCGCTGTATTTAAGAAAAGTATTCAACGACAGCTCAATAGGATTAACAGGAATATTTTTGGTACATAACGGAACCATACACCATTGATAAGAACCGGAAGAGCTGTACCATTTTCAAAAGACCTGCTCAAAAAGGAATTTCCAAACTCTTCACGAGAGTTTGATTTCAGCTGTGTTTAATTAACAGATACGTCATGAAATGTGTAATTTGATCAAGAATACTAACAAATCAATAAGTTCTATTGGGTATGGAAATATCGATGTTGAGTAGAGCTGCCATGCTTCTGATACATCTCTTGTGTCTGATACCATTGACCAGACGAGAAGCTTGTTCTGAGAAAACCTCTGCCACTCCTGAATTAATGTAGCCAGTATCTTGTGCATAATCCCATACATGCTCATTTGGGTTGATCTCTGGTGACCAGTGCAGAAACTTGGCATCTTTCAACATTTGTCAATTTGAGATGAACCATTTTTAAATACAGTATGAGCAGTGTATGATTTGCCAGTAATACAGGTGCAATCGCTGCTTTAGGTGGCAAAGCAAAAATTTGTCATGATAGAGTATAGGGTACCTAGTTTATTCTGGTTATTGCTAAGTTGGTTGTATCACTTGGTGGCATTAAGCATCAACACAAAAAGAGACACTTCAAGGAGTACCAGAGGTAAGTTTTAAATAGGAAAAATCAGTTTTCATTAAAATGTTCATACTGAAAGTGTTCATTTCAATTTATACCACTGTTACTGTCGAAAAGAATAAATTTCAATGATTTTATTAATTGAAGAATAAAAAAGATTTATGGATTTCAACCTAACCTTGAATAATAATTGACAGATCATTTGCAAATAAGTTAAAAACGTACACCGCAATAAAATAGGGATTGAAGATGTTGGTCACATCATTAGCCCCAGTATTGATTGGAAATGACAGAGTTAGTGCAGTGACGAGACTGTGTTGTAGAAGAGAGTATACTTGATGAGAGGAAACACATTCATTAAAGAATCCTGATTATGATGGTTGCTTCCAATGGAAGGGATTTTGTTCTTCTTTTATTATTGTATTTCTTTTTGATTTTTTGTAACTGTGCTATAATGAGCAAACAAACATACAATTACTGAGTAGGTGATTCGTATATATAGCCCCACCCCTCACCTTCTGTCTTGATTGCAGGGTATATAAAAAAGAAACAAGTAAAGAAATATTCATGTATAAACAATTTGGTTATTACAGTCGAAACTCCTGATCTCGAAATTCAAGGGACTGTGAAAAATAATCCGAATTTCAACTCAAATGAAGTGTATAAATAAGTTTGATAAAATCAGTTTTCTGGTGTTGATTACTGTTGTACGAAGTCGGGCTAAGATAGCATGCAAGCAACGTAATTTTATGTTTTTTGAAATGGCTGTAAATAAAGAAATAAATTAAATTCTACTTTATCGTTTTATTGTTTATTCTATCAAAAAGAGAAAAGAGAACTCCCGATCTTACCTTTAGTTTTTGTGAAAGATAATTATGTTTTCCATTTTCTTGTCTATCTATTTAATTTGTAAGATGTCTTGTGTGTTTCAAGTCAAGACTATAAAATGATGGGGTATTCCCCAGTCAAGGCTGAAAAAGGGTGATTCTCTTGTCAAGAGTGGAGAAGGGGGAATTTTAAAGTCAAGGAGACAGAAAAGGGGACCCCCCTGTCAAGGGTAGGGTAGGGAGGATTCCCTAGGCAAGGATGGAAAAGGGGGATTCTATAGTCAAGTGTAGAGAAAGAGGAGATTCTCCATCCAGGTGTGTAGAAGGTGGGTTCCAAGTCAAGGGCTGGAGATTGGGGATGGAAAGCAATTCCTCAGAGCAATTTTATGATGTCATCAACATCTTTATATTAACATTAAACATATATTAATATTAATTGTCACTTTTAGGATGAAATTAGCAGACAAACTGAATTTAAAATGCACATTACAAAACTCCCTGGCAATCTCTTGGTAAGGAAGCACTGTAAGATTCCTTTATTTATTATTTTTGTTTACATATCACTGTAATCAACTTTCCAGTTAAAACAGTAGTGACTATCAGTTGTTAGTTTGATCCCTAGCCTGGCAGAAGCCAACTTCCAGGCTACATTACAATGATCTTGGTCAGCACATCATTGTTGTACATTAACCAAAATTGTTCAAAAGTTAAAGAAACATTTTTAACATAGTTGTAGCATTTCGACCATGTATTGGACCAATCAATCTAAACAGAGTATTCATATTACTGGTAATTATGGATTGATATGCACCAATCCCAATGGTGGTAAACTGTAGGAAGATACTAGATGTTATGTAAGTTGTTCTATATTTCATTAAAATTCACCATTTCTTGGCAGATATTGAACAAAAGCCTAGTTCACTAATCTCAATCAGGTAGTCTTAATTGATTATACATGAATATGCATGGACTACACTCAAGATAAATGTGTGGTGTCTAGTATACTGTAGTTAGTTAAAATCAAATTATTATTGAGGGATTTATGTCATGGTAACCAATTAAGCAATCAGAATCAAGAAGCCTTGTTCCTATGCACGCATTGCACTGTTAATCTTGTTTGTTTGTTTGTATGTATGGTTAAAATCTTACCATTCTAGGGTTTAACAACAGAAAATGAAGCATGTGAGACAGACAGCTGGATTGATAAATCTTATAAAACATGCTTTCTCTAAATATGAAAAAAATAAGCTGTAATCAGTTGTGTAAAGATAAAAATCCGATGATTGAGCATTGATTTTTCTAGCAAATGGATGGCTCATGTTTAATTCCAACTGTGTATTGATCAGATTTCAATCTTTTGCTTGCACGACACAATCAATCACACAACAGTATTGACAAGGTCGCCATCAAGATTGAATCAGCTCATCAAACATCAAACTGTTTAATTTACGAGAAATTTATCCTGGTTTCCATCACCTATACACATCCCACAGACTGATATGATGGTCTTTTGACCCACTGGCCAATATTTTGTCTGTGGAGAAGGCTAAGGTCTGGACACTCTCCTTGTGGTATGTTAAAACTGCTAGTGGTTTCACAGATTTACCACTAAATAATCGAACATTTCCATCCCAACCACCAGTAGCAAAAAGTTTACCATCCTTTCGAAACAAGATGCGATTAAATCCAGGATTTGTAACCATCAGTTCACGTCCAGATTGTATCTTGCTGTCAGGAGTTAGACTGAATGTTACGAGCCTATTGTCCACAGACCCAACAGCACCTTTTTTTATCTTTGGATTGTAATCCATACATATAACACTATCGTTATACATTGAAACTTTGTCAACCATACTAAATGTTCGGATATCCCACAATGCCACAGATCCATCCTCATAACCGGTGACAAACTGAGAGTCATTTCCAGTTTTTGCTAGAGCCATACACATGCCCAATTTTATCGCAGACTTGGGGACACAACGACCTATACTTTTACGAGTGCTGATATCCACGATGTCCACCTCGGACGTCTCTCTCCCTGGAATGGCAAGAACTGTTGGACCCCTGTCTGTGGACAGGACACAGCCAGCACAGAATCCTTGTTGGTTGGATGTGATGCTACCTACAATAGAACAACAAATAAATTGTTTAAAGGAATATTTTAAATATTTTTCATAAGAGACTTTCTATCAAATGCAACAAAAGATTTGTAAATTCCACATACTTAATAAATTATGGCACTTTAAGAAGGAAAATATGAAAATGACTGGAAAAAAATAGACACACATGATTATACTTCTGAAGTGAACATCACATGGAATACTGATGTTAAAAAAATCAAACCTTTCAACATTAAAGTATCTAATGATTAAATCAAGCTGTTTACAAGATACAAATAACAGGCAACTCTTCCATTTAACATATGGTATACAATACACAGTACTGGTGATTTTTAAAACTAAAACCAGAATTTTTTCATAGAAATTGATGGATGTCAATAAATGTACATGTACGAGCAAAACCTGGGAAAGAAATTATCAGAAGGAAGATGTGGTAGTCATGTTGTTAAAGGATACACCATTAATGTTGGCAAAACATACTGTAAGCACACATATTTCAATTGTTATTTTAGCACTTTTTGTTGAGAAAGTATTGTGCTAAATTTGCTTCTGTATATTGTTTATATACATACCACAGGTATTTGCCAAAAACTTATAATGTGTTAAAATTTGACTGCACTAAATTAAGTGGTTTGACAGTAGATTGGTATGAACTGTCTTCCAACTTTTGGTGGAGCTGGAGCTATCAACAAAAGTCTAAATAAAACTATTGGGTAAATGGCAGCTGAACAAAACTTTAAAATGTACCAGTTAAATGTGTTATAACTGTGGCAGACAGTGCAGATATTTCATGCTTTTGGCTATTTGTTTGAGGAATCACATCTGTTTCTCCACTAAGGGTCACTAGGAAACACCAAACCATCTGAAGTTTTCTCTCAGACCTTAACAAAACTCAGTTTTTAACTCACATTTCATATCAACATTACAGTGTTCATTTATGATAAAGCATGTATACCTGTGTTGGTCAGTTTTGACTCCTGTAGTGACCAAAAGTGGACAAAGCCATCTCGCCCTTGAGTGACCATTTCCCCATTGTCCAGAAACTCAATCCAAGACACAGATTGACCATGGTGAGCATCCAAATGAATGTCTGACCGCCTGCTCACCATGTTCCACGAACACACACATCCATCAAGTCCTCCTGACCACAGCTGATCATGGGGGTCAAAGGTCAGACTGGACACAGGGCTTGTAGAGCCACGTAGAACATAAACTGGGTCTGGGACACGAGATTTGTCTTCCATTCTTCTACACGCTAAATCCCACAGACCAACATTTACCTCACATCATTATTAAGAACCTGAAAACAGGTAAAAATACACATATCAAAACCTTAATTAAACAGTCTACGTATCAGTGATTCTGCAGAGGTAAAACACAGTCAAACTTCATTTTTGGATTTTCTTTTTTCACTGTCCTATAATTCAATATTATAGGATATAGATCAACTGCTATACATTTTCTCACCAATCCAACTGCTTCATAACCTCGCCACTTTTGGTGGTTAAGATTATTTTAACTCCATTGTAATAACTTGATGTTATACAGCAATTTTATAAATTCGCAGGTTTCACAAAATAATCAACAGATTGTAAGCTAATAAATTGATATGCCTGTATATAAGTATTCAAACTCTGGTTAAATCAAAACATAACAAATAAGACCAGGCATCACTTTGAACAAAATATTTATTCAAAAGAGAATGTTACAAACTATTTACAAAGTACATGTGGCGACAGTCGTCATCGGGATTTCTTTATTGAAACAATACCGTAGCAACGAGGGGAGATAACTGGGTCAAACATCTGAACCATGTAAACTTCACCAACACACTCCTGTAAGATACCAAAACAAAAACATATAGGGATGTGACAGTTAAAAAATAATGATAATCACACAATATAGTATTTTCATAGCTTGCCAAAAAAAATTTCTCTGATAATATCAAGACATTATATATCTTCATCAGTGTACAATAAAGAAAAGACAATATAGTTTTCTAGGAAGATCTGCAGAAGTATGGCATACCTTACTTGCAAATGTAATAATTACGATAATTTATAACATTTCACAAATCATCTTGATAAACACTGAAAACACATTGATTTATCAAATAACTTTCAAGCAAATTTATGAACTGTATCGTCAATACAATAATTTTCATACTTGTAAACAAATTACAATATTTTGAATCTGGTTAAGAGGATAATAAAGGCTCTATGAGAAATCTTTTATTAAACATCATTACAACATTATTGTATGATTAGTATTTTATTTCTATGTCATGTTCACATTCTCATCTTGATATCCAAAACAAGATTTTTATCAATATATAACACATGACAATTCTGTACATAATTCTCATTCAAAATCTGTTAAAGTTTGAAATGTCATGTAAACTTGAAATAAGTTATCAATTACCTTTTTTTTTTAACCTTACATTTTAACTTAGTCATTGAAATTTTGTGCATGCATTGAATTTTCCTTTTGATGATATATAATTAAATTTTCATTACTGAAGAACAAAAATCTATTGACACTGAACAAATTCTTGAGGAATATGGTCAATGGCAAGATATGTTCTCACCTGTTCCAGGAGGTAACATGCCCTGTCTAACAGTACTAGTGCTTCTATGGTTGGAGCTAACACAGACTTGAGTTGGCGGAAGGCTGCCAGCTTTCTTTTATCATCCTTGTATCTATCACAGTATTCCTCGACAAGGTCTGGTGTTATCTGTAAAAAATAGTAAATAATTTTATATCCCTTCAAGGACTTTAGGTTCTGATGGCATTTTAACTAAATATTAAACACTAGTTTAATGAATTGGAATAAAAATCTTAGTGACACCTGATCTGTTTTATAAGTCATACAGACCAACCTAAACAAATGGGAAAGGGGAAATAATCCATGGAAAATGTTACTGTTCTTCTGCTTAAATAGACTTTAAAATGTTTATGTTCTGCTTAAATAGACTTAATTCCTGATGTGGAAGGTATCACTCTAAATTATGGAAAATGAGTTCAAGTTTTGTTTTATAAAAAGTTTGAGATTACATCAAAATATACACATGTAGGAAAAAAAATTGTGCAAAAACACTTAAAATATGAAAATGTTTACAATAAATTGACACAGAAGGTGGTGATATAAACAGTACAGTAAAATAGACAGGATGTATGTATTACCTTGTCTGTTGGAAGTCCTAACTTGGTGAATGCCTTCACTACATACTGGTACATATCTGGGGTTATATCTCCCAGTCCTCGTAGACCCTTCCAGTCTGGATCTATGTGACCAACTACATCCAGAAGGATCTTTTGGAGAAGGCAACGAGGAAAAGTGGCGAAGGACAACTACAACAGAAATGAGCCATCTTAGACAAAGCTGAAGCCTATTATAGAAGGCTGCAGGGATAAGTGGCGAAGGACAAACTACAACAGAAATTAGCCATCTTGGACAAAGCTGAAGCCTATTACAGAACCAAAGATAGCCAGGATAGGTGGTGAAGGACAACTATAGGGTACAACTGAAATGGACCAGGGTCAAGTCTATCACAGAAGGTGGTCAGGATAGGTGGTGAAGGATATTTGCTTAAAACCTTACGCTATACCAAATTCATATACTCTTTCATAATTTTTATTTGACTCAATATGACATGGACACTGAAATTAGATCCTTTATTATAAGAATATCAACCTTACACTATACTGAAGCTAACAGTAACCTGAATTCATCTTGGGTGATGCTTTGGTTGTAGACCATGGTCATAAGTACCGTAGGTACACTAAAGTGATATTGAGCTCAATCACCAATAATCACAATTTCTTTATTTCCTAAACATACTGTTGAAGCATCAAATAAATTAAAGTCTTCTTTACAGTTGAATGAAAATAATTAAACCACTAGGGCAGTATAGTTCTATGTTATATACCTCTGAGTCCTGTGCCTGTCTGTAGATAGACTGGGAGGCAAAGTTCCTCGCAATCCTCCCAAGGTACACTTTCTTATCCCTTAGGTAACAACTCATTGGAAATCCTACAGGGAAATCATTTTCTAAAACAAAAAACCAAAGATAGACAGAGTTCTATCAAGATAAGAAATCATATTGTCACTGTTCTTTGTATACAGATTAAAACCCCATGTGGCAGTTACAATATCTGCTACTGAAGTATCACTATGTATATAGTATGTGTCATTTAACACAATTAACTTGGCATTGAGATATTCAACCTCATCAAGGATTTTCATCTGTATATTTCTTTATTGCTAGCATGTAGCTGTAATTTGCATTGTACACTTAAACATTTTCTACATATTGAAAAATACACCCCAAACATTTTCTACACATTCAAAAATACATCCCATACATTTTCTACATATTGAAAAATACATCCCATACATTGTTCACTTATCGTCCTTGAGAAACAAAAGCAGTAAAACAGCTGGTTGTAAAAAAAATGTCATGTAGGTGGACAGAAATTAGTTATCAAAATTATCTTAGTTTTGTGGAAGAGACAACAGAAACTTCTATCTTACTGATTTTACACAATACTGCCTCCTCCAAAAAATGGATCACTGACTTTAATTGTAGACAAATATATGAACTCACCAAACTGCTGGCACTCGAGACCAAACATCTCCCTCATGCTGTGGTAACAACAGCCCACCCCACACAGCACCTTTACTGTTGGGTTGTTGACAAATAGCTCAAGCATACTGGATCCTAAGGCCCCACATGTGTGTAGACCTGTCAACATGAGAGTTGTCTCCCCTGGTTTGTCACACATAACACTAGATGATGAAGGATGATCTGACAGAGCCTCGGACACAACTTTCATTAGGTCCATAGATGTATCTACAAAAAGTGTGAGGGGGACATATGGAAGATATGTCCTAGGTTTTTGACTTTTGTCTGGAGTTTTTTGTCTTTTCTTCTGTGAAACTTTGGAGTCAAAGTGTGGATTTTCTGTCTTAACTGCCATGCTTGGCACTTGTGCAACTTCTAACGCTATTTCAGGAAGGAACTTTTGGTCTTTTATTCCATGAGTTGAACTACAAATCTTTGAAGAACTACTTACATCGTGTTTTGCCTCTTCAAGTGTCATGTTACTAAAATTTTCTATTTCAGATTTGGTTGATATATCTACTCCCATGTTTAGTTGGTTTTCAGACCAACATGTAACTGTACTGCCCGGTGTACCAGGAGGAGACTGTCTGCAGACAGTTGATGCAGATATTCTTTGTTCTCTCACAGAATCCTCAGTAGACATTGCACTTTCAACAAATGCTTCATTGTTCTCCTCTCCAAATATTGTGTCCAATCCATCAAAATCCTCCCAAGTAGTCTTCATTTTCTCAGCTTTTTTCGTATCCCCCTCTCCCACCATCATGGCAGACATTCTTTCCTTTTTAAGTTTCTTTTTCAATTTCTTGCTCTTTTTTGTGACAACCCCTGTATCATGAAGCTCCTGGGCATTGCGAACCAGGCCCTTCCATTGTCTTGTGAGGATTTTGGCCCTTTTTATGGCCCCTTTTGTGTTGATCATCTGAGCATCAATGCCTACCACTGTCTTATGACACTTGAGAGCAAGCTGTGTGCTAAGGTACCCTTTCCCACTACCCATATCAACGATCTACAAAAACAATATATTGATATCAAACTTTTTTTCTTTACAGAGATGCAGTATAAGACACTTAAACAACTTTACATATAATTGAAACTAACCAAGCTGAAATAATCATAAAGAAACAATGGAATTAATGACGTAAGACATTTTAACCATAACTCTACATCATGGGAGAATAAAGATATCAGGGTGACAGATGATTCATACATTTACATGTATATACTTTAAGGACTTACCACATCAGTTCCCATAGTATTGGCTAGTCTGGAACCCACACAAGTCATAATGTCCACTTCATGTGACTTCTTATTTGTCATGAAATTCTTAATTTGGAGATCATCTTTGACCTGTCCTGTTTTACTGAACAAATATTCAATATCTACCAAAACACCAAGTGACTTGAGGTTGGTGCCACATACAGCTTGTAGGTAGGAATTAAGGTCCTCATGGATCCACTTGGAACTTCCTTTGACTATTCTGTTATCACTGCTGTCTACAGCTTTAACATGATTTTCTAACATGTCTATATATTTAGCTGGAAAGTCACAGAGTTCTTGATCTGTCATATGTAGGAGCTCTTCTCTGATACAAGGAGGAATGTGGTTGTCCCAGTGACTTTCAATGATGAAGTCATTGGAATGCGCATTGCAGAAAGGGAGGTAACTCTGTGTCACAGACAGTACACTATCCAGACAGCCTTGGACCTTCTTCAAATCAAGTCCTTCAGGACTTCCATCATATTTATTTGTACTTCTGGCTGTTACATCTGTGTCACACTTCATCTTTATTTGTTTTTCTGTCCTTCAAAATTTTGAAATGACTGCATGTGGGCACCCGTTGGCACAACAGATGTTAATTGCTTACATGACTATGGTCATGAACTCTACAAATATACCCACAAAATGAATCAAATGAAATCTGTTATTTGTATATACAATCATGAATATCTACCCTGATCATCTAAACAAGTATACATACAGCTAATACTGTTTCAATATATTATATTAATTAAAAGGATATAACAGAGAGGGGACATGTATATATAGCTGTGAAAATGTAGTTATTACAATGGTACAATTTCGTAATGAACAGGTAAGAATAATCCTCTCATTGATGAGAACATAATGACACTCAAATATATCCTCTTATCTCATATGACAAAAAGGCTCTTTTTAAAACAAAGTAACAGTAGAATATAACATATGGGTCAAGTTCTCCATGGCCAGAGCTGTCATGATCGTAGTTTTTATTCCCCTTAATCAATAATCAAATATGCCGAGGCTTACACCATCAATTATACTAAAGAACTGTTATATTTTATTATGTAAATTTTATAAGTAATGCACTGTAAATTAAAAACTAATCATCTCTATTTTTAAATGTAATACCAACATAAATGTTTTGAAATATAGGAGCATATTTGTTGTTTTGTTGTAATATAATTCTTTGTGTTGTCCAATTATGTAAAAACTTGTTGTGATCAACTGTATTCTTGGTATTTCATTTTGCATTTTTTGCTGTTATTTTATATGTTTTGTTGCTATAATAGCTATTCTGAGCTTATGTTTTGTGTTTTCATTGTTAAAAGTAGACTTTTTGTATCAGAAGATTTTTTTTCTCTGAGCTAAAAGATTGTGTTCAGGTTCTAGCACCTCCTCACACAACACAGATCACAGCAGCAAGTTAACAATAACTTTTAAAATAAATACACTCTGTAAGGATAACCTGCCAAAAATGTATTGATTTGAAAGTTATTGTTATTTTTCTGCACAAATAAACTCAATATCTCAATGGAATAGTTTAAATCACTAACACATGAATACTTTAGCATAAAGGCTATTGGTTTAGTTGGTTGATAGAGGTAGAAAATTGCTCGGAATCAGATTTGATGAAGCTGATAAACACTACATATGGTCAGCATTGAGGCAAAGTTATTGCATAAACTCATAAGTTACTCAAATGCAGGATCATTTGAGAAAGCAACACACAAAGTTTACTTAAAACTTTGGAACAAAATATGTGTTGTCTTTTCAATATGACAAATTAGTCAATCTGACACTATAATTACATGTAAGAAATATTAATTTTTTTTTATCTATCATGACTATTTTAGTGGCTTTGCTCTCCATTGACTACAGTCTTAAGTCATTTAGTGTAATTGTAAAGGGTGGGTTCTGGTTTTTTGTGTTCTGTTTTTAGCAACACTACAAGCAACTGAAGTTAAAAAGTTTCTGGTGTTTACAAAAGTCAAGACAAATATCTTATTAACACTTTGTGTAATAATGTAGTTGGTTTGTTAGACCATGTAAACAATCCTTTTTGTTGGAAGTGTTTGTAATGAAATTATATTCTGTTTGTTTCTTTTTCAAACGATTAACAGACTCTCACTTAAATAACGATATGATTACAAATATCAGTAAGTATGCCGCTAATTCTGGAATATTACGACACCCAAAGTCCCGGTGCGGAATTGTACGAAATGATAAATAACTCGAAAAAAAGCTGTCTGAATGAATAGAGAAAACAAAAATCCCTTTCGAGTGCCCATACCAGGAATCGAACCAAGCTCTCTGGTGTGATAATCTGCCGAAGCATGCACCGTCAGCTGATTGACAGAGATCATATTTAACCCTTTGTATCAGTCACATCGACACACTTCTTTCACTGTTGTATCTGTATGAATAACTCATTGATCTCTTCGACTCTAAGTAAAATCATACTGCTCTTTTAACACAAACTAGGTTATATCATACTTACGGATTCACCGTTTTCACGTCAGAGATTTATCATGGGCGCAGACATGTTTGCGGATGCATGGTGGGCAGTAGATCATTTTATCAATCTTTTTTTTCTTTGACAAGACATTAAAAAATCATACCTCTGAAATATCATTAAAGCGAATAATACATGGAAACACTAATATCTGAAATAATTTATTTGTAAGAGACACACATTCTTATCAAACGCGACACCCCGCGAAGTTTGAAAAATTTCAAAATGGCGGCATCCGCAGAATGAAATAAGAAACGACGAAATGGATTTCATAAGAAAAATCTTCTCTTGAGGAGGTGATTGTAAAAAATGTATGAATCAGTTACCAAAGCTTATCTTGATCTTTCACAATTTCTACAACTCCATAAATTTAGACACATTTAAACCATGACATCGGGACGTTTCTAGGTGTAAACAAAGATATTTCTGCAAGCAAGCACTTGTTTTTGGAATTTTAATGTCCAACTTCAGCCACTCTCTCACTGAATTGCGAAAAAAAAAAAAAAAAAGAGAAATATATATATATTACCTCAAAATAGGAAAAAACACTTTAATTCATTAACCCAACGTGAACGTTCAGTTTCTTGGTTTTCTAAATATTTATAGTCCGACAGTACAGTCGAGAATATGAATTTAGATGAAAAAGTGCATGCTCTGTGAAAATGTACTTAATTACAAAGGAAATAGAGATTTTACACATTGAGAAGTTATTCAAATGCACATGAAGTGGCACAGAATAGTCAATGACACCTCCTCCATGTAGTGGCAAAAAGGTATGAACATGTTCATTCACAGGAGTCGGATGTTTTCGTGCTATTTAAGTAGCAACACTATATAGCTAAATTTCACTTAAAGAACAACCAATTCCTGTGTTTGATGGTCATGATGAATACTGTGTTTGATGATCATGTGTGATTTCGGACCAATAATCTGAGCCTGTATCATTTCTTTTCAATGTTTTTTTTTTTCTCTCTAGAAGTTAGGCAATTAGTTTAGGTGCAAAGTATCCTGTACACAAGTTCATTGGCCAGTCAGTATCAGTAGAACGGGGACATGTACACTAAGAATAATATTCATCATACTAGTATGTTTAATAGTGATATATCTGTGATATCACACCTCCTGAAGTGATATTGCACCCCCTAGAAAGTGATATCATATTGCCCTCTCAAATTTTTATACTTTGCCGCTTCCACTTATCACTGTCGAATTTGGACATGAAAATAGTTGGCTTGGAAGAAATGTGGTTTTTTCTTGTGACTAATGATAATTTAGAATCCAATGCAAATTACTGTATGGTGCTGTTTCCGCATTGAATTCCATTATGAGTGATACGTCTGTAGCTGTCATCTGTGAACGTAAACAGCTAGGACTAATAATAATGAGGCAATTCTAGAAGAACTTGTTACAAGAATTGTCAAAGTTGATTTTTTTTTGTGTGGTTTGTTAATTTTAAAGAGAAAAATCATGACAAAAGGACTATTATATGACCATCTTGGCCTTCGGCTCTCTGGCTGATATCGGGATTCTTGGGCTGATAATTATAAGGAGTGATATCAAAATGGTCATATAATAATCTCTAAATATTTCCTCCATCATGTATGACAGAATCAGTATCATCATTCATCCAGGAATACCTTCAAGGTACAGCACATGGTATGATCATCATCACCCATTGAAGTATGGCCAGATGCTATGGATGCTTTTCTGTTTATTTACATGTAGTTTTATGCAGGCCAGAAAGTACCTTCACAAGCTAAGATTTGTATTGATGCCTATTACTTGAGACACAGAATTGCACAGTGATCATGAGCTAGCTGCACAGTGCTAATCTCAAACAGACGTTTCTGAAATTATCAATTGTTTTTCTAATTTACTTTTGCTTATCATTTAATATTATACATAGTACACTGCAGTTAACTTAATTGAAGAGATTTTATTGAGTAAAATTTGTGATACTTCCTCAAAAAATAATTAGGGGTTTGAATTGGGCAAGAAGTTTGAGTATTGTGCATGAATTTATTATGTATATGAGCGCAAATTTAAAATTAATTCAAACCCTAATATTAAACCATGGCCTAGTCACTAATGTATACATGTGTTACATGTTAAACACATCAACTGAGTTGAAGTTAGAAAATTTAATAATGACTCCTTGAAATTTGTGCTTTGCATTGTACATTTGTATTGACTAAAACATGCTGTTTCATATGACAGTAATGTAAAAATTTCTGTAGTTGCAGTGGTAAGTTTGACTTAATATTTCATCTTTCTTACTGCAGCTACTTTACCAGTATAATTTTGTTCCCCAAAAGACATCTGTATCTATGGAGCTGTGATGAATCTTACCCCTCCTCCAAAAAAAGAAAGACCATACTTACTGGCACTAGTCTTTTAAAAATCGAGGTCCCAAGTAAGAAATTTTATCACACATGTATCAACACCAAAAATATCAATGTTTAATATTTAATCACAGATTTTGCCAGTAATAACACTTCCCCTATCCTGATTTCGATTATTTAAAGAAATTGTTGCCACAATTTATATGTAAATGTTTGTTTAAAAATATTTAAAATATTTTTTTTTATTTGATTAAAAAACATAATCTTTTCTAAGAACATTTGTAGCAATACTGATATGCTTAATGTTAAACAATCTTTTCATTTCTTTTTTTTCAACAGCACAAGATCAAGAAAACAAATCAATCAAAATGGAGGCTGCATCTGTGGTGAAGTCTGTGATTTTTGCAGCTAACCAATATCTCAACCATAAAGCTGACAAAAACTGTTTGTACCTCCAACAACAGCTTGAGGTTAGTTTTTAACCCTCGGGCATAGAGCAAGTTTGTATCCCTGACCTGAAAATGTCAGTGATTGTGGATGTTTATTTCTTCTTCAACCCTTGCTAAATATGTGTCAAATAAGTGGCTTTGCTAAAAATACTCATCAGGATGAGGAACTCATCAGACCAGAAAATTTACATTTAAAATGTTCAAATCATGCATATAGTGCTAACACACAGTTCTGAATCAGTTGTTGTTATCTGGTGAACGTTTTGCTATAATTCTTACCAACAATGAATGAAATCAGCTAGGCACAATTACAGAACATTAGCAATGATTGAACGAGTGTAAACATTGCAGAGTAGATGATCTTTTGGGACAGTGTGATATGTTTTCTGAAGAATCTATAAAAAATATAACAACAATGTAAGATAATATTTGCTAAAGATCATTTTGGTTACTGTTATCCTTGAAGTCGGATGTCTCATCACATGTGTTTTTCTTTGGTTGATGGCCAGTAAAATATCATTTTTTTGTTTTTTGTTTTGCTTCGCCATTTCCTTTTAGGTAAACTTGGATGTCCCCTGTACTCACTGATAATTTGAAACACTCAATCTCTACCACAAAAGTATATATCATAATCGTGGTCAGCAAGGCACAAACCTACCTGAAACTGTGCTGAATTTTTATGATTTGCAGAACAACGTTTTACAAAAGAATGCATAGTAAACAATGGTTAGGAAGACTGTTTTATTTAATTAATACATGGAATTACATTAAAAAATCAATTTATCAGACGGACAGATAAGATCCACTAGTCTGGATGGGCAAACAAGTGCTTTTGCTGGGCCCTGATTTATGTTTCATGCAAAAGTATCATAAATACTACTCAATTTATGTCAATGTTGTTTGAATAGTTATTAAAATCTTCTGTAAACAGAGTCCTTTAATGAGATTTTCAAGAAGTTTACTTGATTTTGATCCAAATACCAATGTTGATATAGTCTTCCTTGACCCAGTTCTGTTTGGTAAGTGCAGTTGATTCTTTTGCATTGAGCCATTGTTTTTAAAGTACCAACAGCAGTCTAGCATTTTATTTTTGATTGTGTTAAAAGGATGATATAATGTTATGAGTTGTATCTTTTATTTCTTGGTAAATAATTCATATTTACCTGGAAAATTCATATATGAGTTGTACACAGTAATATTTTCTTCTCTGATTTTCAGATTTTAGTGGGAATCACAGTGCCACATTCTGGGAAGAGTTTAAAATTCTTCAATCCTAAACACTTACAGCCAACAGAATGTTTGACTACCATTGTAGATATCTTGTGTGACCCTCACACCAAGCCTTCACTACTTCTGAGTTGTATTACTTTGCTTCACAATCTTGGTAAGGAACAGCACAATGTGTGTATAGATAATGTAGCTTTGCTGTACTGTGATAACGTTATGATATAAAACATGAAAATGGAAACACTATCTCATTCTCTGTACCATTTAAGTATATTAAGGTATCAAAAATATTCATAAATGGGAATTTTTCAAATGCATTTTATGAAAAAAATTTTAAAAAAAATCAATACCTCATATAAGAAAAATCACTCTTTTATTTTCTTTATGAAGCAAGTGTTAGTAAAATAGAGGATAAATTGTAGGATAAGTCACATCACTCTTTAGTAATGTCTGAATTTTTACTGTTAACTTGTATTAAGGAAAATGTTACTAAGATATCTTATGTGATTTCTAAATAAAAACTTGCTTTGTGTTTACAGTCTCAGATGATGAGATTAGACATTGCTTACACGATTCCTTCCATATCACACCTGCTTTGGCTGGAATCCTGAAAACACAGGGCTCAGCAGGAGATATACTCTCTACAGAGGTAAGGCCTGGTTTACACACCTTAGATATACTCTCTACAGAGGTAAGGCCTGGTTTACACACCTTAGGTATACTCTCTACAGAGGTAAGGCCTGGTTTACATACCTTAGATATACTCTCTGCAGAGGTAAGGCCTGGTTTATGTAACTTAAACATTTCCATTTGTTACCTAAATCAGATGCATTTCAGTTTACAAAATGTTTTGAAATATCAGAATATTTACAGATATGGTGATATTTGTGTAAAATTAATAGTGATATCCTTATCATGAAAATTGAGTTTTCTGTTTGCAATTTCAGTGTGTGAGTCTGCTCCAGAAGGTGACTTATGGTCACAATTTAAACTTCCAGGAAAACTACATGGAGGACTTGATAACATATACTGTTAGACAGATGTAAGCAGAGTTTGTCTTGTTCAACCATGCTGACTTCAAAATAAACTTTTGAAAGCATATTGAATAATGCAAGACTTATAAAAACATTTTGCATGTGAAAAACATGTGCCCTTATCTTCTTTAAAGTTATTTGACAACTTAATCACAGATTTTCTAATCTTGAAACTACTGTCTTACAAAATGCAATGTATAATTCATATTCATTTCATATTTTGTGGCAATATTTTGAAATTGACTCCCAAATAGAAATAAATAAATAAAACACTGTATTGCTGTATATTAGAATGGTTTTGGTATAAATATTGTTTTTTTCAAATATTTGAATGTCCACAGTGTTGTGTTAGCAAATTTTCTTTGACAAGTTACTTGTATTTCCAGCTTGGAAAAAATTTGTTGTATTGATGTGTAAGAATATAGCTTGCTATGTGTTGGTGTGGGATTATAATGCTTAACTTGTATATTTCAGACATGGACCTGTCCATGACCTCACCCTCCCCTCTCTAGGATTGCTGGTCAATCTGTGCCGGGATAACTTTGCTGTGCAATCATACCTGAAAAACTCTGTAAGCATCACAGATATCAAGTTTGGTCCCACACAATCCTGGTCATGTGGTTATTGTCTGTTACTGATATTGTTAGGATTCCATTGTCTGTTATATTATTCATTACTCACTGGTTTAAAAACAGATCTTTCATACTATCTGCTGTTGTGTGTTGAATAAGTATGAATAAGTAAAATGGAAGCTTCCTAATAGATACATGTATAATCACATATAATCATATCAGTTTTGATCCCAAAAGAATTTTCAAGTTTTTGGATTTCAGTTTTGTATTGCCATGTTTTGCCACTTATGATAAATGTGTGATTTTTTGCATTTTCTCCAGAGAAACATCAAAGATCTGTATAAAGTGTTGGTATCCTATCTGTCAGACCAAAACCTCACTGTCATCATCTTAGCCTTGTCAATAATCACCAGTTTGTCTCTCCAGGAGGACCTGGGGGGTAAGGTATGTATGTTTAATGTAGAGGAGGACCTGGTGGGTAAGGTGGGTATGTTTAATGTAGAGGAGGACCTGGTGGGTAAGGTGTGTATGTTTAATGTAGAGGAGGACCTGGTGTGTAAGGTGTGTATGTTTAATGTAGAGGAGGACCTGGTGTGTAAGGTGTGTATGTTTAATGTAGAGGAGGACCTGGTGTGTAAGGTGTGTATGTTTAATGTAGAGGAGGACCTGGTGTGTAAGGTGTGTATGTTTAATGTAGTGGAGGACCTGGGGGTAAGGTGTGTATGTTTAATGTAGAGGAGGACCTGGTGTGTAAGGTGGGTATGTTTAATGTAGAGGAGGACCTGGTGGGTAAGGTGTGTATGTTTAATGTAGAGGAGGACCTAGGGGGTAAGATGTGTATGTTTAATGTAGAGGAGGACCTGGAGGGTAAGGTGTGTATGTTTAATGTAGAGGAGGACCTGGTGTGTAAGGTGTGTATGTTTAATGTAGAGGAGGACCTGGTGTGTAAGGTGTGTATGTTTAATGTAGAGGAGGACCTGGTGTGTAAGGTGTGTATGTTTAATGTAGAGGAGGACCTGGGGGTAAGGTATGTATGTTTGATGTAGAGGAGGTCCTGGGTGATAAGGTGGGTATGTTTAATGTAGAGGAGGTCCTGGGGGTAAGGTGTGTATGTTTAATGTAGAGGAGGACCTGGTGGTAAGGTGTGTATGTTTAATGTAGAGGAGGACCTGGTGTGTAAGGTGTGTATGTTTAATGTAGAGGAGGACTTGGTGGGTAAGGTGTGTATGTTTAATGTAGAGGAGGACCTGGTGGGTAAGGTGTGTATGTTTAATGTAGAGGAGGACCTGGTGGGTAAGGTGTGTATGTTTAATGTAGAGGAGGACCTGGTGTGTAAGGTGTGTATGTTTAATGTAGAGGAGGACCTGGTGGGTAAGGTGTGTATGTTTAATGTAGAGGAGGACCTAGGGGGTAAGGTGTGTATGTTTAATGTAGAGGAGGACCTGGTGGGTAAGGTGTGTATGTTTAATGTAGAGGAGGACCTAGGGGGTAAGGTGTGTATGTTTAATGTAGAGGAGGTCCTGGGGGTAAGGTGTGTATGTTTAATGTAGAGGAGGACCTGGTGGGTAAGGTGTGTATGTTTAATGTAGAGGAGGACCTGGAGGGTAAGGTGTGTATGTTTAATGTAGTGGAGGACCTGGTGTGTAAGGTGTGTATGTTTAATGTAGAGGAGGACCTGGTGTGTAAGGTGTGTATGTTTAATGTAGAGGAGGACCTGAGGGATAAGGTGTGTATGTTTAATGTAGAAGAGGCCCTAGGGGAGGGGTGTAAGGTGTGTATATTTATTGCAGACAGAAATATTTTACAGGTATGTATATGTATTATGATTAGGGTCACTGTTCTAATGTATTACAGGAAGATGGAACTATCAGGTTTTGACCTATATTTCGTTATTTTATTATCAAATTTGGGTGAGTAAATGAAAAAACAGATGATATTGATACACAGACTTCCAAATTGTGGATATCTGTTTTTCTATTCACCCTAAGAATTATATCTTTTTTCTATCTGGTTTCCAGAGGCTTTCAACAATCAGGTTTTAAAGTGAGGTGGTTTACACTGGGATTAAGTCACAGCATCCTCAAGGTTAATTTTAATCAGGGCTTTCATTTCAATTTTACAGGACCATCAAACTCAGTGTGTGGTTGTTGTTCTTTTATATGATTGTAGCACACCAAAGTAAGGCCTTCTTTACTAATATTCCAACAGGTAATGAATGAGCTTTATTCTGTAGTGTACATGTTGACCTTTTTGATTGACCTGTGACTAAAATATAATTTGCTTACTTTCAGATTCTCAATGCTAAAAATATCAACCAGACATTTCAGATGATCTTCAATATTCTGATGAAGAGTGACACAGGTGTAACACGAGGTTATGCTGTTGACTTATTTAGGGATCTCCTGCGCAATCCAAAAATACAGCAGTCTTTGTCCAGGTATGGTATATTTAAAAATACAGTAATCTTTGTTAAGGTATTGTACAATTCAAACATCAGCTGTCTTTGCATAAAGGTAGTAAAACTTTTATTCTAATTACTATGTACTTTTTTTTTATTTGTTATACCCTTAATATATAATGGCTATGAGTCCTTCACAGTATTCAAGAATTTATTGGTATATATCCTCTGTATTACTCTTTGTTTTCTCTCTGATTTTCCAGTTTCATCATGTTCACAAAATTCACCTATTGTCTTATTCTGCTTTCAAATTTCAAGGTCACCATTTCTGGAAATGGAATTTTATCATCATCATGTTATTTTATTTTATTGCTATATCATTTTCTATGTTTTTCGTGAAATTATATAATTATTTTTTTCCTATATTGAACTGGATCTAATGGATTAGAAAGTGCATTGATAGATAATACACCTGGTCAGAAAACTAGGTCATGCCTTCAATCTCTGCTTCATAGATCCTAAAACTGTTGAGAAATGAAAAGTAAAAATTGGAGAATCTGATCTCATGTTTTTGCCATCTTTCAGATTTGACAGGTTGGGATCTTGCCTAGAAAACATTTTAAATCTAATAGCAGCCAGTACATCTGAGTCTGTTATAAAGGTAAGATTGATACAACTGTGGTAGAACATTTTCATATAATCATTATTTGTAATATGTCTTACTGAAAATAAGAACATCAATGCCTAGAAGTTTGAAATGTCTGTTAGCTTCTAGCTAAGAAAAAACATTTGGACAATGGAAAATTTAAGTTACTGACTCAATGCTTGTTACTGGATTTTCAATCTCAGAATATGGGAAAGTTCTGGGTTATTCCCAACAGCCTTTCCTGAAACTGACTTTTTTAAAGTATGTTTTATTTTGTGATGGCAGGTATTTGAGCTGTTGCTGTTATTCTGCCGCGTTGAAGGCCTGAGAAGTACGATATGTAAATGTGTCCTGGCCACATCTCCACTCCATGACAATGAGTATGTTGTACAGACCTTACGACAGCCTGTGGAGGAGGTGAAGGAGCCTCTAATTGCCACAGTCCATTGGGCTGGTCAGTCGACTGACTCACACCATAAAGCGCCTTTATATGCACTGGATTTTCTTTCTGAGTTCTATGAGGCAAGTCATCAACCAGCACTAGTATTAAATGTTATTGCTGCTTGTCTGATAGATTTCAAGATACTACCTCTGATAAAAAATGCTCTTAAACAAAGTGATGGTAATCTAAGTTCAAGCAGATGACTGAAGATGACACTGCTGTGCACAGCAAGTGTCAAAATAAACATTGGTCCCTGTATGGTTTGCAGGCTTCAGTTTTTTTGTATTCTGAACAAAATCAAGTAAAATATCTTACTTAAAAGCATTGCATCAAAAGTAGATTTGACATATTTTACAGTACAAAATATTGGTCCACATTTTATTTATAGAAATGCATGCTGATCTGTGATCAATGTCAAATAATTCATTCATTTATCTTGTGTATTTCAACCATAATATGGACCTTGAAATTTTGTGAAATTTGTGCTGAAGAGATTCAATCATCATTACATAAACGACATCACAAAAAAAAGTAAATATTTGACATTTCTATTTTGTGTTCGAGCATTGTTCTGACATGGACTTATAGATGTCTGCTTTCACACTATAGGTGTTAAACCAACTGCTGAAAACATAGCAATGACTATGTTTGTTTTTTTTATAGCTGGAAATGTTCATGACATGTCTCTCCTAAGATCATATTTTAAGACTTGTTGTAAGTTGCCTTCTGATATGATATGTTATTAAAATTTAGATAGCAGTTTGAAATATTTTTCGAACAATTCTTGTGGTAAGTCCTAACGGTGGAAAAAAAAAAAAAAAAGGATGTACGTAGTCCATGATAGAGGTAATTCAACCTGTACTATTTTCAACTGTTTCTGTTTTGTTGTTTTATCATCCATATCTTGAAATCCATGATAAGGTTTTCTGTAAGCTGCCCTAGTGAAAAAACCTCCAGTTACTGACTTACTAACTGTTGATTATTTTCACCTTCACTGATTTGTGAATGCACTATTATGGAAAAGTCCTGAATTGATTGAAATTCTTCCATTCCAGATGCTTGTCCCTGGTTATACATTAAGTATTTTGAAAGTGATTAAAATATCATTTTGTTATAGAATGTACTTTTTTGTAAATACTGGCCAACAGGCAGTCCTCATGTGCTTTGATGGTTATAATTTGTTTTATGTCTATAAATTACTTGCATTGAGTATTACTGGATATATAATTCTCCAGTTTCTATGTATGATATATATGTTTTCTTTTGTCCCTAGATGTGTGTGTGTTTGAAAAGAAAATCACACAGTTATGTTGCAAATATCTCTCTAGGATCTATTCTATGAAGAGTTCTAGGTTAATGTGGAACTTTGTGACTGTTCACAGGAATTGATTTACTCCAACACAAGGGTGCATTACTCCATCCATGCAGACCTGGTTCTTCCAACAGTGCTCCATGGCCTACAAGACCCACCTGATCAGGAACAGGCAGAGTCCCGTAGAAAATGCTTTAAGATGGTCAAGGTTATACAGCTTCTCACAGGTATGATTATACAAGCCTAATACAAATCTAGAAGATTTCACTACAGACACTACTTAATGCTCTTTACAAATTTCCTTGCCACTATCACAGTCAATATTCATTAATCCCCTACCAGTACAATAAATGATTGTCAGTTTGCATTCTTGTCAAATGTGTCCATCATTTTGTCCAATGTGTCTATTATTTTGTCTAATGTGTTCATCACTTTTTCCAATATGGTCATCTAATGCTTCAAAGTTAAAAGAAATATTTTTTTTAAAAACCTATTTGTATTATTGTAAACTCAAACCATTCCATGACCACAGAAATACATTTTCTGGTAGACTTCCACAATCTACAGCATTAGGAAAATAATTTGTGGTTAAATGGCACCCCTTATATTGTGATGTTGCCTTCCTTTCATTTTCGTTGATAAGGAAGGTGTTGTAGATATTGGTACCCCTATTATTATGATGTTGCCTTCCTTTCAGTGTTTGCCGGTGAGGAGGACACTAAAAAGAAGCTATGTAAGCTGGTGGACATGAGTCTGTTCTCTGGTCTTCTAGAACACCAGTTTACCTACAACAGAGTAGCACTTCGATGTAACAAAGTTGTCTCGCCTGAGGAGGATTGGAGGTGAGTCTCAAAATCAGTTGTGATTGAAATTTATATGTCAAAATTCCCTGTAATAAAACTTAAGAGACCATCTGTCTGTTCCTCAAATAGCCTTTACTTTTTTCATTTTAAACATTACGTAGTATTAGATTTTAGGCTACAGATAAATTGATAACATATCTATATTACAAACAATTACATAGTTTATCTCTTATTAGTCATTACTATTCATTATAGATAACCAATCAGAGTTGAAGATGTTCAAAAAAATAAAGATGCTCGATAAGTCAATAACTTTCCGTATCCTCAATTTATGTTATTCATCAATCATTGTATTGGAACAGGACTACCTTGGTAGTTTATAGTATCATATCAGGTTGGTCCAATCTCACTCTTACTTGTCCAACTTCAGTAATTGCTAAACCTTTATGTTATTTTCAATAATACCGGTATTGATTTAACTTGCATTGATGCCAATGTCTGGTATGAAAGTACATCAAAAGGATTCATGATCCAAGGTCAAGGCCATGGCCACATCAACATTCATAGAAAAATATCAGCTGACTTAATGCTGTTGTTATTCATTACTTAAAAGATATTTATCAAACTTTGAATAAAGGTTTGGTATGAGAATATCTTAGGTAAATACCTGTTTTGTCTTGTATTACTGAAGTCAAGGTATCATGTCACTATTTATTTCAAAAATATCAAGCAATTGAACACATTTCAGAAGACAGCAGGAACATTCCTATCCTGTTAATATATCAGTAAGAAAGTGTAGAGATAGATTTATCATGACTGATTTTACCTTTTATATATGTGCTCAATGAAAACATTAAAAAATGGAAGCCTTTTAATGGATACTACTGTTAATGATCCTTTTACACTGACAGGCTGTGTTAAGTCTGACTAAAATTTGTTTTCTACTTGCAGTGAATATGGAGTAGATGTTGTTTTGTGTGTTTTGGAGTTGATGGAGAAGTTGAAGAAAAGCCTTCCTGATGTAGATGCTCTTTTCTGTTCAACATTACAGGTAAAAATAAAAATGATGTCATCCTTTTTACAGTTGATATTATACTCTTTAGTAATTATTGATGTAAGATTGTATACGATAAAATACACCACATTTTTTAACAAGTGATGTATCTAGATGCAAATATTACAGATTGACTGTATTAATGTTCAGTTAAATTTTCTGCATTAGATAGAAATAATTGAATGTGGTTATGATTTTTGTACTTATACATTATTTTAAAATTTGTTTTACTTCTGGTTAATGACAGGACAGTCGTCTTGTGCCTTTTTTGTCTGCGGGAATGACAAGTAAAGACCGATCACGGGTCCAGACAGCCCTACGGATGATCACTACAGCCTCAGCTCTAGAAAATTTCCCTGTAGTACTGTAGGTATCCAGATATCAATATCCTGTTTTTTACACTCTCATTGGAATGTTTTGGAGAATTTCTTCATTTAACTAGAAGAGATTGCTTTCACACAAATACATCACCATGTTACAGAAGGATTGTTGTGTCAATTTGTCAATAATTTCAGTCATATTTCCATGTGTCATTGATGATGCATTACTTTCCTTTAGTAATATGGATGATATATTTCTGTAGCACCGTGCTAGAGAAAAATAATCACTTGTGTAATGTAAAGAGAAAAATCAGAACTGGAATAACATGTTGAAAATTTGGCATGCAGCAAAGCCTAGTGATACAGATTTCATGATTGGATGGACATTTTTCAGTCTACATCACACAGGAATGAGAAACTGCATTAATCTACTTATAGTTGTCTAGCTTTATGATACTGACATAGCATGAACAGAACTGAAGAGACGAGAAAAATAAACAGATTAAAATGAATAAATAGGAAATGAAAAAGATGATAGATAGGCTGCAACTTTCCTTGTTGTGAAAGGGTTTTTGTATACTGACTATCAAAGAAATTTTGTTTCACATCATGGTGATTGGTCCCTGAAATACTATATCTTTTTGTATATACATGCTTTCTTAAAAGGCCCAAATTTTGTGATAAGTGTGCTGATTGTGTATGATTTTAGATTGGGGGATACTATTGCTGCTAACAACACCCGTCAACATGAGCGCCTCACTTCCAGTCCAACTTTGGAGTGGCAACAGGTCCGCACACATTCACAGTCGGTGGCCCAGTATAATAAGGAAAATATTCCGCTTGGTAATCATCGCCAGAAGCAAGAACCGGTAAATCAGGATGCCTCCATCAATTCTATTATAGAGAGGATGCAGTCGGGACTACAGGTAAGAATCTCACTGCTGTACAATATCTCTTCAGGTACACCATATATACATGATATATATGCCTATTCATTGTATAGCACAAAAGTTTTTCATGCTTTGGAATCAAAAATTTGTTTGCAACATGCAATATATTTTTGGTCTGTCTGTGTAACTTTGTCTGTTTTAGGGATTCCTTTTTGACCCAAATTTGGCATATTGCTTAATATTGGTTAGATCTCAAATGAGTTCAAAATTTGTCAAAGTCAATCAATATTTGCCAGAGCTATAGGATATTCTGAAGGAAAATAATAAGAACAAACAAAGTAAAAACAAGTCCCCTACTTGGTTTCTTTTCGTTTCATTTACGCTTTTATTGCATATCACTTTCCTCACCTAGTAGAATGTGTCTTATAGTCTTCATTCCATTAGTATGTCATCCTCTGTTAGAGTTTTTCCTAATGACCTCTCACTGGATATCAGATTTGTTCTTTTATACTTGATGCATTGCAAAAATGCCTTTGTTTGCCTCTCTTAATTGCAAGTTGTTCATTCTTAAGTAAAGTTTCTATGTTCAGATAAACAATCTGTTTTGTAATTATTGATAATTACTTAATATCACAGACCACTTTCCAAGGCTATGTAAGTATCTAACCTAAGGCTTTGTTTTGTTGTGTTTGCAAGTTTGCCAACAATATGTATGTTTAGGTTGAAAAATGAATTTGTTCTCAAACTTTCATCTATTTAAACAGTATTGATTATACTGAGTGTTGTTCTGTTGATTGATCTTCAAAATTGTATTTCGTTTGATTTTAAGTTTAAATCTATAACTCAAATGTAAGTTTTTTTCAAAATAGTACATTAGCACCTAAGTATTACAGGAAAATATTGTATGCATTTTGCAATTGTGAAAAAGTACAATGTTTGACAAAGAACAGGATTGAGTTATTGAAGATAAAGATATGGATTTTGTTTTATGCTTTGTGCTGTATATATTTTTGAAGGAACTGTCCTTGAAAATGGCAAAAATAAGCTTTGTACTAAAATTAAAATCTGAATGCTATTAATTTTCAAACAGACACCCTAGTTTTATCTGTAGTATTTGTACTTTTTAAGAAATGTCTAATGTTTCAATGCAGGCAGATTTGTTTGTCTGCCAAAAACGTTTTTAATTGAAAATTTTCAAATAAGAAATCAGCTCTGACCTAATCTGACACCTGCAGTACACCTCTGGTAATGTAATGCCCCTGTGTATCAGTTTTCCTGATTGAACAAATATGTCTATATTTGCATGAAATAATGTATTAAAAAGATTACACAACTGCAAGATTTGGTTAAAAAGTTATTTCATGCAAATCTTGCAGCTGTGTAATCTTTTTAATACATTAAGTAATCTTCCATTATTTCATTTTGATAACTTTGGAGCTGATTCTTATTCAAAAGTATAAAAACGTTTATCCCTCCATTTTCAGGAGAGATGTTAAAAAAATATTTTCTTTCATTTAAATATTATGCTGTTACTGGTGTAATCAAAATGCTTGTTTGGACAACTCCAACAAGTTTCAAATTTCAAATTTTGTGACATCCTGCTCATTACTGCCTCATTCAAAAGTTCAAAACCAACATTTATTTGGTTGATCTTTGTATTTTTATGGGAATGATTTTTTCGACAATCATGTAATTGTCCACCAACTCATTTTCTTACTAAATGCTCATAAACCTTTTTTGCACATTTTTGTAGTTGAAATATGAATACTGGGTAAATGTTTGCATTTACTTGCTGAATTTCAGTATATCTGGTTTGTTGAAAATTTTATTTCCTACAGAACAAAAGCTTTAAAGGGATATTCTGGTCGAGTTGAAAAGTTTCTGGCTGTTCTCATTCTAATGACTTTTAAAACTGTTGTTAGCATCAAAATGTCTCTCCTGTGATCAGTTTGGACAGACAAAAATTGTGGGGATACTCCCAGCCAAACTGTCTAAATATAGTGCATCGGAAAATCTGGAACATATAGGTCACTGGATCACAAATTCTATACAGTTGAGTTTATACATAAGTGTGTGCTGTTCACTAAAATTTCTGCAGGGTTACAATTTTTTGTCATTAAGTTTATTTACTGTTGATTTTATAAATTACACAAATATTTCATTGTGTTTGTCTTTTAACAATGCTAACCTGTTATAATGCAAACAGGGCTGCATGAACGTTTGTGAATCTATGTGGCTAGATCTATGGAGAATTTCCACAAATCAAATGTCATGTTTGTTTTAATGGTAAATTCCATAAGAATGTAAGTAGAGGATTTTGTACATTTATTTCAAAGGCATCCCATGAAATGCTAACTTATGCTGATATCCCTTTAAAAATGGAACCTTGAAAATTCAAGATGTAACTCAATTCAAACCCTACCTTAAATTTGTTTTTAAGTGTTTTTTGAAATAAGAAATATCAGTTTTAATGTGGTTGTTCATTGAATCAGGAATCATTGCAGTGGTAATTTTCTTCTAGAAGATTATGTTTCTGTTGGTAATGACGTAAGAATTACTGAGTACTCAGTTATGACTGTGAAGACTACTGAATACTTAATAATAACGATAAGGACCACTGAGTACTCTGTAGTGACTGTCAGAACTACTGAGTACTCTGTAGTGACTGTTAGAACTACTGAGCACTCTGTAGTGACTGTCAGAACTACTGAGTAATCTGTAGTGACTGTCAGAACTACTGAGTACTCTGTAGTGTCTGTTAGAACTACTGAGTACTCTGTAGAGTCTGTTAGGACTACTGAGTACTCTGTAGTGTCTGTTAGGACTACTGAGTACTCTGTAGTGTCTGTTAGAACTACTGAGTACTCTGTAGTGTCTGTTAGAACTACTGAGTACTCTGTAGTGTCTGTTAGAACTACTGAATACTCTGTAGTGACTTAGAACTACTGAGTACTCTGTAGTGACTGATTGAACTACTGAGTACTCTGTAGTGTCTGTTAGAACTACTGAGTACTCTGTAGTGACTGTTAGAACTACTGAGTACTCTGTAGTGACTGATTGAACTACTGAGTACTCTGTAGTGACTGTTAGAACTACTGAGTACTCTGTAGTGACTGTTAGGATTACTGAGTACTCAGTAGTGACTGTTAGAACTACTGAGTACTCTGTAGTGTCTGTTAGAACTACCGAGTACTCTGTAGTGTCTGTTAGAACTACTGAATACTCTGTAGTGACTTAGAACTACTGAGTACTCTGTAGTGACTGTTAGAACTACTGAGTACTCTGTAGTGACTGTTAGAACTACTGAGTACTCTGTAGTGACTGTTAGGATTACTGAATACTCTGTAGTGACTGTTAGGATTACTGAGTACTCTGTAGTGACTGTTAGAACTACTGAGTACTCTGTAGTGTCTGTTAGAACTACTGAGTACTCTGTAGTGACTGTTAGAACTACTGAGTACTCTGTAGTGACTGTTAGGATTACTGAGTACTCTGTAGTGACTGTTAGAACTACTGAGTACTCTGTAGTGACTGTTAGAACTACTGAGTACTCTGTAGTGTCTGTTAGAACTACTGAGTACTCTGTAGTGACTGTTAGGATTACTGAGTACTCTGTAGTGACTGTTAGAACTACTGAGTACTCTGTAGTGACTGTTAGAACTACTGAGTACTCTGTAGTGACTGTTAGAACTACTGAGTACTCTGTAGTGACTGTTAGAACTACCGAGTACTCTGTAGTGACTGTCAGAACTACTGAGTACTCAGTAGTGACTGTTAGGAACCATGTGAATTAGTCAGCCTCTGTTTGGACTATTAAGTAAGAAAAATAAATCCAAATGTCTGACAAGCTGTTACTATTCGCTTGATATAACGGAGAATATAATTTCTGAGCTGCTAACACTAATCTGTTAGGGCTAGTACAGCTTTTCTCACTAACAGTTAAAAAGGGGCAGACAAATAAACATGATTCCAAACATCATTAATTCATTTCTTCTCTCTTGCAAAACAGAAATTAAATTGTTTTTTAAATCAATCAAAATTTATATGTGCCTATATTTCTCTTTTGTTTTGGACATAACTTTGTGATTGGTAATGGGGTCAAAGGTCATGGCCTCCTTGTCCTTCTAAACCTAGTTCACTTGCTTCAATCGTCTTAATGCAACTTCATACATGTATATGTACTTGCTTTGTATCTACCTTGTCATTACCAAAAAATGCTATTATCTTGATACATTGGAAAGGGACATAACAAATTCACCATCCATAGCTTCTACACCACTTTCATCAACTTTGCCCTCCTCTCTAGACTGCTCTTGGATGCCCCATTACCTTGACTCAATAGACTTATTATATTATTTCATCAAATAATAGTATGACATAGTCAATGCTTTCATGGAACTGATGATATAAACTACACTGCTTCAATTACACAATATTACACAAGTAGTAATAATAGGAGAGATGATAAGTGGAAATATAAGATGATGTTATTGTGAGCCTTGCTCACAACTCTTTGTCAGATTTATAGTGTAAATTTGCCCTGTTTATTGTTGTGAGATCCTGACTTCAGGTTTTAGGTATTAAGTATTTACTTTATCTAAATGTTTTTATTTGATACCTTGGTAATTTCTTTCTGATTTTTAATGTTTATTGTTTCAGATGAGTGAGATCAAGGCATCTGAAATCATTGATATCTACGAACATAAGCTGCAGTCCCTACAGGTAAAAACAAGTATTGGTATTCTTAGATCGTCTAATTTGTGTGATGGGACAGATTTGTATGTCATTATGTTACTTGGTCCAGAATCTCAACACTTCAGCATGAAGAGTCTCCTTGATATATTGGTCCTGTTGTATATAATGCAGTCCTGTTGTATATAATGCAGTCCTGTTAATGTTAGGGTTTGACTTGTTGATACATTGATCCTGTTGTATATAATGCAGTCCTGTTGTATATAATGCAGTCCTGTTGTATATAATGCAGTCCTGTTGTATATAATGCAGTCCTGTTAATGTTAGGGTTTGACTTGTTGATATATTGGTCCTGTTGTATATAATGCAGTCCTGTTGTATATAATGCAGTCCTGTTGTATATAATGCAGTCCTGTTAATGTTAGGGTTTGACTTGTTGATATTTTAGTCCTGTTGTATATAATGCAGTCCTGTTGTATATAATGCAGTCCTGTTAATGTTAGGGTTTGACTTGTTGATATATTGGTCCTGTTGTATATAATGCAGTCCTGTTGTATATAATGCAGTCCTGTTGTATATAATGCAGTCCTGTTGTATATAATGCAGTCCTGTTAATGTTAGGGTTTGACTTGTTGATATATTGGTCCTGTTGTATATAATGCAGTCCTGTTAATGTTAGGGTTTGACTTGTTGATATATTGGTCCTGTTGTATATAATGCAGTCCTGTTGTATATAATGCAGTCCTGTTAATGTAGTACAGAATACATTTATCAGGATTTAGGCAGTCACAGTGAGTGTGTAGGGACTCTGTTCTACCTTGAGGATTTCTTGTGACAACAACATGTCTCTCTAGATTACTGTGCTTGTTATACTTAACAGAACAAAGAGGACCAGCTCCAGGACTTGTTGGATGCTAAGGCCTTGGCTTTGTCCCAGGCTGACCGTCTCATTGCTCAGTACAGGTCACGGCGAGCACAGTATGAGGCTGAGGTAAGAAGCTGTGTAAATATCCTGGTCACGCTATCACAGCCTCAAACTCTTCACCGCACTGTTCATGTCAAATTAAACAATTATAAATATCATTTTGGATCCCTATCCAGCATCCAGCTTGTAACATTTAAACATTGTCAGTCTGTATTATGTTGTTCTGAGACTTAACATGTTCAGCCCTTCTTATGACCAGTTGTTTTAACAAACAGAAAAGTTTAATAAATGAAATTAGGATTTAATTTACTGGATGTCGCATGAAGTGACTAACCCCTGCCAATGTTGTAGGCACACAAGATGAGGTCGATGGTTCAGAGCTCTGAGAAGAGAAGTGAACAATATCGAGAACAGCTGAATGATGTGATCCTACGAGGGGAACACCTTCAGAATGATCTGGAACAGGTCAACCAGGAGAAACAGAAGTAAGTGATAGTCTCCAGACACACAGGTTTACTGAGATTAAAAGTGGTAGTCCCAGACACACAGGTTTACTGAGAATAAATTTGATAGTCTCCAGGCACACAGGTTTACTTAAAACAAAGTTGATAGTCTCCAGACACACAGGTTTACTGAGAATAAATTTGATAGTCTCCAGGCACACAGGTTTACTTAAAACAAAGTTGATAGTCTCCAGACACACAGGTTTACTGAGAATAAAAGTGGTAGTCCCAGACACACAGGTTTACTGAGAATAAAAGTGGTAGTCCCGGACACACAGGTTTACTGAGATTAAAAGTGGTAGTCCCAGACACACAGGTTTACTGAGATTAAAAGTGGTAGTCCCGGACACACAGGTTTACTGAGATTAAAAGTGGTAGTCCCAGACACACAGGTTTACTGAGATTAAAAGTGGTAGTCCCAGACACACAGGTTTACTGAGAATAAATTTGATAGTCTCCAGGCACACAGGTTTACTTAAAACAAAGTTGATAGTCTCCAGACACACAGGTTTACTGAGAATAAAAGTGGTAGTCCCAGACACACAGGTTTACTGAGAATAAAAGTGGTAGTCCCGGACACACAGGTTTACTGAGAATAAAAGTGGTAGTCCCGGACACACAGGTTTACTGAGATTAAAAGTGGTAGTCCCAGACACACAGGTTTACTGAGAATAAATTTGATAGTCTCCAGGCACACAGGTTTACTTAAAACAAAGTTGATAGTCTCCAGACACACAGGTTTACTGAGATTAAAAGTGGTAGTCCCGGACACACAGGTTTACTGAGATTAAAAGTGGTAGTCCCAGACACACAGGTTTACTGAGATTAAAAGTGGTAGTCCCGGACACACAGGTTTACTGAGATTAAAAGTGGTAGTCCCAGACACACAGGTTTACTGAGATTAAAAGTGGTAGTCCCGGACACACAGGTTTACTGAGATTAATATTGGTAGTCCCGGACACACAGGTTTACTGAGATTAATATTGGTAGTCCCGGACACACAGGTTTACTGAGATTAAAAGTGGTAGTCCCGGACACACAGGTTTACTGAGATTAATATTGGTAGTCCCGGACACACAGGTTTACTGAGATTAAAAGTGGTAGTCCCGGACACACAGGTTTACTGAGAATAAATTTGATAGTCTCCAGGCACACATGTTTACTTAAAACAAAGTTGATAGTCTCCAGACACACAGGTTTACTGAGATTAAAAGTGGTAGTCCCAGACACACAGGTTTACTGAGAATAAATTTGATAGTCTCCAGGCACACAGGTTTACTTAAAACAAAGTTGATAGTCTCCAGACACACAGGTTTACTGAGATTAAAAGTGGTAGTCCCAGACACACAGGTTTACTGAGAATAAATTTGATAGTCTCCAGGCACACAGGTTTACTTAAAACAAAGTTGATAGTCTCCAGACACACAGGTTTACTGAGATTAAAAGTGGTAGTCCCAGACACACAGGTTTACTGAGATTAAAAGTGGTAGTCCCGGACACACAGGTTTACTGAGATTAAAAGTGGTAGTCCCAGACACACAGGTTTACTGAGATTAAAAGTGGTAGTCCCAGACACACAGGTTTACTGAGATTAAAAGTGGTAGTCCCGGACACACAGGTTTACTGAGAATAATGGTGATAGTCTTCAAACACACAGAAATGCATCATTAAAACTGCTTGTAAAACAGCAAATATGTGCACTTCTCAATGTAGATCTTATGTATCCCCAATAGTAGAAGAGATGAACAAACACAGCTGTATGATATAAGTTGGTGAATAAGCCAAAGACTTTAGAGATTAATTAAGATCACTGCAGTGGGTGAATAACGTTACAATAACATTTGTAAGGTCACTATTTCAGTGGGTGAATAAGTCAGATATAAGAGGATGAATAAGGTCACTTTATCATTGGGTGAAAAAAGTAACTTAGGTAAATAAGTCCACGATATTAATGGATGAATAAGGTCATTTTGTCAGTGGATGAAAAAGTCACCGTATCAGTGGGTGAATAAGGTCACTTTATCATTTGTTTATCATCCTATACATAGTAGTGGTTTGAAAAGTCTTGTTATTTTTTTTCAAACCCTGTAATTGAGATTGTAATGAATTCTACATTATGCCATTAAGCCTCTCTTTTCCTGATGATTTCAATGATATTATTTCACAGGCTTGAAGAAGTGGCAGCAGAGCACAAACAGCTTACTGTGGCCTACATGGAGCTGTCAGAGAAGTATGTATTATTAATGGCTCTGTTTCAGTACAGGAACTCATTTCAAGTGGATGTTTATCTCAGTGTATATTATTTGTTGGATTATGGCCAAAGGAGATCACATTTTCCTTTCTGTTTCCCTTAATTGCAAATGATAAATGAAAAACGAAAGTGGTATATTTTTGAAACAAGTAACTTCAGGTACATAGGTGACAGTTTATCATGTAGTCAGGAAAAATCTGACATTTAATGCAAACAAGGTGTGGAATCTGATTAACTGCTGTGATTAAAAGAAGGATTTACCTTAAAGTAACTAAATATCTTCTTTGTTAGGGAGATCAATGGTGTCATATGTCAATTCTGATATTACTATGCATTCATATGAATATATTTTAGGTATGAAAGTTCCGAAAAGTCGTTACTTTGTCTGAAACAAGAACATAAGACTCTGATGGAGATGCATGAGATGTTGAATAAACACAACGAATCATTAAAACAACAACATGATGTGTAAGTAAAATTGATTAAACAACATGATGTGTAAGTAAAATTGATTAAACAACGTGATGTGTAAGTAAAATTGATTAAACAACATGATGTGTAAGTAAAATTGATTAAACAACATGATGTGTAAGTAAAATTGATTAAACAACATGATGTGTAAGTAAAATTGATTAAACAACATGATGTGTAAGTAAAATTGATTAAACAACATGATGTGTAAGTAAAATTGATTAAACAACATGATGTGTAAGTAAAATTGATTAAACAACATGATGTGTAAGTAAAATTGATTAAACAACATGATGTGTAAGTAAAATTGATTAAACAACATGATGTGTAAGTAAAATTGATTAAACAACATGATGTGTAAGTAAAATTGATTAAACAACATGATGTATAAGTAAAATTGATTAAACAACATGATGTGTAAGTAAAATTGATTAAACAACATGATGTGTAAGTAAAATTGATTAAACAACATGATGTGTAAGTAAAATTGATTAAACAACATGATGTGTAAGTAAAATTGATTAAACAACATGATGTGTAAGTAAAATTGATTAAACAACATGATGTGTAAGTAAAATTGATTAAACAACATGATGTGTAAGTAAAATTGATTAAACAACATGATGTGTAAGTAAAATTGATTAAACAACATGATGTGTAAGTAAAATTGATTAAACAACATGATGTGTAAGTAAAATTGATTAAACAACATGATGTGTAAGTAAAATTGATTAAACAACATGATGTGTAAGTAAAATTGATTAAACAACATGATGTGTAAGTAAAATTGATTAAACAACATGATGTGTAAGTAAAATTGATTAAACAACATGATGTGTAAGTAAAATTGATTAAACAACATGATGTGTAAGTAAAATTGATTAAACAACATGATGTGTAAGTAAAATTGATTAAACAACATGATGTGTAAGTAAAATTGATTAAACAACACGATATCTTAATGATGACATGATGACATTAAACAGCATCATGACCTTTAAGTAATTACATTTAAACAACATGATGTGTAAGTAAAATTGATTAAACAACATGATGTGTAAGTAAAATTGATTAAACAACATGATGTGTAAGTAAAATTGATTAAACAACATGATGTGTAAGTAAAATTGATTAAACAACATGATGTGTAAGTAAAATTGATTAAACAACATGATGTGTAAGTAAAATTGATTAAACAACATGATGTGTAAGTAAAATTGATTAAACAACATGATGTGTAAGTAAAATTGATTAAACAACATGATGTATAAAATTGATTAAACAACATGATGTGTAAGTAAAATTGATTAAACAACATGATGTGTAAGTAAAATTGATTAAACAACATGATGTGTAAGTAAAATTGATTAAACAACATGATGTGTAAGTAAAATTGATTAAACAACATGATGTGTAAGTAAAATTGATTAAACAACATGATGTGTAAGTAAAATTGATTAAACAACATGATGTGTAAGTAAAATTGATTAAACAACATGATGTGTAAGTAAAATTGATTAAACAACATGATGTGTAAGTAAAATTGATTAAACAACATGATGTGTTAAGTAAAATTGATTAAACAACATGATGTGTAAGTAAAATTGATTAAACAACATGATGTGTAAGTAAAATTGATTAAACAACATGATGTGTAAGTAAAATTGATTAAACAACACGATATCTTAATGATGACATGATGACATTAAACAGCATCATGACCTTTAAGTAATTACATTTAAACAACATGATATCTGAGTATTGACAAGCCAACTACCTTGTGCTAAATGGTGAAATGTAGGTCAATTCTCTAGGTGCCATATGCTAACATAGTGATTTGAGAGATCAGATCTTGATCAGACTGCTACAAGGAGACTCCACCTTAAAATCACTCTGGATGTTCAGAGGGCAATGGCTATTTGCTATCGTGCCTTAATGACAGAATTAGGAATACCTGTGGTACCATACAATTTAAACATGGCCAAGATGGTTATACTAAACAACAAGGATTCTTTAAAAATTGGTCAAGTGGTTAACTTTATCCACCTCTGTGTTGTAGATTTAAGGCCTAATATATATAGTATACATCCCAGTTGCCAAGTATTGGCCAAAAGGTTGGTGGATTTTATCAGTGAACTCAGGATTTCCTCCACAACCCAAACCTGGCATGTCCTTAAATGATGTTGATATATATTAATAGGATGTAAAGCAACAACAAACTCGGTCAAAAATAGATCAATGGTCAGTCCATTATTATTCAATAAATGGAATTCACTAATCATTCATAAATATGATGTTTCTGTCTAAAAGTTCATAATAGCCATACCTTATGAACTGCTGAAGATGTATATTTCCACTTTGTTTAATTTCATAAGATGCAATTGCAATGATTACACCATGCAGCAACAAAAATATTTGTTTGATCCTCCAACTTTTTGTTGAAACCAGACTTGGAATTAAGGGATGCTTCAAATAAGTATGCTTTTGTATTTTACAGAGCCTCAGAACAGCTGTCAAAACTCTCCAAACAGTTGATGGAGAAGGCATCAGGTAAGAACCTGTTATAGTCAGATCTTTGATTTGTTCACTACTGAACTATTTGACCTTAAACAGGTAGACTATATAGAATTTCGTTAACTAGAATTTTAGCACCAATATCTGCTTCTTTATGGTTTTTTTCTTCTTTATCTTTCTGGTGGACGTTTCCACAGTGATGAAATCATCATTAAATACATAATGAATCCCAACATAGTGAGATACACATTCAAACACAGTGCATAGCCATAGTCATCTGATGTAGTGAGCCAAGATTAAATCTCGGAATATCATGTTGTTGACAGAGCTTACACAGACCCAGCTGATGTTAGAAGAAGACCATGCTAAAGCTAAGAAGGAGCAGGAAACACTGGAGGATTGTCTGGATAAAATACGAGCAAACTTGGACAGTACAGAGAAAGCCAAAAAGAAACTAGAACAGAAGGTGAGGGTTTGCCAAACTTCAAAGTTTGGGAAAAAGAAATATTCAATTGATATTAAATATTCCTCTTTTGATTTCGTTAATGTTTTTTAAGTGTTTCTTCATAATAATGTATGGACCAAATACCTCTTAAACTATTAACTAGATTTTCCAATGTGTCTTTTATTATAAAATTTCGTTATGTATTTGACTTATCCATCTTTGTATTAAGTTATTTACCGTAGTATATGTAAGTCCTTTACCAATAATATATGTGATGGGTGATGAAAGGCATTTTTAGGTCATCTGACCCGAAGGGTCCGATGACCTATAGTCATCATGCTTCGTCCGTCGTCGTCCGCCGTGCGCCGTCCGCCGTGCGCCGTCCGTAAACTTTTCATTAAAAAGACTTCTTCTCAAATACTAGAAGGTCTAGGGGGCTAATACTTGGCACAGAGGATACTGGCATGGAGCTCTACCAAGTTTGTTCAAATGAATGACCTTGACCCACTTTAAAGGTCACAGGGGTCAAATATGTTAAAATCTTTAAACAACTTCTTCTCATTAACCAAAAGGCTCAGAGTGTAGATATTGGGCCTGTGACATGCTGGGATAAAGTGCTACTAAGTTTGTTCAAGTGAATGACCTTGACCTACGTTCAAGGTCACAGGGGCCAAATATGTTGAAATCTTTAAACGACTTCTCCTCAATAACCAAAAGGCTCAGATTGCTGATATTGTGCCTGTGGCATGCTGGGATGAAGGGCTATCAAGTTTGTTCAAATGAATGACCTTGAAACTTTCAATGTCACAGGGGTCAAATATGTTAAAATCTTTAAATAACTTCTTCTCAAATACTAGAAGGCCTAGGGGGCTAATACTTGGCCCATAGCATGCTGGCATGGAGCCCTACAAAGTTTGTTCAAATGAATGACCTTGGCCCACTTTCAAGGTCACAGGGGTCAAATATGTTAAAATATACAAAGGACTTCATCTCAATAAGCAAAAGTCTATGAGTGCCGATATTGGGTCTGTAGCATGCTGGGAGGAAAGGCTACCAAGTTTATTAGGTCATCTGACCCGAAGTGTCCGATGACCTATAGTCATCATGCTTCGTCCGTCGTCGTCCGCCGTGCGCCGTGCGCCGTGCGCCGTCCGTAAACTTTTCATTCAAACGACTTCTTCTCAATAATTGGAAGGCCCAGGCAACTAATATTTGGCCTGTAGCTTGCTTTGATGAAGCCCTACCAAGTTTGTTAAAAAGAATGACCTTGACCTTCATTCAAGGTCACAGGGGTCAAATGTCTTAAAATCTTCAAACGACTTCTTCTCAATAACTGGAGGGCCCAGGCAACTAATATTTAGCCTGTATCTTGCTTTGATGAAACCCTACCAAGTTTGTTCAAATGAATGTCTTTGACCTTCATTCAAGGTCACAGGGGTCAAATGTCTTTAAATCTTCAAAGGACTTCTTCTCAGTAATCAAAAGGCCCAGGCAACTAAAATAAGGCCTGTAGCATGCTGGGATGAAGGACTACCAAGTTTGTTCAAATGAATGACCTTGATTTTTATATATGTAAGCATCTTTTCACTTGAGAATGTTGTGTAATAAATTGTCTGCATATATCATTGTACTATCTAGAGTTATGACCCTTCCATTGTTTTTTACTACAAAGTTCCTGACTAAACATTACTTGTGATAATTGATCTTAGTTTTGAAAATAAATTCATGTGAAAATTGACTTGTCAAAAAACAACATTTGATTTGACTCAAGAAGATGGCATAAGATGCTGTATTGTGATTTAATGATACCATATAGCAGCTATTGTATTATGTTTGTTGACATCATTTTCCTTTGTCACAGGTGGTCACACTGGAGCGATCATTACAGCAGAATGAAGAGGAACTAAAGGAAAAGGTTGAAGTCATACGTGAATTGAAATCAAATGTGGATAAGCATGCCCAGATAGCAGCTCTTATACACAGCCTCAGCAGTGGCAAAAGTGATATAGATTCTGTAAAAACATGAAATGCTTTTTTTATTTCTCTGTCACACTAAACATGTGTTGTTATATCTTTATATATGTTTCACTAGGTGATATGTTTCAAGCAGTGATATTTCTGTAGGTGATATGTTTCACAAGGTGATATGTTTCACACAGTGATATTTCTGTAGGTGATATGTTTCACAAGGTGATATGTTTCACAAGGTGATATGTTTCAAGCAGTGATATGTTTCACACAGTGATATTTCTGTAGGTGATATGTTTCATAAGGTGATATGTTTCACACAGTAATGTTTCTGTAGGTGATATGTTTCACACGATGATGTTTCTGCAGGTGATATGTTTCACACAGTGATGTTTCTGCAGGTGATATGTTTCACACAGTGATATTTCTGTAGGTGATATGTTTCACACAGTGATATTTCTGTAGGTGATATGTTTCACACAGTGATGTTTCTGTAGGTGATATGTTTCACACAGTGATGTTTCTGTAGGTGATATGTTTCACACAGTGATGTTTCTGTAGGTGATATGTTTCACACAGTGATATTTCTGTAGGTGATATGTTTCACAAGGTGATATGTTTCACACAGTGATATTTCTGTAGGTGATATGTTTCACACAGTGATATTTCTGTAGGTGATATGTTTCACAAGGTGATATGTTTCACACAGTGATGTTTCTGAAGGTGATATGTTTCACATGTTGATGTTTCTGCAGGTGATATGTTTCACACGATGATGTTTCTGTAGGTGACATTTTTCACAAGGTGATATGTTTCACACGATGATATTTCTGTAGGTGATATGTTTCACAAGGTGATATTTCTGTAGGTGATATGTTTCACAAGGTGATATATTTCACACTGATGTTTCACAAGGTGATATGTTTCACACAGTGATATGTTTCACACAGTGATATTTCTGTAGATGATATGTTTCACACATTGATATGTTTCACACAGTTGATGTTTCACAAGGTGATATGTTTCACACAGTGATATGTTTCACACCGTGATATTTCTGTAGGTGATATGTTTCACACAGTGATGTTTCACAAGGTGATATGTTTCACACGGAGATGTTTCACAAGGTGATATGTTTCACACAGTGATATGTTTCACACAGTGATATTTCTGTAGGTGATATGTTTCACACAGTGATGTTTCACAAGGTGATATGTTTCACACAGTGATATTTCTGTAGGTGATATGTTTCACAAGGTGATATGTTTCACACAGTGATGTTTCACAAGGTGATATGTTTCACAATGTGACATGTTTCACACAGTGATATTTCTGTAGGTGATATTTTTCACACAGTGATGTTTCTGTAGGTGATATGTTTCACACAGTGATGTTTCTGTAGGTGATATGTTTTACACAGTGATATGTTTCACACAGTGATGTTTCACAAGGTGATATGTTTCACACAGTGATATTTCTGTAGGTGATATGTTTCACAAGGTGATATGTTTCACACAGTGATGTTTCACAAGGTGATATGTTTCACAATGTGACATGTTTCACACAGTGATATTTCTGTAGGTGATATTTTTCACACAGTGATGTTTCTGTAGGTGATATGTTTTACACAGTGATATGTTTCACACAGTAAAGTTTCTGAAGGTGATATGGAGATGGTTCTGCAGGTGACATTTTTCACAAGGTGACATGTTTCTGTAGGTGATATGTTTCACACAGTGATACTGAAAAGTATTTCCTAATCATACCAACTTCACCATAGCCGTAAAAGCACAACAGAAAACTATGTCCAGATCATACAAACTTCACTATATCTAAAACAATGATACAGATATTACACCAAGTGTAGCTGAAATAGGGATAAAAAAATCTTTGTGTTGGAGCAGATGAGAACTGTTTGAAATTACACCAAACGTAGACATTTCAGTTTTAGATTAAAATTTTTTTGAAGTGGACTAAAGTAAGCCATTAATCTTCAATGTTGACTAATTGGAGTAGTCTTAAACTGTCCAAAAGAATAAATGGTCAGCCAAGAAGTGTCTGATAATGTCACATATATATGTTATTTTGGGTAAAATGATTCTATCATTGAGTGTACTTTTTCATTATAAAGTTGTGACCTGACTTGAGTTTTAAGGATGGTGTTTTTGGCCAGTTTCTGTTAGTGGTGTTGTTGCTCACTACATACCAGTAATGCATTTCACATATTCATACAGCAAAGTTTTAATAATTTGATTTTATAGTTCATACAAATCATGGTCATTGGAAAAATAAAGGAACATCATGAAAACTTAGTTAGAGGTGAATGGGACTTCAATTCTTTGTTATGTCTACCATTAATGTCATATATATGTAGGATTTTTACACAAGTTTCCATTTCATGTGCAACTTAAGAAACAAATCTTAAGAATTTTTCATTGCATCTAGCATGTGGTAAACTAGAATTAAAAAAGGTGTGATGTGTTTCATAAATTGTACATGAAATAGAAACAACTTTAAGATCCATTTTATCACATGAACCATGTATTACGTAAATATCCCAGAAAACATGGTTTTCCTGGTCACTGTTGTAGACTCCTTTTCAGTTGTCTCCCTTGTGACATTATTATGAAATCTGTGAGTGTATGACATTTCATTATGTTGTATCATCTACCTATGTCACAATATGTCATATTGCACTAGTGTTACATGCAAAGTACACTTACTAACTAACTGCCTCAATTTCAGAAATAGCAGTTTGGCTTGGAACATCTTAGATACAGGCTAGAAGATCTGATATCATTAGGGACAAAAAACATGGAAAGACATTGGTTTCTTAATACTAAAACATTGTCCTTTGGTCTGCAAGAACTGTTCAGAACAAGCCTATTGTCCATTTAACTTTGATAGACATTTCTTCAATTATTAAACAGAGCAAAACAATTGGTAAATGTACTTGAAATGCTACATACACTAAGACTACATATATGTATGTAACATTATTGCGGACAATGTGACTTGCCATTTCAACATAGAGCTAACCTGTCATTTTTCTTTCTATGCCACTGTTTCTTGAAACTCTATCTCTCTTTCACCACTTTTGTACAACATTTGATATTGTTTGTATACTTTAGCCTATTCTGATTAAAACAAGAAAACATGATTTGTTGTTTTAAAATTCAGTAACATTTTGGTAGATTTTTTGTTTAACTATATTAACATTCTGTTTTTTTTTCTTTTAAGTTTTTGCCATTCTGTACAAAACTTTAGTACATGGTGTTTTAGACATAAAACATATTTTTGTGCACAATTGAAATACAAATGTAAAACTGTCTAATATGTCATTAAAGTATTTTCTGTATCATACAATTGTTGTGTACATTTTTAGTCTCCATAGCTTACTAAGGACTACTATGTAGTACTTTCCTCTGCAATTGTGGGTATCTTATTAAACTCTCTTGGCCAGTGAACATGATTTTTTTAGTCATTCATCTGAAATAATATGGAGTTTTCAAATTCCTTTTAATCCACAGTCTGTTTGTAAACTATTCTCAGTATCTTTGTATCTCAGAAAGTAGGTCTCAAACTTTGTTCACAAGGTCCCATTAGTTGTGAGTACATAAATGAATTAGACACATTAGTAGCTTTTAAGATTTCAGAATGTTGTTTATTATACTAAAAGGATAAAGAAACGCAGGGTGAACTTTAAACCAGAAATTAAGTATGATATCGGGCTTCATTTAAAACGAAATTTTGTATACTTACAGATAAATTACAGCTTAAAAATTTCCAAAGTCTGTATTTTGCATCTGACAATTGGTTTAGAGGTACTAACGATTAAATTGAATGGACCCATAGGATTTTGAAATTGAAATTGAACTGAGTCATCAATATCTTGTGTGTCCGCCGTTTGCTGTGGTCACGGCCCTTATTCTTCTGGTCATAGAGTTATAGAGTGTTAATCCGTTTTATGGGAATGTTGTCCCACTCTTCAATCAGAGCTCTGGTCAACTGCTCTCGAGTAGCAAGGGGTGGCTGGCGCTTTCGAACCTGTCTATCCAACTGGTCCCAAAGATGCTCGATCGGGGACAAATCAGGGCTATATGGCGGCCAATCTAGTGGTTGAATGTTGTTGTTGGCCAGAAAGACTTGGCAAATCCTTGCTACGTAGGGCCTAGCATTATCCTGCTGGAGGGTTAGATTATGCTGCTGTAAGAAAGGGATAACGTGGGGTCGGAGGATTTCATCAATAACAACCAATTGTGATTTTAACCTGTGTGAGATTCCTCCCCACACCATTACTGAACCGCCCCCAAACCTATCCCTCTCTACAACGCAAGCATCCCTAAAACGTTCGCCACAACGTCGGTAGACACGTTGACGGCCGTCGGATCGATAAAGACAGAATCGAGACTCGTCCGTGAAGAAAACTTGTCTCCACTGCCTCAGTTGAAACCATCGTGGAGCATGGCAGCGATCCAGGCCATACGACGCTGACGTCGAGCAGGAGTAAGGTGTGGACCTACGTAGGGGCGACGTGCTCTTACACCAACTTCTCGTAATCGATTCTTTACAGTTTTTGAACTTATAGGACGCCCATGATTTCCACAAACATTAAGTGCACTCTCAACGGCAGTAAGGCGCTGATAACGCACATGAGAGACGACAATATAGCGATCCTGACGTCGTGACGTTACGCTCGGACGTCCTGACCTAGGTCGATCGGCCAATCGCCTAGTTTTACAAGAGGTTCTATGGTGCCAACCTGATTTTGCAGCTGTCCTTGCAACAGCATCTGCATGGCCTGACCCCTCTGAACTTCTGTGAGTCGTGCCATTCTTAAAACGAATCAAATTTTCAATTAATTTTAGGGAAGCAGTTTTGGTCTGTATAAAGACTAACAAAGAGTGACTTGACCAACGCTGCATGAGACCAGAACAACACCGTGCACAAGATTCTTGTTTTTTTCCTTCCTCCATTTACCTGAGCTGCGCACTGTACCGCGACTAAATTTTCGATACTTGGCAAGGTGTAATATGACCTAATTACTCAATCCACAAAGTTTCACTTTATTTGGAGGACCCGTTTTCAAAATATCGGAATAAATATTACCCTGCATTTCTTTATCCTTTCAGTATATTTAATTTCAGCAGAAAAGGGACACAATTCATAATTGTTATTTTCCAAGATTTTACCCTGATTCTTAACATTATTACTCTTCAGCTTTCTACCGTTAAGGGTTTCCGACACTTTTCTTCAAAACTGTAAGGTGGATCTTCACCGAACTTTGAGAAAGTAATGCTGATGGCCTCTTGATGAGCAGACAAATTCTGTTTTCTAATTAGGCAAGATGACTGCCACTACCGTTTCCTGATTGGCTAATATCTTTTCACCAATAATTTTTGTTGTACTTGGAATATAAGGGTAAGAATTGGTGGAAATGATAACCAAAGGAAACTCTCTAAGAAGGTGTAATGAAAAAATGACAACGTCACCAATGGAAGTTTCTGATTAGTCGAAATTTCGATATTGTTTGATTTTTGTTAAATTTGGCATGTAGGTGTAGTATGACATTTAAAACATGACGGTGATATTCGTTTTCTTATCAAATGAAATGGCTGACTGGGGATTATTAGAATTTTTCATTTTTATAAGTGTACATCAAAGTCCCCAGCCAGTGCTATTATTTAGAATTTTTTAAGGTTTAAACCAACCTGTTTCCAAGACCTTCTTTCCCTGTACTTTAATAAACATCATTCTCAATTGAAGGGGTAGTTTAGGGGACTTCTGTTATGGGTTCCATTACAGTTAATACTGGGTTATATCTATGGGGCCAAAAGACAGATTAAATTGGTGAAAGTGAATATTGGTTTATTTTGTCTTGTATGATTTCTAAAGGAACTTCACTTGATATAGTTTGTCATACGTTTAAAAGTGGCATCACCAAGATGTTACTTTTCAAGGGATGGTGTCATGAACATTTCACTCTAAACTTCTGTATATACGAGGGCTGATTGATAAGTTGTGAGCCTCACATTTATGGGTTTGACTTTTGGCACTCAAATACATGTATGAAGTCATCATCTGACCAAAAGTAGGTACCAGAAATGACCTTTTGCAATTTTGGAAATATATGAAGTCTGATGGAGTGAGATCAGGCAAATAAGGCAGATGCTAAATCAATTCAAAGCCACAATCATTAATGGCAGCTATGGCAATGAAAGCATTGTGAACAAGGGCATTGTCCTGGTGGAACAACATACCCCTTTTACTGAGTTTTCCTTGGTGCTTGAGTTTAATATGAAATCCCAACTGTACTGGTTATATATCTCTGTAACTCGCCTGAAAGCCATAACAATATCATGGACTTTATTGACCATTTCTGGGGTTGTAACAGTGACAAGTGTCATCCGCTAGGCACTGCCTGCCATGCTTAAATTCCGTGATCCACCTTTTCACTGTAGCATATGAAGGAGCGTCATTCCCTTGTATTGCTACCATATCAGTATGATTTTCTTAGGTACTAGACCTTTTTTATGCAAATATTGAATCACTGCTCTTTCAACGATTTTGTAGATTTTGCAAGTCATTTGCCTTGTTTAGTTAAGAGTGCTACCTCTTTTATTGACCAAAAGATACCAGTCTTAAAAAGGACATACCTGTTTAACTTCTTCAATACAAGGCTCAAAAGTATTAGTCCAAATTCAACCTAACTTAAGATATAGTTAGATAACACAACAAGAGGCCCATGGGCCTTAACAGTCAGCTGACTACAAAAATTTCAGCAGTTTTGGAACTGGAGAAGTTTAAATTATGTTTTTCAAAATGGCCTCCCTGACTGCTATGTCAAAGTTTTAACAAGGTTGAAAAATAACAACATGTTGTTGGCTAACTTTCCTTAACATTCCAAGCAATTTTTAGTTCAATGGCACCAGTAGAACTGGAGAAGAACATCGAAATAGGTTTTTCAAGTTGGCAGCCATTTTGGATTTCAGACCGACCTGAATAATAACATTTAGTCAGGCTATCTTAGGATCATTTCAGACAAGTTGGAGCTCAATCCTACTCTAGAAGTTCAAAATGTCAAAAGTTTGTGCATGGCGGACAACAAACGACAAATCCTAATGGCTAAAGGTCATTATGACCTAAAAATCCAGACATGTGAGACAGAATTACTCAGAATATAAAATATTAAAACCGAGTGATGTGTATACAAAATCTTTAATATGGTAATATCAATGAAGTATGAAGTACAAAGTGGCATTGAAAACATTAAAATATTCAAAAGGTTGACATGAAATATTAACAGAGCCAACATAATTATACGTAGAAATACACTTCATACCATCATTCCACTAGAGTTGATAATTCATTTCTTTTGTAGTATATTCAACCATACTCTGGTAATAATGAAAAAAATTACTTGTATTTGTCATGAACAAAGGTCTAAACATAAGTGAGGTCTGATATCTCATTAGTCATTGATCGGTCATTATAGGTATATATATATATATATGTGTGATAACTTGTAGATATATAATTGTTATATCAAACAATAAAAATATAAAATGAACAAGACCAGTTTTTGATATCTTGTTATAATTATCTGGTCTTCAACTCAAACATTCTGGGGAAAAAAAAACAAAGAAAAACCCCAGAAGAATTCAAAATGCTGAATATGTGTTATAATAAAAATCTTTCAACAGATATATTTTACTGGCAGTATTTGAAAGACAAATAAGCTATTTAACTTTGTTACTGACAAATATTCCCTATAACAAGTTGTAAATGTTTATTTATACTAGTTGTGCGCAGAATAGGTATGTAATACAAGTGACACAAATTTCTGACTAACATTTACAAGTACTTGTTAACATATATAACAAGATGGACACATTTACAAACACACATTCCCTATAACAAGTGTTACACACAATATGAATAACTATTTCATACACATGCATTATATAGCTGTTTACACAGAAAATGAGAAACAACCACATTTCTATTGAGCAGTAATTGTAATTACTAACTCCCACATGTTCAGTGTATATATCACTGAACCAGACAAACCTTTAAAATCTCCAGTACTAAATCACAGAGCTCGTCACAGAACAACCTCACTAATGCTAAATAAATTGTAGTAAATTTGTTCTAAAAATTCATGCCCAACATGGTCAAAAAATTATAGAAATATAAATACAATTTCATTAAAAAAAACATGTATAATTAAAAGAAAATTGCATTATTAGTCTTTTCTACTGATCAACTGATAACAGCAGGCAATGATACACACAACAATTTGTAACTTCATTAGTTACATCATCATCATTATCCGGTATAAATCATCTCTCACTCCTATAATTATCTCCCATTTCATGTTTTTCTAATAGTTCATGTTTTGCAGGTAAGACTAACTCTATAGCTATTAGTACAGTAATCCACTCTTTGATCAATGGTATTATCGGAGACTAGAAATTATTTAGCACCTTGTGTTAAAGAGAATCTTCTCCAAACGAAGAACAAATGAGATTCTCAAAGTGAGAGCACAACATATAATTCAGCATTCTGTAGTTTTGTAAGACATTTATGATTGGATAATATGATTTCCTTCGTGTTCCTCACAACCTCTCTGTAGCCTACACATATATATCCCAACTTGTTCCACGCAAATTTGAAAGACATTTTCAAAAACAGCACAAAATGCTTTGAATGTACATCCCCAATACCACTAAGTAGTATCAGCTATTTATGCAGTATCATAAACTTCCTATATCATTGTACTTCTTAAGAATATTGGGGATATTATCGTCCTTGTAGAGCACAGGATCTGCTCGGAATTCAACAATCTTGAGCGGCATGGCCTGGTATATACTAGTAAACTTATTAATGCATTCTGATCGTTCCACCATATGACTAATGTCTGAAGACAACATCTCTGTATTGGTACATTCGGGACACTTGAACTTCTTACGAGGTGTCACCTTTATCGGTGCCTTCCCAGTGATATTGGCAATGAGAAAGTTCATAGCAATGTCCTCGCAGTTCATGTGTTCATCCACCCAGTTCTTGAGGACTTCTGACATGTGGAAGGAATATAGGTAACTGAAATACTGTAAGGAAAAGAGGTAAGTTATCAGGATTTTTATAATCATAACAATGTAGTGATATGCTCAAGTTTTGACATGAATTATACTTGATAACTTTCCTATTACAAGAACATTTGCATCATGGATTTACCTTTGACCATCAACAGTTTATGAGAAATTTCAATGCAGGGGTTTTCCAGAAAAAGTTGGAAATGTAAATATTTTACAATTTATGATACATACTGCTGAACAAAAGATCACTATAGTTACATAAGACTTTGTCTCCGGTGACAAATCAAAACAAGAGATCCCAGAGGGATCTTGGCGCCCACCATTTGAGGATCTGTTTTCAGTTCTTGAAGATTTGTTTATTTTTTTTTTGTTTGTTACAGGTGTTGTAAATGTTCATGAACTGGTCTTCATTGAATATACTCGATGATGGCACAAGATATCTTTATTAAGCACCTATTAGCAAATATCATTTGAAAAAGATCCCAAAGTATTATTAGATAGCAGTCAGTTACAGGTGGATAATGGACAATATGCTTGTGCTGTATTACTGTCGACATCCAAGATGGCTGCCTGTGGGCCACCTTGATTTCAAATCAGTCCAAAAAAGGTACAATGCACAACTAGGGACCAAGGGAAACCAATATCTATGAAATATCAGAAGGATCCATCCAGTACTTCCACAGATATAGCAGTAACAAGATTTTACTCTCAAAATCCAAGATGGCTGCCTGTCAGCCATCTTGATTTCGGATCAGTCCAAAAAGGTATAATGCACAACTTGGAACCAAAGGGAACCAGCATATGAAATTTGAGAAAGATCCATCCAGTACTTTCCAAGAAATAGCGGTAACAAACTTTTACATTCAAAATCCAAGATGGCCATCTGTCTGCCATCTTGAATTCGAATCAGTCCAAAAAAGGTACAATGCACAACTAGGGACCAAGGGGAAACTGCATATGAAATTTGAGAAAGATCCAACCAGTACTTTCCAAGAAATAGCGGCAACAAACTTTTACTTCCAAAATCCAAGATGGCCACCTGTCGGCCATCTTGAGTGCGAATCAGTTCAAAAAGGTACAATGCACAACTAGGGACCAAGGGGAACCTGCATATGAAATTTGAGAAAGATCCATCCAGTACTTTTCCAGAAATAGCGGTAACAAGAATTGTTTACGGACGGACGGACGGACAACGGACCACGGACGCAGGGCGATTTGAATAACCCACCATCTATTAGATAGATGGTGGGCTAAAAACTTGTCTGCTCAGGGGAATCATGTAAACTATCATGTTGTCAAAATGAGGAGTAAATCTGAGCAGATCTCAAAAACTGGAAATAAATAATTGCAGAATTAAAGATGGATGGTCTTATACTTGTGAGTTGGTGAAATTACTTGACGTACCAGAGTCAATGACAAGGTATTTAGATGATATAAACACAAGAAACAGCTGACAAAATGGCTAGCCTTGTAAGGTGTCATAAGAAAGACAAAAAGGATAGCTCATTCTTAGTGCTAGGATAAACAGGAGGTATGATTTTATGGTAAATGATATCATGTGTGTTTTTATTGAAAGGCAGAACCAAAGTGAAATTGTTAACCTACATATTGTTCAGTGGTTTTTGCATAAAAATGATGTGAAATGCAGAGTCATCAGAACGAAGACGGTGGAATTGGAAAGTAACAGGGAAAGAAGTTGTGCATGGCCAGCCCCGTCTCTTGATTTATCATTATCCAAAATACGATGGCTGTGGATCAATCAGGACCCAACACAACCTCTTGAAACATCACTGTAGATACAGAAGGATCTAGATGTATATGTGTCTAAAATGGACTTATACCCTTGGTGTCCTTGAAATAACTATCCAAATGTACATGGTGTATACCCACCTTGTGGTAGAATGCTGCCCCTGTCAGGACCATGGATATGTTGTTTGCCCACTCTGATTCGTATTTCCATTTCAGTGTTGTATTATCTAGTACATGAACACGTGATGGAAAACCAACAAGGCGATCTGGGAACTCTCGCCAAACCTCATATCCAAATTCCAGTTCATCTGCTGTCAGCATAATGATGTCATCGTCAAGTGCCAAAATGCATTCTGTTTCAATCTCATCATATGGGAAAAACCTGAAAGGCAGCATTCTTCAGATATTGTACACCGTCTCTAACAATCTCCATTTTACTGGTGTTAAGCCCAGCATTTTAACAAGAACAATAAATCTTTGCTCTTATCTTACAGCTGTAACTATCTAACAGCTATGAACTCAGTATTTTATTAGTGAGTCTCATTTCTATAAGCAATGAACCCAGTGTTTAATTGTGATGAGCCCCACATTATATTTTGACAAGATTTATACTGGTATTTACAGGTACCAAGGGTAATTATACCCATAAACCAACAAGATATACAGCATATCACGTACCATCTGTATGTGTGTGGTTTAGGGAGTATTGATTTTTCTGAAGATTTTATGAAATGATAATATATTAAGTATTTCTATTCACTTATTATGACTTTGCTTGACACATTGTTCCTGTCCTATATAACTCATTAATAAGTATAATAAGAACAAACAGAACATCTTGAAATTCAAACATACCTGTTGCTAAGTATATTTTTATTAGTTTTGATCACTTTGACTGGCTTTCCAATGTCTGGCCAACTAGACACTGAAAAATAACAGTATAACATCAGAATCAGTTTTGTCCATCACATATTGACCAGAATCAGTTTTGTCCATCACTCATTAACAAAGTAACATCACATATTGACCAGAATCAGTTTTGTCCATCACTCATTAACAAAATAACATCACATATTGACCAGAATCAGTTTTGTCCATCACATATTGACCAGAGTCAGTTTTGTCCATCACTCGTTAACAAAATAACATCACATATTGACCAGAATCTGTTTTGTCCATCACTCGTTAACAAAATAACATCACATATTGACCAGAATCAGTTCTGTCCATCACTCGTTAACAAAATAACATCACATATTGACCAGAATCAGTTTTGTCCATCACTCGTTAACAAAATAACATCACATATTGACCAGAATCAGTTCTGTCCATCACTCATTAACAAAACATATGAAGTTTGCTTTTTATGCCAGCAACTTGTGTTTGGCAAGGAATCATGGCCTATAAAAAATTTGAAACACTTAAAACCAATATTTAAGAAATTAATTCTAAAGCTAAGTAAATCTATATTTACAAGTATAACCATATGTTTTACATACAGCTTTTACAGCAACTGAAATAAAATAAAACACTTCCTTGACTAAGACAGTACATATTTCAAGTACTTACTGGGAGGAGGCTCTTTCAACTGATTGTTCCAAACTACAACGACCTTGGCTAGACTAGTGACCTTGGCCACTTGATGGATGACTTGGAACAGGGACTGGAGACGGTCATATGTGAGAATCACCGCAGTGAAGCCCTGGCTACTAGGAGGTATCAATGGCAGGAAAAGTGGGTTCCTTACAGCATTCTGATAAGATGAAAAGTTAGCAAGGTCATTGACAAGTTCCACAACTCAACAAAATGTATTACAGTACAAATAGACTTATAGTCTGTGGGATATTTGGTAATCATTTGACTTGACAGAATCTTTTCTTATTGAATTTGATGAGAATTAAAATAATTAATGCAAAGTTGTGATCATTTTATGTGACAATCTTTTTCATCATAACATCATGTTGATTTTTAAGTTTTTTTCTGGACCGTATGTAGCAACCACCTAATCTTATGAACCAAAAGGAGTTCTGTATATTAATTAATTTTCCACAAAATACAGTACAATTCAATACAAAACAAGTAAAGACCTGTGGTTTCTTTTATAAGCCATATAATGAAATATTTTCAAAAACCAAATTTCTTTTTTGAAAAGAAATCTATGAAGAATTAACCTTGTTAGGAATTTCGTTCCACTGTTCATCAGTACGGCTAACGTGAGGGAAAATGCGATCATTGAGAATATGTAGAGTTGTCAGTGTGATAGCCTTCATTGAGGAAAAGTAGTTGTCCCACAGGAATTTGACCTGTTTACGCATCAGGTAAATCTTCTCCAGGCTGAATGACTTCAGTACCTCCATTACCTGGCCCAAGTCATCTTCCTTAACTATCACTGCTGCTCTGTAAATCAGTTATGTACAATACATAAAAAAATTCAACACCAATACATTAGCAAGAAAATCTCCAGGTACTCATGGCAAAAGTTTCTTTGATAAATTTCAAGGTTCATCAAAACAATGGATAAGGGATGTTCATAATTGGGAATTGAATTATAGATAACAGAGACAAAACTGTGCAATTGATACAGTAGACAGTGGAGGAAAGATTAGAGTTAAAGTTCTTTTTCATATCCACTACTCACCTATCCCAACAGAATATAGGAAATCAAGGGCATAGTGGAATACAGGGACACTCAGGTAGAGTTAGATATATTCGGTTATGTAGATAAAAGGACACTAGATTAGAGCAATATACAATGACACTTGGGTAGAGTGGGATATAGAGACACTGCTGGGCAGAGGGATATAGGGACATAGGGTAGAGTGGACTGCAGAGACACTGCTGAACAGAGTGGTATATAGGGACACCAGGTAAATGTGTGGGATATAGGGACAATAAGGCAGAGTGGCTTATAGGGACACTGCTGGGTGGAGTGGGATATAGGGATACAATGGTAGATTGGGATGTAGGGACACTGGGAAAATTGGGATAATGAGATACTTGAGTAAACGGAATTGTTAATGCTCAGCTATATATTGCACACAAACCTTTTCCAGTCAAGAACTTCTGAAAATGGCAGGACATAGCTGTCTGCTACAACAACAGGTATACATCCCATCATGAGGGCATCGCTGAGGGCAGCTTGTCCAATTCGTGCACCTCGAATCACAAGGCAAAATGTGCCCTCCTATCAATGTGACAGAATCAGGAAATAGTGTTAATCATTTATTTATATACTATATACTAATTTCAACATCTGAAAAAAAAAAACGATAACAAGGCATTCAAGTCATCCTTGACATATAAGGCAGTCTATCACCTCTTTGAATTTGTAAGATACCTGAGAAGTGACTTTTGGTAACTTTTGTAGGATTTTTTTTCACGCAAGTCCTGAACACAATTTCTAAAACTTTGATGAGTCTTGTTGCTAAGAGATATAGTAGGTCCTTAAAATTTGAGGGAGTCCCTGAGGAAGATCATGAGTCGAGGACTCAAATATCAGAGTGCCAAAAATCACTGACAATTATCTCGGTCTGTGTTGTATTGTCATACAATTGATATTGGAGTATAAGAGGTTCACTTTCAATATTTTGTTGAATGATACATAACCAGTGTTTACAAAATAATTATCTCAAACAATGGACAGGAAACTTCTCTTAGGTCTTCTATCCTATTGAAGAAAATGACCTAAAGTAAATGTTCAAAGGATAGAAAATTTGTATCTGAAATTTTGTAAATATTATCTTTTGAAAATTGCCAAAATATTAACATCAAAAGGGGACATTCACAGGCATTCCATTTCTAGTAAGAAATACTTCTGATAACACTATTTACACTAGACAAACAAACAAAAAATACACCTTAATATTACAGATAGAGATTACACAATATCAGTATATTGTTCTTATACTAAAAATAAGCCAAAAAACACCTGAATAAGATTACTGAACACACAACATCAATTCTTTATAGGCTATTTTATGACAACTATTTTTAAAATGCTTACGTTTAGAATGTTTGGATAGCTGTAGATCTGTCCTCCTGTAGTACATCTCCTTGAGAAATTCCATGGTTTTTCCTCCTGTGGACATCTATCCATGGTAAGGACATGTTTGTGTGAACTAGCCACCTCAGCAACAGTATCTTTGTACTCCTTGTGTAGTCCAGTCTGCGCTGATATGAGGAACCACCTACGCTTCTCCCTGTGAAAACAACAACCTCCATGTAAGAAATAGCAACTATTTTATTTTTTTTAAAGTAGTGACTACAGAAAATAACAACTCTAATGTAATCACAGGTACAAGCTTTGTGTGTCAATACACTTTATATTGGTATATGAATGTATTGAGAGACCTGGCTAATACCAGTGATGTATTCTACATATTTACCGGTACTCATTTGAGAAGTTCTAAAGGATAGAAAATTTTAAAATATGGAGTAGAATGTGACTAATCTTTGTATATATTATGCATATTTCAGGTAGCAGCCATCCTTTGAAATTATGTCCTTGAAAGAAAGTGTATTTTTGTTCAATTTAGTGACAAAGCATGACATTCATTTGTGTGTAAGTATACTTAAGCATACTGTTTTTAATTCTGTTGTTCAAACAGCACAGAAAGTGATTAACGTGTACTACAAAATCACTTACAGATATGATTTGTGTGGGTGTTTTCTGGGGTCTACCAAGGGATTGTAGACAGGGATAGAAACATCAAAGGTGCGCCTATAGGACCAGATGGAAAACCCTCCTCCTGCTATGATAGCTTTCCCAGTGTCCACTTCAAGCACCGTCCCATAATCAGGAACTGTGCCAGGCAACATGTTGAATAACAGATGATTTGTTCCATCATTCCACCTGTAAACGTTGTAATGTCAGATAATAGAAACACATTATACACATTTTAAGATCAGCATGTTTATTTGGCTTTAAGCCTATGATGGCCAACAAAACAATTTTAATTCAAAAGTAGGAGGTTGCTGTAATGTAAGTCAGCTGACATGACTTAGGACCAGGCATAGACTTACTGCTGGATAATTACAAAAATTACATCTCAAAAAAATGTCTCCTGTGGTCATAAAAATTAAAAAAAAAAAAAAAAAAAATCTCATTTTTGAAGCTGGCTGAAGATTACAAGTTAATTCATATTAATGATTAAATAGGTATGGAATCTTAAGTAATAATAAAATAGATTTAACATAAAAATCCTAAAGTCTATAACACTTGTGTGTTACATTACAGTACCATGGTAATGAAGCAAGAATCTGTCCAGTTTCTTTCAATCGTAGGTTGTTCTGGTTTAGGAGATCAACAGACGGTACAAACAAACAGGCTGTTTCTGGCTCTTCGGTGTAGTAAGGGCTGTTTACTATTGTCTCCAGCAGGTCATAGAACTCTCGAGACATTGGCAGGGTCACAGCCTCATTGTTATCATCAACAAACTGCTCTAGAGGATACACATAAATACTCAGTTGTTTCTGATCATTGTAGCCACAGTGATATACCTCAAGACAGGTATGAAAGGTACAGCGAGTATCTCGTGGTGATGGGGTCACATCATTGATCACTGATGAAAGTACAGTCTGTTTTTCTGTTCTTAATAGTTTAATGTGTTTGTCCTCCAAGATTTCATCTTCCTGATTTGACCATAGAAGAATAAAAACTGCCAGCAGTAGGAAGACAAGTAAACTTGAAAACAGAAGGATGAAAAAGGATTTTGGTGCTACCTTCATCGTCACAGCTGATGAGCATCACATTCCAGCAACATGTTCATGTTTCAACTGTGTAATCAAATAAAAAAAATCATAACATATAGGCAAAACAATTATGAAAAAACATGAAAACACAACTGATCAGTCATATATACCTCCATTATATGTGGAATGATTGGTGTACTGACTTGACAAGAAGCGAGTTTAGTAAGTGTACATGTTAACTGCGATTCTTACTCAAAACTGTCAGTGGAATGCTTTTACTGTCTTGTCTTCCTTGCATTTTCGTCCTTGTCAGGGGTGTTCTGTCTCTGGTGATGTGTTGTGATTGGTTCAAACTGTCTCGTATTGTCATTTTAGGGTTTAAGATGCAGTATGTCTAATAATTTGGGTGCAGAGCGTTGGATTAACTTCCATAGGGTGAAAACCTTCTCTGAGGTAGGTCGGGGGATGGTAGCGTAATTCGTTATTTTATCGGGTGGGAAGCTATAGCTGGGTGGACTGTAATTTTGTATAGAGGTAGATAAGTTTATGTGTTCGGTGTAAGATGGGGGTCTCTGTGTCGATATAGGCCTATGCCGTTGTTGGTAATTCCTGTTAATTAATGTTTGCTGTTAAATAAATTGTTAGATTTAAATTAGCAGTGTTTGTCCTCCTTCAAAAACAAAATACAAGCTGTACCCATCGAACCTGGGTTGATGGTGATACAAGGCGAGACGGGACCGGGTAACTGTTGACCCCCCCTCTCCCTCCTGTTACACTTTAATACATTTTTCACGATTCACAAACCTTCCCAAAAACAGTCATTTCGAAGTTAAAAACAGGCGTTTATGACAAGAGGGGTTGATATATGAAGTATACTTAATTCCGTTTATTTTATTGTTTTATGTAGAGCACATCCATAAAATACAAGAATGTCTCGTGAAAATCTAGAACAAATCGACCGTCGTTCTCGATTTTCTACAATTACTATCAGCTGATCAAGATATTTCTGTGCGAGAACGAGGAGGAAAAAAGTGGGGTCGGTAAGATGAGGTGGACCAGGGACGGAAATTGGGTGACTAGTCAATGGTGACGTATCAACTTGTGGAGGAAGAAAGCAGTGTTGTCTCAAATCACAAATGAATTATTTCATTAGCTGATTTGGCTACCCAGTATAACACTGATTCAATACTTCGATTATACTTACTCCACATGACAAAACGGCTATGTCTGTTCGTATTCATATGCACCTAGGTATTTTGGAGTTGTCATTCTATATATATTGTGAGTAGATATGTTGAAACTTGTAAACAAACCGATCGGGATGCTGGAAACACTTTCCTGTCAGAAGTGAAGTACCATCCAATCGCATTTCCGTAATCAAAGTCTCGTGCTTTCTCGCACCAACTCACGGAGTTGGACCAAATGCGTCGTCTGTACAGAAAATGTGTAAGAAGAGAAAGCAGTTTACACATGGGTAGGAAACGAGGAAATACCGGTGTTGGTTTTCAAAACAGAGGAGGAAATGACTTAAATAATGAACGGAATGTAACCTAATGAGAGGATATTTCAAGCGGAGTGAAAATGCCTGGAATTGTGGTGTTCCGACGCAGATGGTCGTTTGGATCCGACGATTTGGTGGTGCCTTCTATATTCCTGCTCACCATCCATTTGACTTGGTAAGCGACGTTGCTCTGTCGGTATAATACCTGGGCCTTACTACTTCTTCCGCAACTGAGACATTTGTACCATGAAAAAATCGATATATGCTTCTCATGATTATGTTTGGTGCCAAATCATCCCAATTTAGTTTCCGTGCCATTTTCATAACAGGTCTGAAGAGCGTACAACTAGTAGATTGTATTGGGAAATTAGAAATCCAATGGCCTCTTTATGCAAACAGTTGGCTAGACAACAGGACCGACTGGAATCCAAGAGATGGGTTGCCGTTCATGTGAATAATTTATTAACATGTCATGTCGGTTTTAAATTTCTAAAGAATAGTTTTATCGTGATGATCTTGCTACACTAACCTATTACTCGATAAACAATGCTTACTACTCTGGCTATTATGAAAATTGTGATAATGATATTTTAACACTGAATTAATAGGTCTGTGGTTCTTCTGAAGCAATTTTCACAACTAGTAGTTATATAAATAGCTGTAAACATTGGTAACCTTTGGATATTATTCTAGATTAAACTGCAGAGCAAATCAAAATTTACAGCACTCGATCATTTTATATTTTCAGTGTACCAGGTATGTTCATCTCTTTATGGCAAATTTACTTGACACATTTTCAGGAAGCAATGATCAAAATGTTAGCTAATACCTTGGATTTGCAATCACTTAAACAGTAACTTTCAAAAGTTCTGTGTGATAATATCATTAATTAGACATTGAATTAAAATTTTACCAATATTTAAATCATCTCTATTAAATCCTCAAGCTAAACTGAAGCTAATAACTATTAAGTACTTAAAAAATTTAGTACAGAGGGTCAGACAACATCCCAAGGAAGGTCTTCTACAGGTTCAGTTCACAGTAAAAAATATACCTTTCAACTTACAGAAAAGTATTGGTGGAACAGTATACCAATTAAGTTTTTCAATATCTTTTAATTTTCATGAATGAGCTCATTTTACATGTATCAACGGATTTAAGATTTATTGTCTATAAACAAAACAATAGAAAAACCATCTCACAAATCTTTTTTTTTTCATTGCACAATATTCTTTCAAATTCTTGGTAATAATGCAAAGCCAAGAGTAGAGCTCTGAATATTACTATCAATGACATGATCCATAATGTAACTTAACCTCCCCAGCATATATCTGAGATATCAAAATGAGAAATTATTTTTGGAGACAAGCAATGGTCATGGCTTTCCAAAGAGTTTGTCAGATATGATTTCTTTCTAATTTGTTCACAAGAGGATGTATATATGAAGATCTGAGTTTATAGCCAAATAATAGAATCCAGAGGATATGCAATTTGTTTCAGAGTGGTAATTGATGGGAAAATTTTTATTTGTCTCTCATAATATATGAAAATGCTTAATTGAATTTAATATTTTCTATACATGTAGAATAGGTACAATAAAAAGTTGATGACAGTAATATTGGAATTATCAAAGATAAATCCCGCACAAAATTTAATGATTTTTCAGTAGATAGGTCTTCCAAAATAGATGTGTGTAGTAGATTGATCTTGATACATTTACAGCCAGTACAGTAACAATGGATTCCCGTATGTGATCACTGTTCAAAATATAAACCATTTTCATGTAAATAAATTCAAAACAACTTTTATTTCATTATTGTTTATGTCTGTGAAAAGTGGCTGCAATGCCTGCATCTAGCATGATTTTGTGTCAGTTTGATTTATTGTTAAGAAACCCATAAATATTTGACAGTCTGCAGACATACATTGTGGAACAATGAAATAAAATATTTTCATTTGATTACTGTTCATCAAACCTATGAAATCAATAGTCTGCAGACAAAGATATATAACAGATCATGAGATAGATACTTTATTTGATCAATGTGTAAAGACTGAGAAATGTCATTACATACAAAGCAATTCTTCCATGAATTATTCTGTCATATACCTGAGCTGCAGTGTGTCAGTCTATTGTCATTCTGATCCCACTGTCAAACAAGTGGTGGATTTGTGTCATTCTAGCAGTACAGAAAATCAATTTAAGATCATGGTGTTTGATTTTTCTGTATGCTCTGTTTACTCATCTGATGGCAATATTTATTTGGGCGTAGACTGTAATTGATTTGTTATCGTTACACCATGTTTTAAGTCTTTCTGCATTTGTGAGTTCAATTCTACTTGACACACTTTCACCAAGTTCTGTGCATGAAACCATCATAGTAACTGTAATCTTCTTAGAATTGCACATTCACATAGATTAAAACGATTATTTTTCTTACTATGAACATGTAACATTTAAACATTGAATCTTGCATTGGTCAATATCATGGGTGATGAATGGAGTTGCACTTGAGACAAATTTAGTGAACTTGGAATTGATGAAAATCTAAATGATTGTAGAGGTTACAAATATGCATGACTTTAGAAAAACATGTTCATTGATACTTATTTGCTATTTTTTACCAATAGTCCTTATCTTTAAGGATAAGATTTAGCTAAGTCATCCATGTTATACATATTGAAGGTTCATACAGTCATTTATTAGTCCCAAACCTTCCAATAATATCAGTTGCTTTTAGGGTTAGACTACCTAAAAATGAAGCTTACATTTGAAGATGATCCGAATCAACCCAAAAGAGATTCCAAAGGGATGGCTTTAACATGAAAGTATGAGTTGAATCTTTCAGAAAATTACCTGTCACCTCATTCCATACTATAGAAGATGATAATCAGAATTTAAATTGAAGATTTCTTGCTACAGAAGTCAATCATTAGAATCTAAACTGATGAAAGGGCTGAAAATCAGAAAATCAAAGAAGGTTCTACAGAATAATAACAGTATTTCCTCAGAAAGTTTATGTTGGGTTAAACTTTGTTAAAACAGGTATATCATTAAATGAGACAAAGATCAGAATGTAGATGGTAACATGATACCCATGGGGATAGGGTTGAAGAACAGAGACATAAAAGGTCTCGGTTTGCAAAAGGTCAAAAAGACACTTTCTCTGAAGTTTACTGATCTGCTTTTGTCAGCATTCCAGTTTGGTATAAGATAATGTCAGGATCAGAATTCATTCCTGCAAATGATTGCTTATTCTCACAAAGGTATACAGAAGTGGAGGAAACTGGACTCATGAAGTGGAAGGGTGAATACAATAACACAACATAGTGAAGTGTATGAATTACCGAGTAGTGTCTTAATAATTTAAGTTATTTTTTTTCTGGATTAAAAAATGTGTGGAGAAACACCTACTTGTTTTACTTTTCTGACACTTTTGGCATCTAAAAGATATTTTTTGAGATGTGATGGAGTGTCATTTTGTTAGCTCATTCTGGTTGCTAAAATGTACTAGTACGCTGCATATATTGTACTGGCTGCAAACATGAACTTGCAAATTACTTCTAAAAGACATGGCACCATCAAGTGTGTTCTATAATAGTTAAATTTGGATTCATCATTGTAAAAAGAAAGCCTAGAATTATCATGCAACTCCTTTTTATTTCTGTAATTACAGTGCTAAAATTAAAAACATTAAATATTTTGTATAAACAGGTATAGTTCATGTATTGATCAATGATGCTTAGCTTTTGGAAGAGCAGTTGTTGTTAGAACATTTTTGCATACTTGATTATGACATATTTCTAAATATGTAGTAACTGGGCATTAGATGAAAGAGAAGTTTAATTAAAACCTTACTTATATTGATAAAGGACAGGACACAAAGAAGTGGCATTCATTGTTAAAGTGCATATGACCTGCATCATTTGCAAATTATGAATATAATCCAAATAAATTCAGCAGATGAGGATGCTATGATTACAGTTGTTATGAAAAGGCATTAGAGTAAAGTAATAAATAAATTGGCTATGAATGGATTAGTGCCAAGTAATGACTGGAAATTACTGGTGGAAATGAACTTCCAAAGGAACCCTTTCATTATTTGACATGTGTAATTTGAAGAACAAGACAGCTGGCAGCAGAAGCCATCTTGGATTTTGAGATTCACTTACTTTTATCAGTTTTAGTTTAAAAATTTGTGAATTTTATTAAATTATGGGGCTATAGCACATACTGATTAATATTTTGACATGTCTTTTGATCAATTTATTTTTCTTTCAGTAACTGCCTGCACGGTTTCAAAAAGCCTTAAGTATCAATGATCAGTGTTCGTTATTTTGTTCTAATTCTTAATTTGAATTGAAAGGTGCGTAGTGCTTGTTTGGCTTTTGTACAGTTTTTAGAAGTGTTGGAGAGATCCATCTCAAATTTCATATGCAGATATAATTCCCCTTGATTATATACAATATGTATTTAGTTATTTTACTAGTACTGATCACATGTGCTGGTGTCATTTAACAGACATACTGTGAAGCAGAAGGCATCTCTTTGACTGTTGTATGGAGTTCTAATCTGCCAAACTTTAATCATATACTTGAGGGATATTCCAGACTTAGCTACATTCTATAGTTAATCAAGATGAAATTGTTGTTGACTAATTCTAAAAATGTGTGTCAAATAGTACCGGTTCATTCAAGCAGTTTATTTAGAGCACCAGCAATATTGTTCTCTTACCGTTTAGAGAAATATTAGAAATAGTTCCTGTGCCATCAGTCACTTTTGATGAAAGTTTCATGTATACTTATACACTCAGCTAGTCTTTTTGTTTAAATTCTTTGAAGATTTAATATGGAAGTTGAAGTAGTTTTTTCCTGATTTCTGTTGGTTGATCAATATGATGAAAAATAAAAGTGTAATTCAGATCAAATTGACATGCGGGTGATTGAGAAGATTAAGGTTTCAGAGACCTGAAACTTGTGTTAAGAATTGCATCATGTCTGATAGCTTAACATGTACATTGCCATGTATAATTCATGAAATATATTATATATTTCACTGGCCATCTATTCCAAGTGTGATACTTTTACAATCAAGCTAAGAATGTTACATACATATGTAGCCACATATTCATAAAAAAAAAAAAAAAACCCAAAACATTGATATCATAAATAGGTTATTAAATGACTTTGTCCTTTGTTGCCTTTTTTATATGTACAGAATCCTAACATAGTGCACAAAGCAGTATTGTATTATACCATATTCCAGATGTTGACACGATTTTCTATGTCAGACCATATACTTTATGTCAGTGTCTGTTTATCATACCATGCATTTGTGTACTGATTGTTCTATATATACTTGATATAGACTGCTGGTGCTGGACTTTCATACTAATTGCCAACAAATATATATATAAAAAAAATCCTCTACATGTACCTGCAATGTGAAGCTGTGAGGTGCATTTGACAACAGACCCTGGAGTACCAAGATTAATACCTTTGATGTGTGTTCAGGAAAAAAAAATGAAATTAAATTTTTAAAAAAAGTGGGGGTAAAAAAATTTGAAGAGTTTTTAGAGAAAACACTCTAACTTCTTTGGAAATAGGGGCTTCAATCCAACTCCAGAATGAGCCCAAAATCCTGATTGTATTTTGCAATGCATTTACCTGTAGAAATTGTATATAAAAGATCAGGAAAATGGTACTTTGAAGATGTGAATTGATTCAATTGCAGTACAACCAATTTAAGAGCTGGGATACCCCTTAATTTAGCAATGAGGATTGTGTTAGTTGGACTTGCAAGTTATCTGTACTGACAGCAGATAGAAATTCAAGTCCTTAACCTTTCATTTAATGCTTTCTTATGATTCTATTTCTTACTTTATTCATCTTGTCCTTTGAAAAAAGAAAGAAAAAGAAAAAATCCAATTACCAACAAATATCTAAAAAAAAATCCAGTACATATGCACCTGCAATGTAGGATAACCAAGTATTGTCAAAACCATGAATGTTTCTTGTGGAAAAAATTGTCCATTTACATGCAGGAGATATGTAAAGTAAAAGCTAAAAAATGACTACAAACATGCATATATGTTATCATCTTGTATAAGAAAACTGTGTAAAATTTGTTGAAGTCAAAAATAGGATCAGTTAGGATTACAATAATATTTTCTTCGTCAATTTGACAGTCAAATGACATACTCTAAATAGAAATTTAGATATCATCTCAAGCGATGGTAATAGTGATCAGCAATATTTCCAGTTGTCTTGTTTATATTGTGACTCCCATTGTTTTTGTTATCATTTTTTGATATAATCACCAGATTCTTCCTTTCTAATTCAATAGAAATGTCTGCCCTGGAAAAATCTTATGTAAAGGAATAAGTTCAAAACATTTTCTTAGTTTGGTAATATCTATAGAAGTTGTTAACTCTGTATTGAAGTTGATTCCACAGCATTTTGTAAAGTACATTGTCACCATCTTATGGTTGTTTTTTCTTCTATTTTATGTTATCTTTTTTACCATCCTGTCACACTATTTTTTACCTTAGTGTAAATAGGATTATAGTACAGGTGAAAAAGTTGGTCAATTCTTCACCATCTCGTACACATCAGTGCTGGCATTCTTCACTCTGGTTATTTGTCTGATGGAGGTGACCGTGTAGTCATTGAAACATCACTCTTAAATCTTCTACTGACAGTTTTATAAGAACTTCTTTTCTATAATTTAAAGAAATCATATTTTACATCATAAGTACACTTGTACTTAACAAATTTTGATGCATATAAGTCTAGACTTGACAGTATGTTTCGTTCATTTGCAGGACAGTAATCTTAGGTGTCATTACTGGGAATTATGATTTTGATCTACATAAAGAATGCAGTGTGGGCCTCGTGAACTTGAAATACTATCTTATCGGCTACCTGAGCATGCTGGCAGGCAACATCATGGTGGAAGGACTGATATTCTTTGTAAGCATGAGAGGTACAATTCTCAACCCATCTCCGAGGCTGTGTATGCAGTACCTTCTGTACTTCAGGTTAGGTAAGTGGTCTATATATTGCTGAACAGTCTGCTGCTCACAGTAAAAAGCTGGATTTAAAAACTTCAGTAGTCTCATAAATATTCACTTTATAGCTTTTGTGACATACTGTTACCTAGAGAACTGGTTGCTTGGGTACTAAAATCCAAATTTATGCATACTCCACATGTAGTAGTAAATTCTGAGACATGTCATTATGCCAGCCAAAACGTTTCTACCATCCATTTATGTACATTATTTATTTAGTGACAAGAATTTATTAGATTCCCCTTTTTTCATTCTATAATGGAAAAACATTTGGGGAGATCAGACCATTTAGTGTTCAAACAAATTGTTTAAGAGGTGACAATAGGTTAGAATTGTAATATAACTTTTGTGGGGTAAGGTATATTTGAAATCATTACAATCATACAAATATATTTTGGTAATACAAGGCATTTTTTTTTGTGTTGCAGATAAATGTAATTGTTTTCAGAGTAGAGTTTGAGATATATAGAAAACTAAAGGAAAGAAAATCAATCAGAATTTATAAAGAATTGCAGTTTTGTTTAATTGGGGTATGAAAAGCATGAAGGAGAACTAAGTGTTAATTTGTTTAAACTTGTGTTTTAGTATATAAAACACCTTGGATATTTATATGTCTGTTTTCATCCCAAGTCTTATGGTAAATCATTGAATAAAATTATTTATTTATATATTTAAATGGAAATTTAAATAAACATATATCTGTGAAATAAAAGTACATGCATGTATAAGGGAAAAAAAAAATTCATGGCGTAAATAATTTTTATGGGTACTTAAGATTTCAATATATCTGCAGGCAAGGCTGTTATGATAAATGATTAAAACATATGTATTAATACATATATCAATTCCTTGATTAGTTTAAGATCCCAGCACTACCAGTAAATAAATAGAATGAAATTGATATAACACTTTTTTTGAATCATCAGAAATGTTAGAATAAATAATTGAATTTAAGAGAAAATCATTTGAAAAATAAAGTGCTTCCTTAATGCATTTTCTGGTGGTTCTAATAATTGGAAATATTGGTGGTACTTAAATAAATTCCTTGTTGACTCTTCATTTTTTTTCTTTAAAAAAATAGAAATGACCTTTTTGTAGCTGAAGGTTATATAAATGTAGTATTCTTTTCTACAGGACTTTGATCTATGTCGTGATAGATTCAGAAAACACTTTAAGACCAAATTGGGATAATACATTTTTTTTTTTTTATTTTGTGATAAAAATATAAAACTATGAGCCAGTGATGTTTTTGATGGGAAATTCATGAAATGCCATATGAATTTTGTAATTGACCTGAACACGTTATCTGTATGATTAATGTTTTAGTACTGTGATAGCATATTTGGTCTATTCCCCAAGTACTAGATATCATGCCAGGTCACCATAAGGCAGATAATAATGAGTCTCCTGATTTCATGACATGTATCCATTACATTTATATAGCAATCCTACTGGTAGAGCTTGCCTGGCAGATCCTGGGTGTGATTTGGATGATACAGCACTACAATACATGTGGTCCTGTGGTTCCAATGAAAGCTGCTTTAGGTGAGCTTTTCTTGTTTTCCAATAAACCATAACAAACAAAGCTGGAGCAACAAATGTGATTCTCCACTGTCCATGTAAATTGATATCATTTTGTGTATTTACAACAAACATGAGCATTGGCATTTTAGATTGTGTCCTTCCTTTCTGAAGGCTGCATCATTACAAAACAAAACTCAGTATGAAAGGTTCTTGACCTTGTATACATTCCTTTTTTTTTCACTGAATCAGATAGCACTTGATTTTGATAGTTTCATATTATAGTGGTAATGCAAAACAGATGTATGGTCACTATGTTGAATACAATATTTTACGGTGAAAAACTTAATATGTACATGATGAACCTCACAGCTGAAATTCATTTACATCACATGGAAATTAAAGTTGATCCATATGTTATCATGATATCTGATTCTGTAATCAAATACCATTATTTTACATACCTAGAGCTAATGGCATTCACGATATCCTTGTAACAAAAGGAGTTTCTTTTATTTAGGTACTGTATCTAGTTACTAAAAGAAAGCCTCTTGGTGAAGACTGGTATACTTAAGGGTTGTTTTTTCATTTTCTGAACCTTCTTGAGAAGTGTATTTACATTGGGAAAGGTATATATGGCTTGGAGCTCATTAGATACAGAAAATCAGCAACTTGGATATTGGCATTTGATAACTACAAATTTTCATAAGACATTTAGAAAAAAATTGTTATACATATGTTTAAAACAACAGCAAGTTCAGTTGAAAATTGAAGAGGTATGTAGTCATTGACAACAAAAATAGCAACAGAATAGCTCTAAAAGCAAATGAGTGAATTGATGTTTTTATTTACTTTTTGCAAATTCATATATATCATGTAACATTACATCTAGATGTCTTGCATGCTCTTTCACATTTAATCAATGTTTACATAAAATTCAGGAATGTAAGCAAACATTGTGCATTCACAACAGGTATAAGTAATGGCAGGACTGTATTCTCTTGTGTATTCTCTTATCAATAAATGCAAATGTCAGGCTTGGTAATCTTCGTCTAAAGTCTATGCAACGCAAGTGTAAATATATATGCCGTCTATTGATAAACGAAGACTGTATTTCCAATTAAATTGGACTTGCAACTCAATATGTTGTGTACTTATTTTGCAGTTTGATAGATGATGCAACATGTGTTATTAATCTAACTATTTTGATTTATTTTTTAAGTGAAATATATAATTAGTTTTTGTTGATGACCTGAGATATATGTTCATTAACATACATTAGTCCTGCTTTCAGTTTCTGTTTGAAGTAAAAGTTCTGAGAGATTTTTTTTAGAAAAATAAATTGTTTTTGAAGATATTTTAGTGATTTACAATAGGCTGAATATTCGATTCTTGTACACTTGATTTGTTTTCTTAAAGCAATAACTTAAAGGATATTAATCAAGATAAGGGAAGTAGTTGACGGACAGTCAGTCAGTGAGTTCAACAAAATTAAGAAATACCATCCCATATTTGAAGTCTAGCTACATCTACTTGCTCTTAACAGACTTTGAATAATGCTTTTTGGTTGTTTCTGAAGTATTAATTTCTTCCCTCTGACCCAGCTCTGCCCTGAGCTCTTGAGTAAGCTTTTTGTGTGGATACATTGTAGTTTAGATTTGTTGGAGCTTTAGTAGCCACTTGTCTCCTAGTCTCCAACTAATTGTATAGATCAATATTGGTGTTCTTTATCAATTTCAGTTTTTTTCTAACTGTTCTAACTTCAAGCCTTAATGCAAATCAGTACATAGATTAACTTGAAGCTCACAATACATACCATAGAAGGGAATAAGTACATAAAGTTGACTGAACCACAAATATATATTGCTGAGATTAATGCATAAATCAGTGAACGAAAATCACAAATTTGACATAATTTGTATGCAGTAATTAATCACTTGCTTTTAGGTGTATTTGTCTCACTTAAAGATACATTATGTCAATATTGTATAAGACCATTAATATTCCCTAAATAAACTAATTCACTATGCTGAACTCAAGGGAGCAACTCTCCTTACTCTCCTATTAAGATAATATATTTAATCACCGAAAAACATCTTTTTAATGAGTTTTTTTCCCCTTTTTTCAACAACCCTTTTTTCACAGATAACTCCCATATTCAAGGACTGCGCATGTCTTTATTAAATCTCTTTATTTGATTACTTTGTCCTGATTATTTGTTACCAGTATCAATCTGCCTTGTGAATTTAACTTAAGTGGGGTTTTTGCATTCACTTGGGAAAGGGTTTTTTCATTTAGCGAAGATCTGTTGGGATCCTAACACAACACACACCCACCCACCTCTCCCTCCCTCCCTCCCTCCCACCCCAAAAATAAAGAAGTGCTGGACTTAGTCCCAATACTGATAATATTTGTAACAGGCAAGGTAACTCTTGAGTTTTAGATGTTTGTCTCCATTCAGCTGTTGTAAGGATGTCAACAGTAGACAAAGAAATTATAACAAAAAATATACCAAATGTAAGTTTATTTCCTTTCAAACTCTTCAGATATTCAAAAGACCCTAAGAAATTACCATAGATAGCTTAGTAGTGTTATAGTAAATGAAGTCTATGAACACCAAATAATTGTGATTTCATCCTAGCATTAGTAGGTACCCATTTCATCAACTTTTTCCTCCCAAGGATTCCTAAAAGGTGGCAATATTGAATCTGTGTTTGAGATATAAAAATTACACTTGTAATCAGGAGAATGTTTTGCATTAACCATGTGTTTGTGAAACAAAAACTAAAAGTGAAGGCTTACAAAAACTCCAAAAGAAGAAACTAATCACATAACCAACCCCACAATTTACAAACTCAAAGACAGTAATTATAGCACAGAGTAGGATTCAGTCTCCACTCTTTAGGGGAAAACTTTGGAATGTATTGCAACATTTTCATGTTCTTGACTTTGTTATATTGGTATATTGAAGAATTTTATGGAATTGAGCCAATGTATTACATTAAATAATGACTGCAAAAAAAATGTAGACAAAATCTGTACTCTATGCCTTACTTGCGTTTTAGCATCCAAACCTTTCCAATACTGAATGGTTGTAGAATATTTAGGTTAACTGATGTAGGAATGACTCTAGTGATTATCAAGATCACTGGATATCATGATGCTTAAATGATTTAGACACATTTTCAAATTTCTCAACTAATTTGGGAACCACCAACTGGGTATATAATACAGTATTAAGGAAAGCTACAGCTGACCACATGTTCATTTATTAGCCTTAAATACAAGAACACCCATGTTAACTAAGATAGAGAGATACATGAAGTGTATATGTATGTTATTGACATTATGAGATTACAAGGAGTAGATTCTGTGGTCAGCCTAGAGATAATGGGTTGTGGTGGGCCTCTTGGCTGGGGAATACAAGCATGGTTAGAGTATTACCAGATGATCTCATTAGACACAACCTGTTATACCCATAAAGCCCAATACACAGGATTCACTGCACTTTGAAGGAAACATTCACAAAGAGCACATAACTATTATTTCCTGTGGAATAAGCAAAATATGATGGGCATAAAATCTTTTGTCTGGTACATGTATTGTATTAATTTGCCAAGTTTTATATCACAGTTTTAGATGGTTTCCGTGGGTGTTCAAGATTTTTCACTTTATAGACAGTTAAATGGGTTTTATGGTTTTAGGCTATGCTGCATAGTTCTAGGGCAAGCGTTAATCCTGGCAAAGTTCTCTGTCTCTTGGGAATATCTCATATTGAATTCTTCATTGATCTTTCGGAGAAAGTTGATTATATGTGTAATTGTCACATGACATAGGACTAGACTTGACCTTTAGGTTCAAATAATTTGGCTGGAAAACTACTTATTCAACCTATAGGTCATCATCAACTTGATTGCATAGGACATAGAGATGGGTTTGAATTACAACTAAACCGTTCACTGACATATATATATAACTCTCATATAAATAATTACATTTTGAACATTGGTACAATGGATTGTTTTCAAAGTTAGTACGCTAGCTGTCAAATTATAATTAGAAATCAAATGGAATATATGAAGTCTTTGATTTGACCTTCAATAGATTTTAACTTAGTACCCAGCTTTACAAACCCATAGGTCAGCTTGAACATAATAATAAACCTGTCAGATCATGTTATACATTTGATCCTACCTTATCATATTTTCCCAACTATAAGCCCATATCTAGTAATAAGTCTACTCCCATTATTACAGATTCAGTAGAAAAGACAACATGCTATGAGTGTGTATAAGCTAACCTCCCTATTTTGAGTCATTATTTGCATTGGCTTCCTTGGCTTAATGTAGGATAAATACGGTATATAAAATATTAAGTTGTAAGTCCTCAACAGCCTTACATGTGCTCCAAGATGTCTTCTTCCCTCTGTTATATTGTCCTCGTCAGCATTAGTGTAGTAAGCTCCATAGTATTACTGTCTACAGCTGTTCACAGCAGTGTTACTGTCCTAGCTGCCTTCAGCAGCATTAGTGTCTCAACTTGTCGTCAAAAGTATTACTGTCTTCAGCAGCATAAAAGTGTCCCAGGCTGTTCTCAGCTGTATTATTGTTCCAGTTTTTCTCAGCAACTTAACAGTGTCTCATGCTGTCCTTGGCAGCATTACTGTCCCAGCTGTTCTCAGCAACATAAATAGTGTCCCTAGCTGTGATTCACTAGCTGTCCTCGACAGCAGAAAAATTACATATCCATACACAGGGAATAGTGAAAGATGCAGTTCTTGATATGATACAATAGTAGTTTTTAAACACTGAAAGTACATTAATGTCATTACTATACATGTCTCCTGGACTTCAAAATTTACATAATTTGAAAGACAGAGAAAAGGACAAAGGACATCTCAGCATTGTAATCAATAATATGCATCTGTATACAAAGTGCACATTGTATCAGCATTCTATCTTCTATAAGATTGAATTGAAATGTCAGGCTACCCTGTTGCAGACAGATGTCACCAATTTCATTTTATTGTCTCCAGATCACTGGGACTATGTCCTAGTTGGAAAAATAAAGGAAAATGGGCTTATCACTGGACACACTTGATTGGAATAGATGTTGTGTATATGTGTAGAACTAAAGAAGTGGTGATTGCTACATATGATAAAGTAGCATTTAATTATTTTAGATTTAATCTTGTTTTTTTTCCCCTTCTCTTCAATAATATGTTCTTTTTAGTTTTGATTAAAAGGCTGTTGCATAGAGTACAGTGCTCTTACAGAAATATTGTGTTCTAATTTATAGACCAAAAATTTAATGTTCACATTGCATAATATTTGCATTTGTAATAGGAGTGTTTATACAATAATGGTGAAAAAGTTGAAATATAATTAAGACATCTATGTAGTGATAGAAGACAGGTTGAAATAAACACCAAATCTATTACATTACTTTGAAAATATTGTACAAGGAAATTATCTGTTTATGCTTAAGGGCATGTAATCAGAGTAAGTTCAAGCAGATTTTTAAAGAGTGATCAATAAAAGTTAATATATCGTGTTTCATAACTGTTTTAGAATGAGAATCTATTGATATGTATCTCTATCAGTATTGTATAAAACATTTAGTATGTCATCAAGCATTGTTCTCAAACAAATCTCATTAAGGACCTGAATTTCATTGTCTTACATGTAAATCTCATTGTACATGTTTCAGAGTTATTCTTATTATTATATAAGTTTCATGCCTTATGTCATGACTGTTACACATTATAAGGCTAGTATCATGGTTGTACATGTTATAGGGCACATGTCATGGTTGTGCATAATGCAGGGCTTATGTCATGGCTGTACAATATGTCAAGTTATCAAGTGATGTCATGGTTTTACATGTTTCAAGACTTGTGTTATGGTTGTACAACTTTAAAGACTGATATCATTCTCAAGCCATCTGATAGATGTAGAGATTTGCCATGTTGTTGTGCACATAGTGTTACTGCTAGTATTAAATTGTTGTGCTTGCCCAAAAACTGATGGTAATGCTGTATATTGCAGGGCTGATTGTGTGTAACTGGGTGATCATGCTGACTGTATTCGTGTCACTTTGGTGTACCTATGACATAGCAGGCAGAAAATGGGTTAAGATGAAACGCTACCAAGAGAGTATGAAGGAAAAATCCCATCGGAATAAACGGAATAGTGGAAGACGTAATTGGAGACATCGGTAAGCATTTCTCCCATTGTCAAGTACATGTACAAAATGTAAAATTATGTTTTCATTTTAGAAATTGGCATCTCGTACAGTTTTTTTTTTTTTTCAAATAGATATTAACGTTTGACAATTTAGATTTTTGAGTTAAAACTTACCCCCTCCTCCCCCTCCCCATCCCCATAGTATATATAATATACTGCCATGGCATTTTGCAACATTGAAAAGACCTAATGGTTAATAGATTTTAAAACTTCCATGGTAGTCAAGTCCATTGTTAGAATAGGATATATCTCAATTTTATCTAATAGCATTTACTTCACTCATAACTCACACCCCCACTCCCACCACCAACTCACCCATCCACCCTTGAAAAAAGAAGAAAAAATATTATCATTGTGCATAAAGAGTATATTCTGTTAAGTATCATCCAAATTTAAATGTAAACTTGTTACTTATTTATAAATCCACATACTTCAAAAGGATCTCCTTCAAAAAGAAGTTGTCAATTGGCTATTTGTTTCCTCTGTGCAAGGGGTAGGATTATTGAAAATATCTAGAATCAATCATCCAGTTGTTTTGACCTCACCAATGCACATTATATTGTCATCTGTCATTATGTGGTGGTAATGATGCCTTATAAGACAGGGTTTGGGTATTGGTAATTGGTGTAGCAGTTCAAGCATGTGATCCATGTTAGCATGCGTTCCTGATAAAACTCTCCCTTCCAAGACTCTCCTAGCTTGGTTAATCTTCCCTTCGGTTTAGTTAAGCAAGCGCTAGCATGATACAGCATTGTCACAATTTTCTTGTGGAGTATTTTATATGTTCTGTGATTTTCAGTGCAGTTTTACAGATTATGTTTTTCATTATTGTCTTAAAAATTGATTTGATCTTACTTGGCAAATATGAAGACCGGATTTTTCTACATGACTTACACCTGTAGTCAATCTTAAAATTTCATAATTTCAGTTAGGTCTTATACATTATGATGCATAGTTAATGCAATTTTATGATCATTAATGGGTTTTCATATCTTGTTTGTTTACATTAAAATTACTTTCTCTGATAAACTAGTATTCATCAGAACACATATTTGCCAGGTAAAGTGATGATGATCTAGTTATGTCAGTTTAGTCATTTTATTGGTTCTACAATTTATACACATCATCATTCTATTAAGTTTTGATCATAATTATAATTTGCCTTTTTTTCTCAGGAGTAGTTTTATGAGGCTTTTGTCTTCTTATCACAGCATAAGGAGGTAACTTCTTGACTTCTAATTTCATTGCTTGTAGTTTCCATTAATCTTCCTTTCAGTACTAAGTTCAGACATTTTTTTCTCTCTGTATTTATTTGTTTCAGCATTAAGTTTTTAAAAATCTTCCTTGAATGATATCTCACAAAAGGAGACATTATTTCTATTGAAATCATTTTGTTTTTTTTCTGAGATTTGTTTCTTAACCTTAAATTAAAACCTCAGTAGTCTGGATACATTTATTCATTGATTTCCAGAAAACATTTTAATGAAATGCCAACTTGAAATTGATTAGTCTCTTGATTGAGGACAGTTTTGAAAGTAAGTGATCTGAAGCTTTGAGATTAAGTAATGGAATTGAGGGAGAAAGATGTTTGAACTTTTACTGATGTTCATGCGTACTCATACCAGCCATGACATTATTGTATATTAGCTATAACAATTAACTTCATATACCCAGTCTTATCATCAATGAACCAAGCTCTTACTCACCTGGAAAGTAAGTATACCAAACACATTTGTTCAAATGTTGTCCATCACTTACAATTTTCTTCAAAGCATTTCCTGAGTTTCCTTTTGATATATATATATATATATATATATATTCTTATTTATATATTGTTTTTATTGCAAGTTTATAGATAAGACTAGAAAAAGATCAGCATTGTTCTTGAGTAAAGTCATATTACACTTGAGAAGGATAATGAAATCTTTCTATATTTTATAATAAGGATGATCATATGGTAACTCTATAAATGACGCATATCAAGATACAATACTATGCCAATTTTTGGGAAGAATTGGTCATGTTTTTCACCATGATAATGCTGTCAAAACCTATGTTGCTCTTATCCTGATTCAAAATATGATTATTTGCTATATGGTCAACTCTTCATATTGTAAGTTTTATTTTTTTGATAGAGGCCAGGTTATTCACACTACATTTCAGATACTACAATGTACATTACAATTACCAATTTTTGCTCTAGTTTTATTCCCTTTTATTCAGGACTTTCAAATTACCTTTCACTCTAAATTTGGAGTATCATTTCAAAGTGATGATTTAAAACATACCATTTCATTTCAAAAATAAAATTGAAGTCCAGTTATTTTTGCATAGTTCCTGCCAACTGAGGTAATATTGTAAGCTGAAGGTAAAACAGGATGTAATACGTATGTATGGTATTCATCCTCTCAAAGACTAAGCCAACCCACATCAGTAGAATAACCAAATGACTTTCAAACCAACCCCGTAGACTTTGGATCAAAGGTCTTGTGTTTATTTACTACTGCTTAGTTTATTGCTCCATGAACAGGCAAGGTCATTGTAAGGTAGGGTCTCCATGTAGTATAATATACAGGAGATCTATCACATGACATCCAGAGTGATTGGGCTGAAGTATCTTACCTGAAGACACAACCATAACAACACAGACATTAAGAAACAGAAACACAAACCGTCACGGGTATGGAGTGATGCACCAAACACTTTGAATCTGTATGTGATTCCCAGCTGGACATATTGCTGGGTATAAGTTCCTGTACTGTAATAAATTATAAGAAGCACCTGTTATTTTAATTAAATGTTACCTAGTATTCAATTCTTGATTGTTGAAGAAAGAGTTGGGTTAATGTATAACATGCTTTATGTCTGTCATAATGATTCCTCTGATATGTTGATTACTGTAAATTAACTTTCTTTTGTAGCTACTAAGTTTTGCGATTTCAGAAATAAAGTAACTTCAAGGCAATTTACTTTCGGGAATTCTGAGTCATTATTCAAAAATTCAAAGTGTAGGGCATGGTCTTCATTTAAACCCCATTGCTTATTTGGATATAACAGATGAGCGTAGGATATTTCAGGGAAACATGTCAGTAGTGACATGTTCATAGACCACAGGAACTTTTGACAACTTGTTAAAACTATACTCAGAAAAATAAACCAGTCTAATCAACTTTCAAATTCATTAGGTGCCTTGTATTTTTGTTTGTAATCTGACAGTTGATCACAGTAAGTTAAATGATTGCATGACTTTGTACGGTGACCCAGTCATAGGATTCAAACATGCACATGTCGCCACTGGAATGTTTCATATACAGAACACCAACCTGAATCTCCTCAGAATCAAAACAATCATGGGAATAAATTGTCAGCAACTCTGAATTTGAATATAGATTGATGAAATAAGTTATAGCTGTATGTGCTGAACACAAAGATTCAGGATAAGCCGCTCACAAGAACAATGTTTATAATAGTCAATAATATAAAGCAACAAATGTTAACTATGAAAATCAAAATTCATCTATGTTTGGATTGATGGAAATTGATTTTTCATGATTTTGGTTCTATTGCAGTGAAAGAAAGTTGGTATACAGTATTGCACTATATTTTGATTGCTCCAAAACTAACAGTGCTAAAGGATGTTTTAGTCCTATCGTCACACATGCCATAGTTTTCCTCTGGGACTTGATGACATTTCAAACACTCAACTTTATCCCTTTACAAATGGCAACGTATTTAAGATAATGTTCATTTACAGCACTTTTACAGCATATAGCAATCTTATAGGAAAACAAATTTTTAAATTTCACCATATAAAAAATATCTTGTCACAGATTTCTAGATAACATTGATAGGTCACATCTGGTGTGAACATGTTTTAATACAGGAAAGATATCACCTGGTGACAGCTTTTAGCATATAGTGGAGCACTAACCTCACTCTTACTGAAGCATCAGCTGTGAATGTTGACTGATTATCATCCATATTACCAGCTTATTATTAGAATTTTTTAATATTTCTGTTGATGTGGGTTGGTAGATCAAAACCATTTTGAACACCCAATAGACCTATTGAATTTTCATTACACATTTTATTTACTGTAAGTATCCACTTCAATGCTTTTGAACATTTTCTTAAAATTAAATTTCTGCATAAGCCAGTCTTCCTTGATGTTAAAGATCAAATTATAAAGAAGCCTTGCTCTTGACTTTTACAAGTGATATTTCCTTTGGGTCTTGGGTAACAGCTGTTTCTTCATATAATGTACACATGTAATAAGACCAGGATCAGTGTGTGGGATATCAAATAGAGTTTAGGATTATTCAACAATGTAGAGACTCGGATGGAAATACTAGTAATAGATTTGCACTATTCATAAAAGGCTTTGAAACTTCAAGTATAATCCTGGTTGGGCCAAAGGGCCTTTGACCTTTCAAACTAAAATTGACCCTTCCACTTTTTCACTGAAAATTTCTGAAAATAACCCAGAATTATAAGCACTGTCAGTCAGCCTGCCTTACATGAGCTTCTTGTCTAAAGCATGATTATTACCTTGCAACTGATTATTTTGAAATAAGTAAATGATGAAATGTTAATGTTAAGGGTTTAATTTGTTCTTTGTTAAGCAGGTCTAATTAATTTTAGAGAGGTTTTGCCTTGGAATTAAAAGCTTGAAGGATTTTAACAATAAAATCTCTGACGAGAAGCCTAGCATATAACAGTTCAAAAAGAAATACGTTGATATTAAATGGAAATCTTTCTTTGTTTTTTGTTGTTGTTGAAATGAAATGAAATGAAATATTGTTTTTTTCTTCGCCATTTTACTTCTTGAAATAAGTTAATTCCATTTTAAAACACTTTTTCTTATCATACCTTTTGTATCATCCAAGAGCAATATTTCCATTGATCTTGGAATTAAATCTTTAATAAATGAGTAACACAGCTGTGAGGGATTTTTGTTATGGATCATTGGCTGGAATATGCTACCTTTTTATGTGTGTCAGCTTGCAGTGCTGCTTCTATATTACTTCATGAATATAAAGTTCAATATTACCTTGCAGTTCTTAAAAAAAAAGACACTCTATTTTGTGTAATAATAATAATAATAATACTTTTGTGACATATATTTGTAAAAAATAAAAAAAATATAAGGAAAAATGGCAATGATAAAAAATAATTCAGATATGAATTGGATTTTTTTATCAATATTACTAGTACATGTTTTATTTGCATCTGCCAAATTATAATTGGGTGTTTCAGAACATGTATTTGCCTCCAAGGCACCACCAGCTGACACTTGTATAAACATCAGAGCAACAAACCTGTGTTATCATCCAACACCATCTGTAATATTAATTATGTATTGGATTTATACCCATGATTACCAATAATGAACGGTGACAATGACTACACATCCTTCAGCTGTTCATAGTGGGTGTATTGTATGTGTCACACCTCTGAGGTAATATACAGGTTAATATAACCTCTATGGAACCATCTTGGCAGCATATTTCTAGGAAACCAAGTACAGAATTGGACGCTTTCCTGTTTAACAATTTTCTTGATGTTGTACTTACCAGTATAAATTTCAGTTTCAATAATTTGAACATTCTGTGTTGGACTTACTTCTATTAGCAATATCAACTCAGTTTAGTTTTGCTGAGTGACTAAATGCATTATCAACTTACTGTGACATGTTATTGGAATAAAAACATTGACAAATGGATACCCTAAGTAAGACAATGTTATATAAAAACAGGAAGTTTTAGTCACATTAGTAAATCTGTTGAATGTTATGAGAAATGATGTTGATTAATGATAGCTAGGGTAGAGTTGTACTAACATAAATGAAAGGGGATATAAATCATGGACAATAAGGAAAATTCAGCTTTATGAAATGAAATGTGAAATTGATCTTCCAGTGTAGCTAGTTTATTTCTTGTAGTCTGGAAAAATGAAAAAATAAAATTAAAAACAAAATGAAAATGAAAAAAAATATTGATGTTGCTGAAAATTTTACTCTTCACTTTAAAATATGGAACATGCTGAGTTTAAATTGATTATAACACAGAGATGTGGTATTCACTGTCATGATTAAATCTAAAAGCTTCACAGTCAGACATTTACTGAGGTGCTATATACAACAAACATATGGTTCACATTCATTGTGTCTTGACTGAAAGGTTTTGCGGAAAAGCATTAACTTGACCATCCATTTCCTGTGTCTGGAAATAGAGTGGTCAAGTCTAATAGTGCAATTCTGGTTGATGAATTCTGCTTCCTTGATCACTTCTCTGTGTGCTTTACACATAACAAATAGTTGATCTTGAAAGGCTTTTCTGGTCAACATGTCCTGAGGATCAAAGGTCATTATTTGATATATATGCATATTATTTCCTTTTCTGAAAAATGAGAAGTCACTTCCAGTAACAAAATCTCTAATGATTTGTGGACAGTAGATTGAGCAGACTAAATTCTCTGTCTGGTCAGATAACCAAGTTAGGTCAATAAAAACTCTGTCATATCCCTCTGATGGTCCCATACACCTAGTTTGGCGAATCAGCTTTACGCCATCAAATGTCCGTACAGTAAACTCTTTAATAAAAACCCTTGTGAGATTCATTAATAAGAACCCTTGTGAGATTCATTAATAAAAACCCTTGTGAGATTCATTAATAAAAAACCCTTGTGAGATTCATTAGTATATCGTCTAAAAGAAAGTTATTATATTAAAATCATTTCATAAATATTAGTCAGTTTTGACAGCATATGATTTAAAAAAATGCAGTATTAAAGGAAATGTCATATTTATCACTTCAAAATCTTTCTCTTGGTTGATAAGAAAACTAAATGTATAAATGGTAAGAAGATGGGATAGATGGATGTTAAGCCTGAGAGGAAAGATGCTTTATAAAAATGATTGTGATAACTGACTCCAGATGTAGATTTGTGATTATACATCACAGCAATTGATGTAACCTAATATACTTCTATTTACCTGAAGATTTCTCAAATGCTTGAATACATTTTAATGTATATTAATTCATTTGTTAAAGAGTCATTTTTAAGTGACAATTGGGGCTTTATCCTCACTACAATTGGTAGGTGGTGTACACATCATGACATAAGAATTCTGTAAACATTGCTGGTGTCTTTTTGTCAGGTAAGATGCCAGGCATCATCATCTGAGACTAGCCTTCAGGAAGAGATAGCAGAGAGCTTAAAGGTCAATGACTAATGGTTTCCTATCCTGTTACACAATTAAAAAAAATACTTCCCTGTACAATTGTTATGTTCTAATGCAATAATTTATTCTGCCTGTCAGCCAAACGTTTATGGAGGGTTTATGATGGTTATAAGTATATTGAAGTAGTAAACCCTGTAATGTGTTTGCTATGTACCAAGATTATATACATACTAGAATATTTCATTTATTTGTCTGCTATATGTATACCCAGACAAACTAACTTATATAGATTTGAAGTAAAAATCTTTCAGTAATGTATCCAGAATGAGCACACTGTAGGCTAAACACAATAAATTTACAGTTTTATAGTCTTATTTCTCCTAAGAATAGCCTACAATTATATCTCTGTACCAGGAAAATGTAATTTGGAAATCTCATGCATGGTAGAGATAATATATCATGGTATATTTCTGCACTTTACGAGATCAAGTAATTAAAACTGTGATAACTTGATATACATAGCTGAATTATTTCAACACGATGATGTACCAATGCTATCAGTATGTGTGATTTACTTTTTTAAAACAGTGTGAGAAAGTGCATTTCTAGATTTTCAGAAATGTTAGAAACCCTAACTATTTTTATTGAATACAAACACAATATCCACCACACAGTTTACAACACATAGGGGATCTTACATTCATTTTCATTTCATATGAGATTTAGGAATTATGTATACATTTTTAGGCTAAACGTAACGAGGTTTCAGGCTACTGGCGCCGCCTTTGGAACTAGCTGTTAGTTCCAATCCTGGCTTTCTGATAGATGGAAATATTCCAATGATTTACTAGTGATCCCTAGCAGCAGTCGTATGCTATAAGCAATGCCCCCATCTTTCAAAACAGTGTCATACATACATACTGTTGCTATGAGACAATCAACTATTATACTAAAATCTTATCAAAAATGACAGACTAGCTGTTCAAGAAGATATTCAGATTGAGATTTGTGTCAATCAGAAACTGGTATTGTTCTGATTTGCAGAAGATTCTCGAAGGTAGGACATTATGGCAGAATGCATAGAATTATGAGATCATTGGCATCTAGTCTTAGCAATCTATCTAAAAGTTGGCAACAAGTGATAATCGACAAGTCGTAAAGACTGTTCAGAAAGTATATATGAAAATAATCACTATAGTTAGGGACATTATAGATATGATCACAATATACCTCTTTAATACCAAAGTAAGTTTCATGTTGATATTTGTAAAATAGATTAACAGAGAGTTAATTTTTTCTCGATCACTGGTAGCACTATACATTGTGTATTACACTTGATTGCAGTGTCTTGAATCATATAACTTACAACCATTTATCATCAGTTGTTTGCACTGGGTTCAATATCCAATAAAATAAATTATTGGCAATCTCTTGATTTGGAACTTTAAATTATTTCCATGAATTGTGCATTTTGCACAAATTTCACTAATGGAAAATGTATTCAAAATTTCAAGTTTAGTCATTGATAATCATCATCTGTATAATTGTTTGTTTGTTTTGCATTTGATGGATTATATCTTGCATTTAAAGTTACATATATATCAACATCTTAAATCTTTCAGTAATTTCAGTACATTGATTTCCTTTTATTGATTGAATCTAAAGCTAAGCCTGAAAAATTGCTGACTCAGTTTATAGATTTTAGATATTGAAAATAAAGATTTGCATTTTGTTCATCTCAAAACAATTTTTTTCCGTTATGATATAATTTTCTTTGGCAGGTAGGAAATCAAGAGTAAATAAATTTACACTCCATTCCACTTCCATTCCTGTTTCTTTTACAGCTGTCATAATAACTCCATTAAGTGCTTGCTCCTTAATGGTTGTTAATTACTGCATGACATCAAGTTATTTATAGCAGTATAATGAAATATAACCATGCATCCACCTTTAAAATTAATTTAGATATATGTATCACAGGGTATGTGCAATGAAGGATTTTAAGTTAAAACCTTCAACAGTGTATTCAATGAATAATCAACTTTCATAATAGAAATATTGATATTTGTTCTATTTTCAAATCAGATCTTTTAATTAGTATATTGGATTTTGAAGGTTCAAATATTTGTTACCATTCATAAACTTTGAATTTTGATACATTATCAACAATTCTGTTAAAGGATTATTATAAAAACCTTTTATATGAAATAACTCAATTCAAGGAGTTTGGACCAACAGTAAATTAATAAGATGTTGAATTTATGTAGATATGTAGAAGAAATTTTTTACTTATTATGAAGCACTAATAAGTGAATGGACTGATATGAAAATGATGGTTTTTAAAGAATAACACTGCTCTGATGATATTGGTGTCATGTTTGAATATTGAAAGGTTACAAAACATGTCTCAGAATGATATTAAGTAACTGGTATCATTAGGTAATTTGAAAGAGGACTCTTTGACACATACGATTAAGATTCTGTGCTTGATTTGCTTGTTTGAAGGAAAGCTATCCGGGCTTATGAGGAAAGTTGGGATAGGAGATTCCGATTTCTATGCTGTTGTGTTGAAAGGGATGCAACAAACAGGGTAAGTGTTCTGTTGATATCAGATATATACATTTTTAGCCCACCATCTAATAGATGGTGGGTTATTCAAATCGCCCTGCGTCCGTGGTCCGTCCGTCCGTCAGTCCGTAAACAATTCTTGTTACCGCTATTTCTTGAAAAGTGCTGGATGGATCTTTCTCAAATTTCACATGCAGGTTCCCCTTGGTCCCTAGTTGTGCATTAAACCTTTTTTGGACTGAATAGAATTCAAGATGGCCGACAGGTGGCCATCTTGGATTTTGGAAGTAAAAGTTTGTTACCGCTATTTCTGAAAAAGTACAGGATGGATCTTCCTCAAATTTCATATGCAGTTTCCCCTTGGTCCCTAATTGTGCATTGTACCTTTTTTGGACTGATTCGAATTCAAGATGGCCGACAGGCAGCCATCTTGGATTTTGGAAGTAAAATTTTATTACTGCTATTTTTTGGAAAGTACTGGATGGATCTTTCTCAAATTTCATATGCAGTTTCCCCTTGGTCCCTAGTTGTGCATTGTACCTTTTTTTGACCGATTCGAATTCAAGATGGCCGACAGGTGGCCATCTTGGATTTTGAATGTAAAAGTTTGTTACTGCTATTTCTTGGAAAGTACTGGATGGATCTTTATCAAATTTCATATGCAGGTTCCCTTTGGTTCCAAGTTGTGCATTATACCTTTTTGGACTGATCCGAAATCAAGATGGCTGACAGGCAGCCATCTTGGATTTTGAGAGTAAAATCTTGTTACTGCTATATCTGAGGAAGTACTGTATGGATCCTTCTGATATTTCATAGATATTGGTTTCCCTTGGTCCCTAGTTGTGCATTGTACCTTTTTTGGACTGATTTGAAATCAAGGTGGCCCACAGGCAGCCATCTTGGATGTCGACAGTAATACAGCACAAGCATATTGTCCATTATCCACCTGTAACTGACTGCTATCTAATAATACTTTGGGATCTTTTTCAAATAATATTTGCTAATAGGTGCTTAGTAAAAATATCTTGTGCCATCATTGAGTACATTCAATGAAGACCAGTTCATGAACATTTACAACACCTGTAACAAACAAAAAAAAAATAAACAAATCTTCAAGAACTGAAAACAGATCCTCAAATGGTGGGCGCCAAGATCCTTCTGGGATCTCTTGTTTGATAGGTTCTCATGGACAGTAATCAGTTGTTTCTAGGAACAGTACAGGGATTACACAGTGTAAATTGTTACTTTGTACTGCCCTTTCAGAACCATCAATGTTCTTTTGGAAGGAAATTGGTATTTAGTGAATATTTGAAATGAGATGGTCCCTCAAAGTCAGAATCATGAATTCTGATTGGCTAGGACAAGTACAAAATGTATTACGGTCTATTTATCTATTGGTCTAGGTACATTTTTTCATACTTGCATTTATATGATATTTGGCTGAAAAATCTGTGTCATAAATAGGTTTTTATTTTCCTTTAATTTTTTGGCCAGGATCCTTGTTTTTGGCTTGTAACATAATAGTGATCTAATGTTCCTTAATGCTTGTATAACTTAATAGAGGTATTTAATACTTTTAATACTTGCTTGCAAGTACACAATGTATCAGTATTCTTTTGACTTAACTGTTGAATTTTATATCGAATATGCATGCTTTTTTTTCAGAACTCAATAGCAGAGGTAGCTAAACTTTTCACAGAATTTTTTCGCGATCTAGATGTCGTACCTTCAGATGTTATTGCAGGATTTGTACTGCTTCGTCGCCATCAAAAGCTTCAAATGCACCATGTGGTCACAGAGGTGAGTTTTATGTCACTTTGATCAGAATTAGTAGGCATTGTCTTGTTGCATGTGGCAAGCCATTAACTTTTTATGGTTCAACAGTCAACATTTCACTTTAAACAACTTCTGAAACATAGCAAGATCTGTTACAATCATGGAACCCCGATAAGCCTTTAGAATGGAGATGAATACCCTGATAGTCTTGCTGACTGAGAAAATCTCATCAATTATCTATATGGCAAGGTCTCCTACCAGGAAACATAGTGTCGTCACTCTGGAGACCTGATCAGTTTGTTGAATTCAATTGTCTTTTATATACAATGGAGATGTCAAGAAAAACTGAATACAGACATTCTTCATATTTTTTAATTCACATTGCACAAAGTGCCATTGAGCTTTTGTTATGGTGAATGATTCATCATTTGATTGTCAGCTTTTATCTTCTTTTATAAAACTATGAGCAACTGGGAAGTGATATTTGGTTGGAGATACCAGTTTTGGAGTACAACATATTTTCCTCAAATGATTGACGTTGACCTCAAGGTTACAGGGGTCAAATAGGTAAACAAATGTAATAATTTTGTTTTCAAGTTCTAGAAGACATTTGTTACATATATTTGGAATGCAGGTATCAGGGATACCTGCAAAACTTCCTTAACCTATTTTCAGGGTAAAATAAGTTAAAAAAACTATAAGAATGATCTTTTTAATTTCCTGGTCAGCTAGCTCTTTGATATTTGGCAGAGTCAGAGAGCTATAAGGTTTCCTCTTGAAAATGATCTTGCTTCTTTTCATTGTCACAGGAGTTCTTCTCAAATGACCAAACTACCCCCAACCAACCCCGACCCAACCCTCACCCAACTAACCCCCTTTTTTCAAGATTATGTTGGTTAAATGAATATGTGTTTAAGACATCTAAGAATTTTCTTCTCAAGTTTCATAAGGTTTATTCAGTGTCCAGATAATATGCTAGATGGTACCGTGGATGTAGCACTATAAAGTCTTCTGATATAAATAACCTTGACCTGTTTTCAAGGAAGCAATTGCCAAATATATTTGTAATACTTAATTCTGCCAAAACCCTAATGTTTGAGCAGTTAGTACCTGGGATGAAGTTCTATGAAGAGTTTTCATATAAAGGACCATGAACTATTTTGAAGGTTACAGCAGTTAAACATGTTAAAAACATTTTGCAAACACCTGAAGTTTCATAAGACTTGGGAAGTTGATAATTTTTAAGGAGGTTCCTTGGATAGAGTACTTACATATTTTCCTCAAATAAATGACCTCCAAGATCAGTTAATTATTGGTATCTAGAGACGCTCAAAAAAATGTTCCTGTATCCTTTCGTGATGTCCTAAACATGCCTTCGTTCCTTTGTGACGTCTTGAGACATCATGAAACATGTTTGTGAGACAAAGAACCATAATGACCTATGGCAATCACCTTTGTCTGGCATCATGCGTTCATAACTTAAAACATTTTTCTATTTCTTCTCAAAAACCCCTGAACTGATTTCAATGAATTTTGCATAACCCTTCCCTGGCCTAAGGTGAACCAAAGTAGTGAATGATACAGTTCCTATTCCAAAGGGGCCTGATTGGCAGTGCCAAAATGGTCAAAAATTTTCTCAACACCCAGATATGGTAGTATGGAGTACTCTTCATGGATAGAAACATCGTAATTGATAGTTTCATGGCCCCAGGATCTTACATGTCCTATGTGAAATGGGTAAAGTTTACTGTAGTTTTTTTCGGAAAAGTAGATTTTTGTGCATAATTTGTTTAATTTCCATTTGAAATATTTCAAACTTGGTTAGAATTATGAGCAAAGCAGACAACTTGATGGTATGCACATATTGATCCTGACTGACCCCTAGGGACTGATGGATGGAGCGGAAAGGTGTGAAATTGACTTCAATTTCAAAAATCTTCTTCTCAACACCCACATATGGTAGAATCAAATGCTCTTCATGAGGAGGTTAACTTTATAATTTTTTAGGTCATCTGACCTGAAGGGTGACCTATAGCTATCATGCTGCTCTGTTTACCGTACATCATACATAAACTTTTTATTTAAACCTGTACTCCTCTTTCATACCACTGTGGATTTCAAACAAATTAGGTCTGATGCTTAATTTTTAAAGAAAATCATTTCTTCAATTCAGAATCTTTATTTGACCCCTAGGGGTTGAGGGATGGGGGTCCAAAAAGGGGAAAGTGCGGAAATTAGCTTTAAAACCTTACTCTTCCTTTCTGCCTGGATGGATTTCAACAAGCTTTGGCTTGATTCATCGATTAGGGTTGGCAAATATTTCCTTAATTCAGAAATTTGATTTGACTCCTAGGAACTTAGGAGCAGTTCAGAAATCATTTTCGTCTCTCAAAGATGTTTCACACCAAATTTGTTTTGGGGGGCATGAGAAAATCCAGTCAAGCATTAAGAAAGAGTACCTTATTGAAACAAAATACTGTATATTTTCCAATTTTGGGGTAGTGCCTAAAAGTGTGTAGGGATTGAATCAACTTTCTGAATTTAAGAAATGATTCTCTTCTCTCATTAATGTTTCACACCAAATTTGGTTGAAATCCATTCAAGCCTTAAAAAGGAGTAGCGTTTTGAAGCAAAATTTTGCAAGAAATATTGGTATTGGATGAAAGTTTTGATGGTATGCATGTATTGACACTGGCTTACTATCATCAGTGTCACAATTTATTTTTTATGACACTTGAAACCTACTTACCCTTTAATCTTTACATCAATATTACTTATCTCAGGTGACCATCAATGTGGCCAGGCCTCTTTTTTGTTGCCAATTACTGTGACATGTCTCTTCCATTTCTAATTCTGCTTCAACATCGAAAGCGTTTTAAAGGAATGACTCTGACTTTTGAAACAAGAATGTTAAGCAGAATGTTATCATTGTCATAACTATCTACATTTTCTGTGATTTTGGGGCCTACTAAGGGGATACCAACATTTTGAGAACAGTTTTGTATTGTTGATGCTGATGCTGTGTCTATCCACGCTTTTTTTATTGCGTCCAGCAATTATTTTCTTGGTCAGATCTGTTGTGTAAAAACAGTTATCATTGTTAGTGATCAGATGTTTCATCATTTCTTTTCTGTAACATGCTTTAAATGCCCGAAAATTGCTAAAGTCAAATGATGGTAACTTCAATGTTGGGTTAGGCAGGAAGAATGTTAATGTAGCATTGCCGAAGGACAAACCTTACGAGTGTCATGGCATTATCAAGAAAAAGGAGAATGTCTCGTTTTTGCCATTTCATTTGTGTGCTTATTGTGTCCAGCCATTCTTTGAATGTTTCTTCTGTTATCCATGCACATTTATTTGATCTCCAAATCACAAGCAGTTTTTCCAAAATGGAGATGTTTCGTTGCAATTCAACACATCTTTTGAATTGTATCTATCAATAATTGATGTTATTTGGGATTTTAAATCATCCATTGTATCAGAGTCAACACAACCACTCTATCCACAAAATTTAAGGAAGCAAATAGAGTGTCTATTTCTCCAGCTTTCCAGCCAATCATTAGATGCAAAATATTCAATTCTCTTGTTGTCTGAGTTGCCTTTGCCTGAACTAGCAGTTCACTTATTGGAACATTTTAAGCCCTGGCCTTGCAAGACCACTTAAACTGAAGCATTGATATCTCAATATCTAATTCAACACTGAAAAGGTTTTTCTTGGTTGCAGAATTTTCTTGTTAAAGACCTTTGTAGTAATCTTTACAATTCAGATTATCAGACACTGTTGACCTGCTGATATCAAATTTAATGCTAATTTACTTTTGTGAAGGTTTTGGACATTTTTTTGATTCAGCTTTTTTTTTGTCAATGATAAATCCTTCCTTAGCATTTTGAAGGCATACACTCTGGATCAGTTAATTTCTGTTTACATGGAGGAGAAGCCATGATAATATGATTGTGTGTATATAAGATCTTCAGAAATAACAACTGACTAATCTTACTATCATGTACACTTGTAATTCCTTTGTATTGGTGAATACAATTAACTCAAATCTGAGATAGTTACTACCCACCTGTACACACAACAAACACTCCATCATTTTAAAGTGATGTGAAAACTCCTTCTAGTGTCACTCATTATGCATTTCGTACAGGTAGCACTGTGTAGCATCCACAGTTAAAGAGTGCAGCAATGATGCGTGTCAGATTTTTCAGGTAACTTGTGATGCTTATTTGTATGTTTAAATAGGAAAATGATGTTGGAGTTTGGAAGTGACAATGACCAGATCTGTCAGTGTAAAATAACTGACTTTGTTTAGGAAAATGTTTGGGAGACATACAATATGTCAGATGTGAGGATGTGTCAGATTTGTCAGGTGTCTGATTTCACTGTATCATGAACACAGACACTATATTTTATTTGTAACATGAATTTTGGAATGTGTCAATACTTAACCATTTGCTTTTAATAAAGCCTGTGGGGTGACATTAATGCTTTGACCTGTACCTGCAGCTTCATACCAGCAGAATGGTTAGACCAAAAATGATATAAAATCACCTTAATGGAAGTCATGCAGACAATTTTTATTCACAGAGCACGCATTTCTGACTAGAATTCTGACTATTACTGGATTGGGAATTTTAATGGTGAATGGTGGCAAATTGCATTCATGCTGTTCAATATAGTTTACTAATGAGAACATCCCTGTAGCTCAATAGTGGTATCCTCATTATATTCACAGTCTATAATTGTTGTATTTATCAGTTGACTCATTAGCACTGAAGTTGGTCCTGGTCCTTATTCTTGTTCCAGAACCAACATTCTGTCATACAGTACTGGTCCTGGTGCTTATTTTTGTTCTAGAACCATCAGTCTGTCATACAGTACTGGTCCTGGTGCTTATTTTTGTTCCAGAACCAACAGTCTGTCATACAGTACTGGTCCTGGTGCTTATTTTTGTTCCAGAACCAACAGTCTGTCATACAGTACTGGTCCTGGTGCTTATTTTTGTTCCAGAACCAACAGTCTGTCATACAGTACTGGTCCTGGTGCTTATTTTTGTTCTAGAACCAACAGTCTGTCATACAGTACTGGTCCTGGTGCTTATTTTTGTTCTAGAACCATCAGTCTGTCATACAGTACTGGTCCTGGTGCTTATTTTTGTTCCAGAACCAACAGTCTGTCATACAGTACTGGTCTTAGTCCTTATTCTTGTTCCAGAACCAACAGTCTGTCATACAGTACTGGTCCTGGTGCTTATTTTTGTTCTAGAACCAACAGTCTGTCATACAGTACTGGTCCTGGTGCTTATTCTTGTTCCAGAACCATCAGTCTGTCATACAGTACTGGTCCTGGTGCTTATTTTTGTTCTAGAACCAACAGTCTGTCATACAGTACTGGTCCTGGTGCTTATTTTTGTTCCAGAACCATCAGTCTGTCATACAGTACTGGTCCTGGTGCTTATTCTTGTTCCAGAACCAACAGTCTGTCATACAGTACTGGTCTTAGTCCTTATTCTTGTTCCAGAACCAACAGTCTGTCATACAGTACTGGTCCTGGTGCTTATTTTTGTTCTAGAACCAACAGTCTGTCATACAGTACTGGTCCTGGTGCTTATTCTTGTTCCAGAACCATCAGTCTGTCATACAGTACTGGTCCTGGTGCTTATTTTTGTTCTAGAACCAACAGTCTGTCATACAGTACTGGTCTTAGTCCTTATTCTTGTTCCAGAACCAACAGTCTGTCATACAGTACTGGTCCTGGTGCTTATTTTTGTTCCAGAACCAACAGTCTGTCATACAGTACTGGTCCTGGTACTTATTTTTGTTCCAGAACCAACAGTCTGTCATACAGTACTGGTCCTGGTGCTTATTTTTGTTCTAGAACCATCAGTCTGTCATACAGTACTGGTCCTGGTGCTTATTTTTGTTCTAGAACCAACAGTCTGTCATACAGTACTGGTCTTAGTCCTTATTCTTGTTCCAGAACCAACAGTCTGTCATACAGTACTGGTCCTGGTGCTTATTCTTGTTCCAGAACCAACAGTCTGTCATACAGTACTGGTCCTGGTCCTTATTCTTGTTCCAGAACCAACATTCTGTCATACAGTACTGGTCCTGGTGCTTATTTTTGTTCTAGAACCAACAGTCTGTCATACAGTACTGGTCCTGGTGCTTGTTCTTGTTCCAGAACCAACAGTCTGTCATACAGTACTGGTCCTGGTGCTTATATTTGTTCTAGAACCATCAGTCTGTCATACAGTACTGGTCCTGGTGCTTATTTTTGTTCCAGAACCAACAGTCTGTCATACAGTACTGGTCCTGGTGCTTATTTTTGTTCTAGAACCAACAGTCTGTCATACAGTACTGGTCCTGGTGCTTATTTTTGTTCTAGAACCAACGGTCTGTCATACAGTACTGGTCCTGGTGCTCATTTTTGTTCTAGAACCAACAGTCTGTCATACAGTACTGGTCCTGGTGCTTATTTTTGTTCCAGAACCAACAGTCTGTCATACAGTACTGGTCCTGGTGCTTATTTTTGTTCCAGAACCATCAGTCTGTCATACAGTACTGGTCTTAGTCCTTATTCTTGTTCCAGAACCAACATTCTGTCATACAGTACTGGTCCTGGTGCTTATTTTTGTTCTAGAACCAACGGTCTGTCATACAGTACTGGTCCTGGTGCTTATTTTTGTTCTAGAACCAACAGTCTGTCATACAGTACTGGTCCTGGTGCTTATTTTTGTTCTAGAACCAACAGTCTGTCATACAGTACTGGTCCTGGTGCTTATTTTTGTTCTAGAACCAACAGTCTGTCATACAGTACTGGTCCTGGTGCTTATTTTTGTTCTAGAACCATCAGTCTGTCATACAGTACTGGTCCTGGTGCTTATTTTTGTTCCAGAACCAACAGTCTGTCATACAGTACTGGTCCTGGTGCTTATTTTTGTTCCAGAACCATCAGTCTGTCATACAGTACTGGTCTTAGTCCTTATTCTTGTTCCAGAACCAACATTCTGTCATACAGTACTGGTCCTGGTGCTTATTTTTGTTCCAGAACCAACAGTCTGTCATACAGTACTGGTCCTGGTGCTTATTTTTGTTCCAGAACCAACAGTCTGTCATACAGTACTGGTCCTGGTGCTTATTTTTGTTCCAGAACCATCAGTCTGTCATACAGTACTGGTCTTAGTCCTTATTCTTGTTCCAGAACCAACATTCTGTCATACAGTACTGGTCCTGGTGCTTATTTTTGTTCCAGAACCAACAGTCTGTCATACAGTACTGGTCCTGGTGCTTATTTTTGTTCCATACCTATAGCCTGTCATTCAGTACTGTCCTAGTGCTTATTCTTGTTCCATACCTATAGCCTGTCATTCAGTACTGTCCTAGTGCTTATTCTTGTTCCAGATACTATAAACTTTTTTTTCAATACTTGTCCTGGTGCTTATTCTTGCTTACAGGTCATTGTTATTATACTGCTGTTCTAACACAAATCATCTCAAAGGAGACAACTTTTTTTTCTTCTTTTTTGTGAGCAAGTAAATGTTTACTGCAACATCACCTTATTTCATGCAATCAAGAAGCCAAAAAAAGACTGGTCTTAAAATGTCTTACCAAGTACTTTCTTGTAATTTTAGTTAAACTTTATTTAGTTTCTTTGTATAAAACTATTTTAACTTTCTATTAATCGCTTTCCCAAATTTATTTGAAATTATTTGAATCATATCGGGTACAAAATGACTTGAAAGGTGGGACATAAACATGCTAAACCTGACTAGTTTCTTTCTGAAATAGTAAACTCATGCTGGAGACAGAAAAGAATATTCCTGCTATGGTTCACTGCATGCCACGAATGGCAACTAATTGGTTTCGATGACTTCTGTTAAGGGGATATCAGAGAGCCCAAAAATATGGTTTGCTGTATTCCACTTTTTGTTTGTAGGAGTCAACTAAAAGTAGGCCCTTGGCACAACTGATGATTTTCTGTCCTATCTCCTGCCAAGGGATATTAGGGAGAGCTGTCCTAGTTGCAAAACTTTGAATTCTAGTGTTTCTTTTCTGTCAGTTCTTTCTTCCTGTGCTTGGTTTTGATTCTAATGACCTTCCTCACACCTGTCCTCATAAGACAACATTACACCCAGTAAAAACAAATATTGAATAGTAACTTGTCATTTGGGTTACACAGTAGGCTTGTCCTTGTGTCTGTTCTGGACATCTAGTAACTACAAAATTTTATCCTATTGCTTAATGGTATTCTCAAGTCCATTTTCTTTGGTTGTGGCATGTGTCTGGATTACCATCCGCTAGAGTCTGGATAAATGACTTCAGGAGTTCATTCTGAATGTGCTTTTGTAGTGAAGAACTCGGATCACTGTATGGCTAGAATGAATTAATTTGTAGCAAACAATCCATTTGCTGAAATAATAGTAGTAGATTCTTTTGGTTCCAATAGCCTAGCTGTATATGCTATTGTTACAACGGAATCAAATTGATATATGGCTTGGCGAAGAAATTGGAGCAAATGAAATCAATACTAGTTACTTAAAGTGATGTTTGTTTTGATTACTATGAACATATGGAAGTGTAGGGCTATGTTAATAGAGTACAAAACAGTAAAGCTGGAACTGCCAATAGATACATGAGTAGCGGATTGGTTTTGTATTAATGCTTCTGGTAGTACAGAAATGTGTAAGGCAGCATTAGGGTTTAAGGCATGAAGATGTTATAGCTCTCGAATGTGCTATATTTGTATTTATGTATAGAGCTGACTCATCGGGTGTATTGTATCTGTACTGTATAAAGTGATTACAATGCCCAGAACAGTATTTAGCTGACCAGTGAAGATTATTCCAGGTAATATTACATCACTGTAATGTTTCTATGTCCTAGTTTCCTAATCAGATATAACCATACAGGAATCATCCTGAAATGCCTTCCCTTGTTATTTTCTGTCAGTTGATCCATTATTTGGTTTCTTCAGTGTTTCTTCCTTGAATATCATTTGATTTGATGTAATTTGGTAAGCAGGCACAATATATAATGCCAATGCTAAGTCCAATGTTGAACAAAATCCACACAGATTGTTGAGCACTCTGCACTTTGATTAATAACAGTTGCCTATCATTACTGTCATTGAGTGAAATATAACCAGTTCTGATGAAATTAAAACCACTACATCTCAGAAATAATTCAACTTTACTGAATAGTTGAAGCACAAATGTACATTCTTCTTGTTGTATTTTAGTAATTTTCTTATTCATCAACTTTTTCAATAAAAGGGATTTAGTATCATAACATTTGGCTTTGTCTGAAGCATAAGGGCTGTAGGGGGTTTGCTTAAGGGAAGGGAAAGGGCTAATAGTGTAAATAGGTATATATCTTCTCCTTCAGCTCAGATGAATTTGTATAGTTCAGGTAACAAAGTTAAACAATAGAGTGCCATTGGTTTTTTTTATTTTGCAGCACATTTATCCTGTAAAACGAGGTGGTTTAGCAAAAAGCAATTATTACCTTGCAGTATAGAGTCTGATTAAGTGACACACTTTTAATCACTCATATTTAGCCTGATTCCCATTGTGCCAACAAATTTATTAAACCTGAAAAATTTAGATGAGTTACCTTGCAGTGTAATATTGAAGTGACCTTTTTAATCTCTTTTTACTATTTAGTCTTGATTCCAATGGTATTGGATTACTAATTCCATGGAATTTGAAAAAATTACTTTTACATATTCTGTATAAGATCTGGTTATATTTGTTTGATGTATTTATCTTATATTTCAGGGCAGTAATGATGTGTACCAATACCTATCAGGACGTGCTATCACCCCTCAGACAGAGTTCTTACAGTTGGGCCAGCCTGAGGTTATGGAAGACTATAAACTTGTTGTCCATTACATGCGGTTTGCTTTGGCTGCCTATGGATGGCCAGCCTTCATGATGATGAACACTGGGACTGGCCTCTGTAAAATGCTTCCAAGCCTGCGGTAAATATTGTTTAGTATTGATAACCAAACACCGACGTCATGTAGCTTCAGATTGATTGATTTAATTGATAAGTTTTTCTACTTCTGGCTATGTTGATCGATCATTTTTATTGACTTGAGAACTTTCTAGATTTGCTAAAATTTGGAGCAGATCTGATAAATTATGATAAGTGATTAAATGAATCATTTTCTTACTCATTTCATGATAATCTGCATTAGAATTGTATATCTTTGTGTAGCTAAGTTATTTATACAAGGTTTTGAATTCAACTTAAACAATTTATTATGGTAATATTGAGAAATATACATATGTATATGACACATTCAACATATGTAGATAAAAATTCATTTCTTTCAAGACCTCAATTCAGACTTGTAATTGTAAAAATATAAAAATCATAAACTGACTGTTATTGTTGAATGCTGTCAATCTTTCCATGTCACTGAAGATGTCTCTCTCAATGAAAATTAAGCATAAGTTCATCCTGTTTTTGATATGCTGTAGGTGTTGTTGCTGCCATGCCTGTGGGTCATCCTTTCCTAAGGATGCTGAGCTGATTGACGATAACTGTTGCCACTGTAACTTTGTAGCACTGCTTAAACTGAGTGGCCTGAAAGAAACTGACATTGCCTATGTCACCTACCATGTAGAGGTAAATCATTATGTGACTGATGTGTCTTTCCTAATACTGAAACTGTTTGCAAGTAACTGATGTGCTTGTCACATTTAAACTATGGTCAAAGCAATGTTATCTACCCTTTTTGAAATTGCTGTAATCTGCAAATTACTACTATAAACTGCTGTAATAGATATTTAGATTACTAATCTGGTTACTAAAACTCTTTAAACACACATATTTCCTGCTGTATTGAACTATTAGAATACATGTGCATGAAAGCAATTTTGTGTGATCCCCATAATACAGGACAACTTCCCCAAACCGATCCTTCTCAATAATGATCACCTCTTGAAACTTACCAAAATCTTGATGTATTGAATGCCATCCTTTTAATTCTAGTAATAGAAAACTTCCCAATACCAACCCCTCTCAATTCAGAATACTGAACTGGTTTTGTGTGAAGGAATAGAAACATTGAGGCTGGGTCTGGCCATGTGTAATGCTTAATTTAACTTACTTCCAACATCACCAGGCAATTTGCTGATTTCTTTTTGAGTGAAGTCACATATTGTACACAACTATTGTTTTGGAGCTTATGTTTTCACGCCAGCGTTGGTTTTGTAATGTTAAGGTTTTGGTACATGTGATGAAAAGCATCAGTAACCTCTTTATAATTGTACTAATGTACTGATATTTGTACTAATGTACTGATATTTGTACTAATGTACTGATATTTGTACTAATGTACTGATATTTGTACTAATGTACTGATATTTGTACTAATGTACTAATATTTGTACTAATGTACTGATATTTGTACTAATGTACTGATATTTGTACTAATGTACTGATATTTGGTTTTAGGGTTCCTATTACTACCTGGAGTCAGAATGCCTAACTTTTTTGAAAAACTTGTATTTTGAAACAGTTTGGACTTAGTCATTTTATGTCAATTCTGATGTTAAGGTTTTGGTGCAAGTGATGAAAGGCATTAGAAAACTTCTTTATAACTGAACGAGGGTTCTGATATTTCATTTCAGGTTTTTAACTTATTAAGATTTTAAAAAAGACCCTTATTAACAATTTCTTAGCAAGTGACAATTTCAACGCTGATTTTAATTCAAAACTCAAATCTATGTATATTTTTCTCTTAATCTTAACAGAGAATTTTATACAAAATTACTCGTGGATTTGTTTTATTGGAAATAACTCCTAGATAATATATAGTATATGACAATTACAAAATATCAATATATCTTGAATTATGTTATAAGAGAAACAGTTACCTAATTATCTTTATTATTCATGCAGCATAAATTATTCATAGACACTGCAATGCTCCCTGATAAAATTGTAGTATACCTCAGTTGGCAAACTCATCCCTAATACTAGTGTGTATGCAATAGTGAAAAACAATGTGAGGCGAGCTTTGTACCATTGGCGATGTTCTTGTTGACTTCGTAATTGTTTTTTACGCTATAATGTTTTTTCTTGTATTTAGTTTGCCAGGTATAGTGTAAATGCTCTCTTCTGCAAACTGAACCCTTCCTATACTACCCAAATATTCATGTCCCATGCATGATTGGTTTGAAGAAGTATCACTGTATTACTAGCGCCAGACTGTTTTGGTGTTACTGTCAACAAGAGTAGATGTCTGTTTGACACCATTCCGAGCTAGACAGTTTGTGTGACTGTCAAGTTTTGCAGGCATGACAGCATTTTGGTCTTTTTTTACTTACCACTGAAGTACATGTTCCTCAGTGTTTTCAAGTTGCCATAATTGTGATATACTGATCAGTCAAGTAAGAAAAATATAGTGTGTGGCATTTGCTACACAGAGGTTACGTGGTTGTGTATCAGTGGCCACACAAAGTCAATGTAGTGAATGACACTCAAATATTTACCACATCAATGATCTGACTTTCAGTTAATTGACTTAGCAGAAAAGAGGTTTACATTCCCTTAATATGTTATGTGACCATTAGGAAATCAAAATGTCACCTCTGTAATGTTGTGACTTTGAACATGATGATGAAATAGCCAAGAGGTGACCATTACCTCAGTTATGATCCATACAGAGTAACTTCACACATTGTTAAATTGTTTCCATCGTAACGCTATGGCGACCACCACATCATTTAGTCAGCCTTAAGGTGGCAGATGTCACTCCAGTGTCAGCTATTGATATTAAACGTTACTGCTGTCTAGAACTGAGAACGTGACTCTGTGTGTGTTTAGTGGAGGAAGAACCTGTTAACATTGCCACAATATTGCCTTGCAGAAGCTCAACAATCTATTTGATGATAAAAACCAAGAGAATGTACCTCTAACAGTAATGGAAATGTCATTGGACAAAAATGAGGTTTTCTGTATTCATACTACATAGGCTTTTACAGTCAGTTGGCTGTTTTTACTTTGAATGAATTAAAAGTTAAATTTCACTGTTGATTTTTCACTTAAGCATGGAGAATATTTTTTCTCAAAATTTAGAAAGTAGCATAATCAACGTTTACATGATATAAAAAAAAACTAATGGTTATGGTTCTTCTACAGGAAAGTCCCATTATTTGCTGATTATAGCTGATTAAAAATGGACATTTGAAAAGAGAATTACAATAAAGGGTACACGTTTTCAAATGTGTAACAAATTAGTAGAAATTCCTATCAAAAAGCTTGTTACTAAAATTTGTATGTATCATCATTGAAATATGGTAGTGGATATGGTTGTGGTATGGCTGAAGAAAACATCAATGATTCCCTTCACATGCTGATATAATTGAGAGGATGTATCCCTTTCTCTGTGCATTTTATTTACTGTTCTCTCTATAGTGTTACAGCAATTTTATTGTCAGCTTACTGCCCGAACCAATTTGTCCACAGCATGATTAATTTAAAAGTATTTTACTGTATCTCTGGTTTGCTTATGTTGTGCTTTCTGTTATTTCAAGAAAAAATGATCGATTTCAGAGTTAAAATTAATATTAAAAAAAATGTGAAATTTTATACTTTGTACATGACCAGACTATGGTTAAGATATCCTTTTTGAAATGGTGAGTTGTAGTGAGCTAATCAGGTTTTAAGCCAGCTTTATCCCATGAGGAATGTTTATACTGTACCTACCCTGTGGATGTATGTGGTGTTGCCTTCATCTCTTGGATCAGTTTGATAGCTGAGGACATGTCCCCGAAAACATTGTATTGATTTTGAAGGCAGTATGTGTATGTAGTGTGATTGTCAGACTCTGTTACAATAACTGTCTTGGTCTCTTGACCTTAACCATTTCCTGATAGACAACTAGGTCCTTGATCAAAGTGTTTGTTGATGATGATAGAATATTCTTTGTCTCAAGTACTGTGAGCCGTGAAAGTATTGGTTTATTCATGATCGTAGACTATTCTCTTGACATCAGAGCAGGAAACATTCCCAGTAATTGGTTGTAGTAGTAATACGACATTGCTTGCTTTAATTGTATTCCAATAGCATGTTTAATTACAGCCTGTAACACAGTGCCCACCACAGCAGTTAAGCTGCTGTCGATATGTATCAGTTAAAGTGCCAAACCTTTCTTTTTATAACAAGCTGCTGCTGGCTTATGTACATAATAAAGCTTCCCCCACCCTATCCACTTACTAAGTGCATCAATGTGCTAGGGAGTATGATTCTGTTTCTGATCTCATATTGAATTATATTTTGTAACACCATCACATTTTCAATTTATTGGTGTATTAATTTCATTAATCCCAGAGTAATTTGATGATGAACAAAGTATGATTGTAATTTTAAGCATTGATTTGTGGTAAAATGTCAGCCATTAATCTGACTGTGTTGATATCTGGTTACTGAGTGCTCATTGAAATGCCCTAATGTTTTTAAAAGTGACATGTGATTCTTCAATTCTTTTAATTACAGGTATTATTTTTTTCCTATTCTTTTTATTTTTTTAAGTTTTAACTATTGAGTTAGAATTGTTATTTATCACTGATCACTAGTTGATTTCATTGCATTTCCTTGTGTCTGCATTAAACTTAATTAGCACTTATTAGATTGATTCCTAACAATTGCCCTAATATGGAGTGTTTAGATAAAAGATGGCATGTCATCTTGCATTCCATTGCATCAGTAGCAGCTAGCAATTGTGATTGTTTCTAATCAGCTCATTATATTCGGCTCTGACTTGTTTACTTCAGATTGGGGAGACGCCTTTCTATGTGGCTCTGGACCATGGGCACAAGAAGGTTGTGATCTGTGTAAGAGGGACCCTGTCACTTCAGGTAAGAGAAACCAGTCAGGTGCTTGGAATCAATTATCACCAGCTCAGACGAGGCCAATCCTGTATGATTGATCACCCATTGTTTCTTGTAGATTTTCCATTAGCTTAGAAGTGAGAGGGAAGCAGATGGAATGGTCTGATTGTTTGTAGGATTGTTTGTGGTACCTGAAAAATGACTCACTGACTGTGATCATATAGCATGACAATGCCATTTATTTATGGGATAGTATGGGGTTTTTTTATACATATACTGGAGATCAGATAATGAATTTTGGTTGCATCTATTGTTAAAATGACAAAATTCATGATTTAATCTCCAGCATGTCCATAAAAAACAAGCATACTATCCCCATTTTAAAAAGTCTAAAAGTGTTGTAGTTATTGCAATATCAACAAAGTTAGATAAAAATCCAATACCTAAACAATTTTGTCTGAAACAGTCACTCACATTGTCTTAGCCAATCAAAACGCTCCTTTCAACCATCAATGACATAGAAGCTCGGGCCAACTTTCCAGTCAAATTGTGGAATGATTTGGGTCAGAATGTAGGTAGAGATATATGAATGTCTCTGAGTGGTAAAGGTGTTTTCTTAAGTAGATCAATAAAACAACAAACGACGAGGAGAGGCATCAACTAGAAATCATGACAAGAAAACCCTTCCGAAGTTGCCAGTTACTTTCTTCAAATGAAATCGGGATTTATGTATTATATTATTCAGAAAATGTGGGTGACAATACCACATGACATGATTTTATTTAGTTGTGATAATATAACTGAAGTTGATCCGTGTATTGAAACTGTAATGTCTCATTATTATCATCATCGTACTCACCACGTCAGAATTCATGAGTATGTCAAAGATTTAATCATGAAAATAATCTAATGAAAAATTGTGTTACATAACCATTATTTTACAATTGTTTTGAAAATTGCATTATGTTTGGTTTTTTATGATTGAATTCAAATTTGTTCAAGTAGAAGTAAATTTCATAAACATGCATGACTCCCTTACTGTAAGAACTGGTATTTGAGGTTTTGTGATTTTAGAAATTCTAAATCCTATCAACCTCTGATGTCATTATAAAAAATATTCTAATCTCCATCCTCTATTACCATTATACAATTATAGTAAAACCTGACAATTGTGCCACTCGCTCATAGTAAGCATTATGGGTGGATTTCACAAGATATTCAATTTCTCCGTGATTGTAAAAATCAATGAACAGTAAACACAAACAATTTTAATCAACAAACACACCTTGATTAACAAATTTACAACAAAGTTTAGGTTTTTAGTCTTAAAAATATTTTTAATCAAGGATGTAATGAGAAATTCCGATATTGCAATAAGTTCCATCAATACTTGGTGAAACACATCGACACAGGAAGTTTACACTTACAATAAGTGATCAAGGTCAGCAAAGAATCAATCCAGAATTGACTGGTTTTTTTGGAGACTGTCGTAGAAAGTGTTATGTTGTATAATGGTTCCACTGGTTTCAGGTAACAATCATCTTTGCACATTGCAAGCTTTCTGATCTTGTCTGATGTTTTCTGAATGTTCCCTTGTTGAAAGTGTACTTTTATTGGAACTGTCCACTTACTCGGGAGTTGATGCATTCATCATCTGAGTCAGTGTGCTTCAATGCTTTTGCTTTCTATATTCATTTGTATTGGCGAATTCAAATCACTCAAAACTAAGGTAGTTATTGTACTCCTGTACACACACAACAAATACTCAATAATAGTGTTGTGGAAACCCCATGGAGTACCTCTCACTATGTGTTTCATTTGTAGCGCTCATAGTTAAAGAGAGATTAGCCGACATGCTATTGTTTACAAAACAGCGGCAATGATGCATATCCAATATTTCAGGTAACTTGTGTTGCTTATTTACATATCTGAATAGACAAGTGATGACCAGCTATGTCAACGTGAAATAATTAGCTTTTTATAGGAAAATGTTTTGGAGACCTACAATGTGTCAGATATAAAGGTCTGTTATATTTGTCAAGAGTGGGAATTGTCAGGTTTCGTTCTATATCTAATTTGGTTCTTTTGAGTTATTTTAAGTGGAGTTTCTTTAGCTCCACGCCATCAGATGCTAGCCATTGCTTTTCTAATCACTTTGAATTGATGGCCTGTCAACTGTCTGATAGATATCATTAAGTCATATATAGGAAGCCTTGATCTTCAGTTTTGACCATTGAATTTTGAAACTGATGTATATGGCCATCTCTGATTTGAAAGTTCAAGCAATAGATGGATTTTTCATATGCATGTTCCGTTGGTCATTTGTGTTTGTTTGTCTTTTAGATGTTACATAAAAACAGTCCAAGTTAGATTTTGACATCTGAATGGTATTTAATATTGGTTTAATTTCTGGAGGAATTTCACAATACTACTATTATCGCCAAAACCCATCCCCTACCCTGCCCTTGCCCACTGTTCAATTATGCTACAACAAATTTAAGTATTGATTTGTTATCCTGATAATGCAATTAATAGTTGCATGGTAAGATGAAAGAAGAAAAGAGAAAAAAGCAGAGAAAAGATCACGCTAATATAGAACCAATAAACATCACACAATCGTAGGCACCAAGATCCCTTTGGGATCCCTGTGGTTTATATATAAGGAAAAATGAATAAAAAAAAAGCTTCATGCTTCATTCTTACATCGGATGTTTGCAAGCTTTAATCCTGAAAATCAATACTTAATTTGATTAAGGTGAAGACTACAGAAACTCCCCTTTCTGATAAAAAGCTTACACATTGGATCAGTATGGATTATAAAACATATGTTTCTAGTTGAAAACAACAAGCTATGCATTTGAGACTACAACAAAGTATTCAATCATTTTTCCATAAAGTCAACACATTGTTTTATTTTGGTAAAGCCTTGTGCAATAATCTGTCATGTGCTTAAAGGAATTCATAAATAAGACTTACATTTTTAGAAAGAAGACTTTGAAAGCAGCCAAGTTTCTTTCGTGATTTATGTTTAAAATCATAGCCAAAAGAATAATACACATTGAGTCAAAGACATTGCACCTTTTTGACATTTCCTCAGAGTTTACCATGTAATTTTCATTCCCGTGAGCTGTTTTGAATGATTGGTACTTAAGCAGTCTTCTAAGAAAATTTTACTGGATTAGACTAATTGACTTTACACGTTTACATGGATAATTACAAAATGCACCAGGAAGTCAATTCCTTCAGCAAGTTAAAATTGTGGTTGAGAACCCTCACTTTCATAGTAACTGATACAATCAAAACAATTAGCAAAGGATTATAGGGTGCAAATAAATCACAGATATTGAAAAAGTGAAAACATGATGAACAATACATTTCATTCAAATTAAATTTTTTAATTGATCAGTCTTTAAGAGGCTTCAGTATTTATCATAGTTAAGTTGAACTGAACATTCAGAATATTAATGATTGCTCTACTACTTACAGATAATCACAATTGAATGTTCCCAGACATTTTTATGTCCCACTGTGAAAATTTTAATTACCTAGGGGTACATGTACCAAGTGGCATACATCACTTTTCTCCTGAAAATTCAGTTTCCACAGTTTCTTTAAAAAATTGCTTATTAGTGGTCTTTCTGACAATTGGAATGGTTTCATCTTCATGCTCCCAATAACAAGTCCTTAAATGGAACATGGGAGAACCAATATTGTGATTGTTTTTAGATTTTATAAAGAATCCTTAATGGAATGTTTAATTTTCATATGCCCATGAAAAATTTCAACAGAAATATTTTCATATAGGTTGTCTTTTTGTCATAAATAATTGTTTGCTTGGAAATCTCCCAGTTTTCAACCAGTTATGTTTCTGATAATGGCATTGCAATTGAATTTGTTTTGGAAGAGTTTTTGCCCTTTGTTTTTATAGCATTTTTTTGTCTTGTCTGGATATTTGCGGTAATGAATATGACTAATGAATGTTATTTTTGTTTTTCATACAGGATGTGCTGACAGATCTTAAGGCTGATGCTGAGACATTACCACTAGATCCTGTTAAGGAAGAGTGGGTGGGACATAAGGTGTGTCGATGACAATTTAAGCATGCTTAGCATGGGAGTCTTGCTGTTAGCCAGATCAGCTCTGTGTGAAATTAGCATTGTTATGCCAAAGAAAATGGCAAAATCCCACTTGTTTCTGCATATTATGTTGAGTGCCCCTGAATGGTAATAATAATTGATTTTAAGCTCCAAAGTACACATTTGGTCAATATGTTAGTAATTAGACTGAAGACTGCAACTGTCACATTTTAATTAAATGAGGGGAAAAACCTCTCATTACAGTACAATGTGTTAAACTCTGTGTATATGAAAACAATAATGAGTATAGAAGGATGATATTGTGAGTTTCTTGAAGGTAAGTCCAAATAACACCATTTTAAATTTCATGTCAACTGTAGAAAATTTCACAAACATCTTTAAAAAATAAAGATGTTTTGTGTTAACAAAATCTTATATTTTTACTTTCCATTTGATACGAAGTTTAAGAAATAGTAAGCCTTAATGTATTATTCTCTGTTTCTTATGAAGTGCTAGGGTAGGTTCTCTTGTTCAATGATTAGAGATATGATAGTTATATCAGAATGTTCTCTAATGGTTCTGTTTAATAGGGAATGGTTCAAGCAGCAGTGTACATTCAGAAGAAGCTGAAGGAAGACCGTATCTTAGCTAAAGCCTTTGGGAGGGATCTGGTAAGTTGCTGTTTGTTATCTAAGAGAAACTGTTTTATAAACCACATAATGTTAAGCTTACATAATAGAATTTGATAGATTCATATTCCAAAGAAAAGATTCTAGGAGTACTCTGAAATAATAACAGATCAATCAGTAAGTTGGGTTGTTTACTTGGACTCTTTCCCACTCATTTTATGACTGTGTTGTAAGATTTGTCAATTATGAATGAAAAGCACTCAACATAAGAAAGAATACACAGCATACACACATTGAGAGGAAATGGTTTCCAGCTATATAAAACCCAATATTGTGTTCTCTCAGCGTGCACATCATTGTTATCAATTATTGATAAGGACCTGCATAGTCACTTTGAAGGTCTGGTGAAGCGTAGTACATATCTGCTAATATTGTCAGGTCAGCAGGTAGACTGATCAGCATTTCATCAGATGTTTAATCTAGCTTTATCTAATTGCATGTTTTAACTGGAGACTTGTATTTTTTATGGTTTTAAAGGAAATCTCATTGTATTTTTGGAAAATATTTCAATTATTGTTATTTGCAAGAATGAGGTTGTCAATAGCAAAAAAGAAGAAAGAAAAAAAACAAACACTTGCAATTTTACAAAATATCTCTTTAACTCTATCATCGGAATTTTTGATGTTTATGCCATCATATTGTAACATAAATTCATTGATAAAGGTTAAAATGGCTGAAGATAATACTGAAACAACTTAGAAATAAAAATCTTTGGAATAAGATTCATCAGTTTAATATAGATATATTTAAGAAGATGTTTATCTTAAGCACAAACAGCAATTGAAAACTGCAAGCTTTTGAAAACCCTGTTTCATTTATTAAGCAAAGAGTTCAAATGACTTGACAACATTCAATATTCAGCAAATGGTTGAAAGTGTAAAATCAGCTGTCAAGTATTTACAACACTTTTTCATCCCATTATCACTCTTATACTGCAAGTAGTCTGAGAGACACTTGATGTTGCATCCATCCCCCTCTCAGTTGTTAAAATAGGGTCATAAAGATGATCTGATTGGTGCCCCTCTTCATCTCTGTTAATCAATTTTCCTCTCTCCTTTATCCAGATGAATTCACTAAAAATTGAGAACTGTCAAGGAATTTAATATCTGAAACAACAAAAGGACAACGTATATCTTCGAGCTTATTAAAGATACCAGTAGCATTTTTATTAAGTATGAAGATACTGCAATACTTATCGATGTTGTAATTTTGCAGGACAGAGGAACGCAGAAATATGATTTGGTATTGGTAGGTCACTCCCTGGGAGCTGGTACGGCATCCATCCTTGCTATACTGCTGCGACAAGAGTACCCTTCTCTCCACTGCTATGCCTTTTCTCCTCCTGGGGGACTGCTCAGGTAAAGGCATTGTAGAAAATATAGGAAAAGCCTGCTTAGTCAAACTCTTTTTGTATTCAGATAGTCAGAGTTTGACTATAGATCATCAGGGCACAATCATCCATGAACGCCAAATGTCAGTGAATGACATATTCAATAATCTATTATCGGACCATGCAGTCCAATTTATGATTGTGCTTAAAATATTTACTTTTTTCAATTTTCAAAGTATGGAATTTTACTGTGGAAAAATATGTAAAATTTGTTATTTAAAGCACTGTTCCAATAAGAATGCTAAATATTTTAGAATCATCTTGTTTCAACTGCTTCACTTTGCATTAATATAAATTTGATTCCATTTCATTATTGTACAGTGCGTGATTTCATTAAACTATCTGTTAAAACAATCAATAGACATGTACAGAGAATCATCATGGCTATTGTATCTGTACCCTCCTGCTAAATATATGTCGTTCCAAACTAAAAACAAAGTTACAGTTTGAAAATTATTTGATTTTTTTATGTGGATTTAAAATAAATTGACATGAAATGTGCCTTTATAGCATATTATGATATATTGATGATGGAAATATAGTATGTAATGATGCCATCAGTAATTCTGTAATTATATGCTAACCTGTCAAACACTTGTATGATCACACATGAGTGATCAGAACTGGTATGCTGAAGTTATATGCAGTCATGTGTAACAATGGTAATTTTCAACGAGTATGACACTTGTTCAATGAATTGATGAGAAAAATACTATGAACATGAAGGGACACACATAATAATTAGTTTTGAGGAATGTGGGGTGTTCAATGAAAAATAGGGGGCGAAGAATTTAAGAATAATAAGGAATATATTAAAACATCAGGGATGTCAACAAATATTTGAATATTTAAACATTCTTTCAGTAAGGCAGTATTCAAATAGGAAAACGATATTCAAATATTCATTTTCACAATTGTAATAAAAGATTTGGAAGATTGCTTAAATCAGTCTGTTCACTGTCGAAAAATTGTCTAATTTTCATTCTGAGTATAATTTTATCAACTAAATTATCAAGGTATTCAAAGTTGTACACCTGTACAATGCATCATGACACTAATTAGCCTATCACCAGAGAGCCTTAAGTCACCCTTAAGATAACTTTCGCACTTCGTGTGCATGAAATAACAAAAGTCAAAGCCATACCTGTAATATTGTCACAAACATCGGTCTTAATTTATTTTCAGTCACTTAAAACAGTATTAATTAAGTCATTTGTGTTGGATGTTTATGAATGGTAATGTCTGATGTTATCTTCCTGCAGACAATTTAATTGCTATGTCAACAATGAGAACTTCGTGAATAATGATAAACATGTTGACATATTACAAGAGAAATTCTTTGTCAATTTCAATAAGGAGAAGTGTCGTATTAATAATCATTTCAATATTAGTTTACGTTCACATTTTATTAGAATCACATTTTATTAGAACTTACATTTTTTCACTTGTAGAGTGACACAGGCCGACATTCTGGCCAAAGCCGATTTAGTGTTACTTTTGGAATATTAGAAGACATTTTTGTGTCTTCACATTTGACCATTTCCCGTGACAAATTTTTATGCTATTTTTGCATTTTTTTGCCGAATTCATAGGCATTTTACACAACTAACATTTTTAGTATAACTAGTTATGTGTCATGTTCATCATATTGAAAACATCAAGTCAAGGCTTAGTGTGTAATGACTACTCTCTTTAAGTGAAAGTTGCATACCATCTGGAATTAACATGAAAACAAATATTCGAATACTGAATCAGATGAATGGACATCCCTAAAAAACATGGTCAGAATCAAGTTCTCAGTTCAATGAATAGGGATTTGAGGTAATGGGATTTTATTGTATCACATTTCTTACAATTTAAAACAAGTTAACTTTCATTTGTACACAAGTAAAAAAATAGAGAGTACATAGAGGGACAGTCAACATTTTAATTGATGTTCCAGTTCTGAAATTAATAGAAAAAAGGAAAGATTTTGATTGAAGGTGTATTCATATAGCAATAAAATGTGATGTTTTACAGTGATGTGTGTGTAGAAGAAACCAAATCCTTCATAACTTCTGTGGTGGTAGGAAAAGATGTTGTTCCTCGGTAAGTAGTCATCTGTTCATGGATAAAATGCTGTTCTATTGGTGTACTAGATATAGAGAGTGATCTGTGTATCCTGATAGGTGTGGTGTTAAGGCAACTAACCATTTTTGTCATTAGCCCTCCACCTCTGGATCTTCAGTAAGAGGCCTACCTGTGGCAGTTGTTAGGTACTGGCCTCAAGTTGGTGGTATTTATTTCTCGCTGAACTCCGGATTTCCTCCTCCACCCATACCTGTCACATCATTAAATGACCTTGACTGTTAATAGGACATGAAGCAACAATTAATAAGTATCTTGATATTCTGGCTAATAAGACACTCTGTTGTCTGACAGCAGTAGTTTTTAAGTTGCATTTCTTTCATCGAGACTTTAGTCTTGAGCTCTGTTTCCATCACAGCAAGGACAGGGGCACAAAATGTTGCCTAGTTTTGCTTCATTCTTCCTTTTTGATTACAAGCACTTACCAGTTTTATTAGTCCCCAACATGTAAAACCAAGGTAACTAGTATCACTGTTTCACTCTCTGTCTGTCCGTCCCTGCGTCTGTGAAAGTTTGTGAGTGCTCTAGCAGCTTCATTCCCAGGTTCATTCTCAATAAACTTCACACATTTATTAAGAATCAAAATATCTTGCACAAGTTTTGTGTTTCTGACTTTTTGGGTGAAGGTCATTGTTACTTTTTATAGAAAATTATTGTCAGCACTCTGACTGCTTCATTCCTTGAGGGGTTCTCATTAAACTCCACACACTTATAAAGCATCAAACTATCTCTGACAATTTTAATTCTCCTGACTATTGGGTCAAGGTCAAGGTCACCTTCACTATTGTTTAACACATTAATTAATCATTACAGTGTTGTAATTTTGGGGACCAGTAGGGGACATATATTGCTTCAGCAACTCTAAGTATTCTTGTTACCATTTGGCAACGTTATTATTTGTCAGGGTTGAATTTTTTGTATTAAAAGTCCATAAATGTGTCGTGATATTTATTTAATCTTTTTGTGGTGTTTGTTTGATTTTTTTTGTTTTTATTTCTAAAATAATCATTGACCTGAGATTGTTAGATAATAAAAATGGAGCAAATGTTAGACTAATGGTTTGTGAAATAAATGTGTGTTTGTATGTAGTTAAATACTGTATGGATTAATTGTGAAATATCTTTGTTATGAGATACCAGTAATGATGTCTCATAAAGCACAGCATTGATATGTGGTGATCGTTGATGACTAAGATATTGATTTTCATGTTCAATTTTGTTTCAGAATTGGGTTGTCCCAGTTGGAGGTCTTAAGAACCGATTTAATTAATGTAATAAAAAACAGTACACAGCCCAAGGTGAGAAAGAAGATTAACACAACTTGATAGTTAATGTCCAGAGTTCTGTTGGGAGCAATATTATTTGAACAAAAACCATTTTTTATTTATTTTTATATATATATATATATATATATATATCCAGATATATTATGTTAATTGCCAAGGTTCCAAAGATGTTGTTTATTGAACCTTGAAAGTTTGCTCCTGTATTCATTGACAAATTGATAAAATTGATATAATTTTTTTTAACCATATGCTAATACTGCATTTTCATTTGTTGTTTTCAGTTTAATACTAGTTGTCATGTAACAATTTTCCTGTAGAACTCTAGATAAAAATAATTCTGTTGATAGATAAATTGAAGTCAGAATATGTTTTAAGAAATGTCTATGTATATTTCGATAATGCTATGATCTTATGAGCACTGTAATCCAAAGTTAATTGTTTGTTCAGTAATACTTGTTGTTAGTTTGAAAGAGAGAAATTAAGACAAAGAAACATTTCAACAACATCAAAAAGAGGGGACTAAATGTTGAATAAGCACATGTATATGTAGAACACATTTTTCAAACAGTTGGTTAGTGATTGATCAGGACTGTTTTTAATTGTTCTCCATTTCAGTGGAAAATAATAGCAAGAGGATTGTGTTGTGGGTCAGAGGATGCAGAGAGCTTTAATAAAGAAGATGTACAGCTGGCGTCAGAGCGTGACAACACAGCCCATCCTCTTGACTCACAGATAGGTCTGTCCACACATCACCCTTTATACCCACCTGGCAAGATCATCCATGTTGTCAGGAGTCATCCAAGAGGCAAAAAGTGAGTACACTGGAATATGGTCATAAGAAGCGCTGCTAAAATTTTCAGGGTATAAAAATGTCTGTAAAATAATCCATAGCAATCTAAGTTGCTGTTTGTTGCACATGTACATACTTTCTGTTAGCATTTAGTGATCTTGCTGTGGCACTCATAGTCAGATGAATGATGCGGCTCCAGATCTAAACAAGATATTGATTAATATTATGTTGGCATACATATTGTAATGTGTTATTTAAAAATGAAATGTAAGATGTGACAATTTATTATTGAAATAAAGAATGCTTTATTGGATGATTTGTTTTGCTAGAAATTTTGTTATGAAAGGATGTGAAATGTACGACAAATTGTAAGTTTATACCTATGTTTACAGGAAACGCCTGTGTGGATCAGGAGAACCAGTGTTCCAGGCTGTATGGGCACACAACACCAGTTTTGATGAAGTTCTTGTCTCCCCAACCATGATAAATGATCACATGCCAGACAATGTTATGGATGCCTTGGAGAAGGTAGATCAGTGATAGGTCTTTTTTATTTTTTAAAAACAAATTTCAACAAATTATTGTGATAGTTTGATAAGGAAGTAAGTGACTGTGCTTATGTGGCATGAAACATTTTATAATATGACATTTTGGGTTTTTTTTCAACCTTATTGAATATAAAGTAAAACATTTATTGAAAAGATTGATTTAGACCTTCTTTCTACAGTACATTAAAAAATAGACAGCCCTATTTTCATTGTTGTCAATGTTCCACATTAAAGTTTTGCATTTAGACGTGTTGCTTAAAAGGGATAAGTCCAACTTAAATGAAACATGGAATAAAGCTTTACCACATTGTGGACACCTCATATTGCAAAATATTTTCTAAATTTAACAATCCAGCAGCTAAGGCTCAGACTTAGGAATGGTGAGAAGCTGAACTTCATAGTTCTACATTTAGCTCGGTTTCTCATTAAGTACAAGCGTTATTCTTAGCAGAATTACACATGGAAAATATGTACTTCTGAACCCCACTTAATAGGTTACATGAATTTGATATTTTTTTGGAGAAAAAAATTAATGATTTTGGGAAATGACTACGAGGTCTCTTAAACTAGTTCTATTCGCTTCAGATTTAATTTCTAGTCATATTGAAATAAGTTGTGCAAAACATCAGAAAGTTGTTTTTTTCTGTCTTTTCCAAAAGAATCATATTTTAAAGGATAAAAATGTGTATCTGAGTGAATTTTAAGAATTTGTTTGAATCTGCTGCAATATTTAAAAGTGGCTGCTTGATATAGTGTTTAGGTGTCACAACAAACATACTGGTTCTAACAGGAAAATAAACATACTGTTACCAACAGGAAAATAAACATACCGCTTCTAATTACAAATCAAGTGACATTAATCCCCAACATTGTCGGGACCAATTCAGACGGATAGCAGTTTTTGTTTACAGGAGATGGTATTTGTGCAAATACGTTATCATAAAGAAATTCATTTAAAATACATAATAAAATATTAAAACATAGCAAACATTTACATACCCAGACTGTTGATGAACAGATAAGGATTTCCTTTTTATAATTATTAATTGTTTATGTGCATGTTTCAGCAATAACCAGTTGTCAATTTTTACAAGGTGATACACTTGAGATATATATGCAATAATAAAAAGATTAATAAGAAAAAAAATCTTTTCACTGTAATGTTGCTTTCATATAATGCTTGAATACCACAGACATAAACTACTTAGCACATTTATAATTAGTGATCTCCTCTTTTTACTGTAAAATTATATTGATATGAATAAGTATAATGTAATATCATGCTGAAATATTGCTTGATTGTTTTTCAATTTCTATTTAAGGTTTTGATAAATGTGGCACCACCAAAACCAAATCGGACATTAACTGAGGCAGAGAGAAAGGCTTTTCTTCAAAAGCGCTCACCATCAGTGGAATCTGAAAATTCCAACCACAAACTGATTGTGCAGGAGGACTTCACAATAGGTAAAACAGCTCCTGTGTGTAACCAGTTACCATTATACAAGCCACAGCATCAGCCGTTACCACCTCTCTTCTCCTGGGATCATGCAGCAGAAGAACATCGGTTCCTGTTAGAAAAAGACTTCCTGTATCCAGGTGATCCTGGAAAACAGGAGCTGTATCTAGATCTGGGAACAGATACCATAACTGCACCACTAGCCAGTCCAGAAACTTTGTCGGAAATATCTAGTGTCGGAAGTGCTTTGAGTCGAATCGGCAGCTTGAACAAAGACAATAAAAGACGTTCCATCATAATTCCTCAGGTTCTGGAAACCATCCAGCAGTCCCCAGTGAGTAAAAACAAAGTGGGAGATTTCCCACCTGTTACAGAACCGAAACATCTCAACGGCCAGGTGAGCAAAACACCACAGATTGGGAATTGTATACATATTAAGACAGATGTAATTATTGAAAGTCCCCCCAAAATTCGCCATGAATCTGACAAAACTACAAAAGGTATTAATGATTCACTTGTGCCATTGCTTTGTGATAGTACGGATCAGGACAATTGTGATATTGTTGGCAATGGTTCACATGAGTTCCAGAACAAAGTATACAACCGACATTCCCCAGTTGACGGCAACCAACATGAGTATGGCAATCCCAACTTGCATTACTCTGCAGGAGGAATTGGTTACCCACACGGCACCGGTGCCTACCATCCTCCGACGTGTAATGTTAATGCTGATGGCGTCTGTACAGAATGCATGAAACATTCCTTATCTGACATTCATTCACCTCAAGAGGAAGATTCTATCATCAAGTGCTCTCAATCTGAATCTCAATTACTTCACCTGTCAGCAAGATACGTCATGAAACGTTCCACAGAGCAGAGAGACATAGCTCATCTACAGGACAGTATGGAAGTTTTTCAAGGAGATGCCACTTCTCAAGAGTCACAACAAACTGTTAGCTCCCATAGGTCTCGCCTGCTTCCTAAGGGAGCTAATCCAATCATGTCAGAAGGTACACAAGCAAGTACTAATTCTCTTGAGGACGACTCGGACCGGCGCCTCTCTTCGTCACACTCGGACGAGGTTTTTGATTTACCATTAGAAGAAACTGATGTATGATATTTTTTGGTGCTACGTATTGATTTTGCATTTCATCATTTCATGTTATAATTGTAGGAGGAATAGTAGAAACTTGATTTTGGATAAAAGTATTTGTTCCATCATTTTCATTCTTTTATAGATATTTTGCAGTTGTGGATTTTGTACATGTAACTTATTAAATTTTGTTTTTACAAGCTGCATATCATGGTTACAGTTGTTAATCAGATTTATAGAACTTCCATATTATCTTAACCCTGGCCCCTTATCTTTGTTACCTCATATTTATTTTTTGTTAAGTTTAAACAATGGACTTAAACTTTTTATTTACATTGACTATCAAGTAGTAAACATTTCCAACCTAACTTATATGTACTATAGACTTATATTTAATGCGTAACATTTAAGCCACTGAAAGTTGAACATTGTTTTTGTTTTTGCAAATTGTAAACATTATAATATTTCCATTTCCAATTTCATATACAATGTACAATTCTTTTAGAGTATAGAATTGTGAATTATCTGATCAATTAGATTTTCTTGCTTTTAGATTTACTGTAGATAATTGTGTTCAGTTTATCTGCAGCATTGATCTCTCTGGAAATCAAATACAAAGATTTTACCATAGATAATTGTGTTCACTTGAACTAAAGCATTAAACTACCTAAAAATTAATTACAAAGTTGACTTTCAAAAAATGATGCAAACTGCAAAATTACCTTTGTAACTAGTGCAATAGCTTTCTGTTATTATACATAGTACTGTTCTTGAAATAAAACAAATAAAGCTGATAGCTGTATCTTGTTAAGGGTACTCTGTATTTATGATTGTCACAAACAAGAGCTTCAGTGCTCAGTACCTGATGGGGTTCTAGCTTAGAGTTACTTCCCTTGACATAAAGCTATGCATGCATTTACAGGTCTTAGATCGCAGCCTTGGTAGATTGTAGGACTGGCAGAAAATGGATTCCAAGTCTGACCCAAGATTTTTTGTATCATTTTAAATGCTCAAAGTTTTTTAACAACTGTAATTTCATAAAGCAAGTTACAACATCATGTACATATTGTAATGCTTTGAAGAAAATAACTAAAAAAAAATGATATATTAGTGCAAATGTTCATGCACTTTGTTAAAATTTTATATATGAATGTTCTTTACTAACAGGTTGTTCTGAAATCCATTACAGGACTGTAGCAAGATTAAGTTGTAATTTGTTTGATTTATTTAGCTGTAAGTGCTTGAATTACTACATCATTGAGTATGAAGAAGTATGTGATACAGGATGAAAATTGGTTTCATTAAGTTGTTGTGGTCTTTGTCATTAGTGAATTCCCCTCTTGTGTTAAAACTAAAACTATCGAAAAGATAACAATAAAGGCAGTTTCATATACTAGATAATTTTGGGGATATGAAATAGACATGCTGTTGTAAGGGATAATACAATTTTATACACATACCTTCTTGTGAATTGAAACACTGAAGATTTTTCAAGAAAAAAGTAATGTTGGTTTTTTTTTCAATTTTGTGATATTTTGTATGTATTACATTTCATTTTATTGACTTTTGCTGTGTTTTTATTTTGTCATTGAAGAAGAATGGAAGACTGGTAAATTTTTGTGTTACTGAGTGTTTTTATTTGTTAAATAAGAAAACCTGCTCTCCTGACGCTTCATTCAGTTTTTTACTGAACTTTTCCTCATTGATCATAGAAATATTTTAGGCTAGACACATTTAGATCTTGTTAAGTTAAGGACATTTTGTTGACTTTCTTTTGATCACAGCTAAGTCATGTTAAATTTTACAGGACCAAAAATATCTTTCTCCATTATGTCTTCACCATAATTATGTGGATATTACATGGAGTCAAGCAGGTTTTGTACAGATAACTGTCACAAATTTGAAAATATTCTTTGCCATTTATGACCATGTAAATTGGCAGATAAAATCAAGGTACACAATTCATTAATTTTCCACATTTATTTAAAAGCATGTGGTGTTTAAAAAAACAAAAGATACACACAATTTAGTAGTCTATCGTATACATATGACAATAAATACTGCTTAGAGTTGTATGTCTGGTCACTTCTAACAGCTGTCGGCTAAGTCATATCACTCACAAAAGTTTTAGAAAATTTCATCCTTCTTCATTGCCTTATATATACATATATTTAGAATATGAATAAAGATTTTGTCCACATTATAAAATACTTGTAATTATCTCTCTATTTTACATTCACTCATAGGTATAAACTTTTTTCATAGTACCATGACAGAACAGTTTAATCTATTGAATAGACTTCATCTAACTTATCTCATTCAACTTTGTCATTTCACTGATGTTCGATATTGATGAGAGGTGTACTCTACACTATTCCATGGTTGAATTTTATTATTTTTGTTTTCTGTTACTTACATTTGCAGGATAATTAAGATAAACTGGTAAACACTGTATGAACCATATCTAATTGAGGAACCTTTTCTGTTGTGTTGTATATTTATGTGTTTAATTCATCAAGTATATTTTAGACAATTTTTGTGTGTAAGTCAATTAATGTTACTTAAACAATTTTAACTACTGTTAATAATGTAAAAGTTTTGAAATTTTGGACTTTCAACCATCTACAAAAACATAGTGTGGGATTATTATTTCCTGAAATTGTTCTATTATGATGATGTGTATTTATATAAAAGTATAGTATTAGTGCAATATATCACAGATTTTGTTCTATATGTTTTAAACAGCACATCAATCACACAGAAGACAATACTTGTTGGCCATACAATGTATACCCCGTTAATGTTGAATCTATGTCTTTTTTTCATTTATTCCTTATCTCAACTTGTGTTTAACAAAATGTATGTGTTATTTTTTAAATTATAGCTGTTGTACTTTATAAACTTATTATTTGTTTTTAATCAGATTCTACACATTCAATTTTTCTGCTTGTTCTTGTTGAGCAGATGCAACTTTTTGGGAGTTTGTCTGCCACATTCATTACTCAACTCCATTCCATAACAGTACTGCTTTGTTGAAAGCAAAATGAAACTTAATAAACATGTTTAATTCAAGTTCAAGAAAGTGATCTTAGTTGTTAGAAATCAGCATATGTAACATAAAAGCAAGAGACTTTGTGATGAGTTCCTCTGTTGAATGACATTATTGAATGACACAAAACCAAACAAGGATTAAGCTCTTTGTATATTGAACTAAAGGTTAATTGAAAGTTAAAATATGTAGCATTCTTGTGTATGTAATGCTGTGTGCTGGTTTGGCAATCATATTACCTCATGTTGTTATATTTCATATGTTATTAAAGATCAATTGACATTATTAGATCAAATTTTATATACAAAATAAAAATCACAGAGTGTCTACAAATTGTTTTACTCTATCTATATTCTCCAGGTAATTATTTAGTTTAGAGATAAGAATTACAGAATGTCTACAAATGATTTTTAATATATCTAAAGATAGATTCTCCAAATACTTGGTTTGCAGTGCTTGAGTCCTTTAGCCTTTCATTTGTGCAAAGAATTTTTTTCTTAAACTGTTGCAGTTTTTTTATGAAACTTTTAAGTAAACCTATGTGCACATCAAAGTGTACACTGAAATAAGCACAGCAGGATTAGAGGTAAAACAATTTATATCCTGAAAAGACTACATTGTGCACTCACTCCAGGTGACTTCCAGTCAAATTAGTGTACAAATGGCCATTGATATCAGACTTAGACTTAGACTTATGACTGTTTCAGATAGGTTGATAAAACTTTGAGTTAACATTACATCACAGATGGTCATTGTTGGTTTAGGTTACCATGATAATCTAGTCACTGAAGTTTTTCTATTTTTTTTTTTTTTTTTTCAATATTCATTTCCTAAGGCACTCTTTAATGTTATGATAATCAAGTATTATTAGTATATATTTTCTCCCATAGTGCTATATCTTTTGTATTCTTAAATATTGTTATTGTTACTTGTGATAGATGAGTGTAATTCTTGAGAAAATGATGGCTATTTTTTTTCGCAGAGTATTTTTAGATTTTAAAACTTTGTCTTTCATGAGTGTATTTAATCTTATTTTGTAATATTAGGATTACCTTCATCTTTGTACTCTTATCATCATCAGCTTGTCATCTCATACTTCGTAGTTTATGGTGTTTTCAGTGAACCACCTATACTAAAACACCACAGCAATAATCACTTTGTTAAAATTTGTTTATAATAAAATTATATTTCAATTGATATGCTTCTGTGTTCTTCTGATATTTCACCTGTTTTAATAGAGAAAGCATTTGTTTTATATTTACCACTTTACATACCTTTGCTATGGAATAACCTTACGAAAGTCTGTGTGTACTACCAGTTCAGTTATTCATTTGCACAATGTAAATAAATTGAAGTTGCCTTCCCTTATAACAAGATGAAAATTCAAATAAGCTTCAAGTTGGCATTCCTGGGTTTTATGAATTGCCAGTTGGATACATTCAACCAAACATGCTACATTGAAATTGCCCTTATCCTGATGGCATACATATGCTATATATGCTGCCTGTAAAGCACAAGTTCAATGCTTATGAGGATATATATCATAGACATAAATTACAGTTGGAAGAATTAATATATTATAGTAGCTCTTAAGTCTTAAATGCACTTTATCATTGTAGGACATTCTTATAGAAGTCATTACAGAAACTCTGAGGCACTTTAAAGATTTTATAATTTTATAATTTTGTTGAATTGATCACAAAAGAACACATTTTTCTGATTTTAAGACAAGTGTGGACTTGTAACCTATGTAAATGTAACAACATTAAAATAATTAATTTGTGTGTATTTGTGAAAATTTGGATAACTTTTTCATCACTGCTTGGGTGCTAATTTCAATGGATTAGTCTGCAATTTGAATTGTAGAGTGGCATGACTGAATTACTGATGATGTTTATCAAAATATAAAATAGTAATTTTCATTAGTCCGGCTACACCTAATAGGCACTGGTATTGTCCCCATTATGAAAAGCAG